CACCTTTTTTGAGGGCTTCATTGGTAAGTCTGAAGGTTAATAGGGAAAAAAATATTTTTTTAAAGTCATTGAAGACTTTTCCTGGCTCTAATTGCCCAAACTTGTAAGAGTGACTCAATAATCAGCCACACCAATCTCTTTGTCTCTCTTATTTACCAATCTCCGTCTCTGTCTCTGTCTCCGTCTCTGTCTCTGTCTCCGTCTCCGTCTCTGACTCTGTCTCTGTCTCTCTCTGTCTCTGTCTCTGTCTCTCTCTCTCTCTCTCTCTCTCTCTCTCTCTCTCACACACACACACACACACACACAGACACACATACACGATCACAATAAAATCCAGAAAGGAAGCATCCATCATCAGCATCAGGCTGAGCTGGGTTCAGTCCACCTGTCCCCTTCATTGGCCTCAGAAAGTGACATTATTCTCACAGCTTCAGAATTTTCATATGCACAAATGGGCACAGGCACGCCTCAGCAGTGCACAGGAGTAACCCATTTCAGAATGGCCAAAGGGCTTGAATAGATGTTCAGATAGTAAACAGTAACATGAAAGGCACCATGTCATTTGTCACTAAGATGCCACTTACAGTGACCCAGATGGTCACTGTGAGGCACACAGACAATAGCAAGTGTTGGTGGAGAAACTCAAGAAACTTTAGGCATTGCAAGTAGGATTGGAAAATGGTAGTTCCTCAGAATATTAAACACAGAGATATACCAGATGACCCTATGATGCCAATGTATAGCAGCATTATTCAAAACGACCAAAAGCAGAAACAATCCAAATGCCATTGGTGGCTCAATGAATAAACAAAGTGTGGTATAACTGCACGATGCAGTGGTATCAGCCTTGTAGTAGAAGTACTAACTCACAACAACATCATGCAAGAGAGAAGACAGCAGAAAAGCCCAGCCCCATCCTGGAAGGTGAAGCTGTTGCTGCTGCCCGGGAAGGGAGGGGAAGTAACTACGCTCATTCACACCAGGGTGACAGCTGAATGTACAGAAAGCCACTGAGCACACATTGTGTGAGGGTGGATCTGATGGCACAAGAATCCTATCTCAGCAAAGCTATGCACTGAACCCAGCTCAGCCTGGTGTGTGAGGGCCTCACACAGAGAGCTGCTGTGAACACAAGTGGCACCTGGCATGGCCCCTGGGCACAGCAGTGCATGAGATCCCAAGACAGCAGCTTCCCAAAGATTTCCAGGCACAGACAACCAAGCACATCCAGGGAGGCACCAGCCTGGGTGTGAGCCAGGGCTTTCCAGTGGAGAGGGAGTTGTTATCGGCACATCTCCTTGGTTAGTACCTATAACAGGACAGGGCATGATTCCCTCCCACAATGCCCCAGCGCAAAAATCTTGACTCTCAAAGAGGGCTCTGAATAATTCTGGGGTTTTGATTTTGTTTTTGTTTCTGAGGATGAGACCCTGGGCCTCTGCACTGAGCTATATCCCAGGCTTTTTTTTTTTTTCTTTCAGTTTTTATTCTGAGATAGGATCAAAAATTTAAAAAATAAAAAAAGGAGACTGGCTTGAAGCCAGAAAGTCAAGATGCTAGGGCCAGAAACAGCTCCAGGAAACAAGATGACCTGGGATAGTCATGGCCCCAAGGGTGGATCTTAAGGGGTCAGCCAGGCCACCCCTAGGCCATACCACCTCTACAGGAGGCTCTGATAGTGGCAGGGCCCTCCCCCAAGGCCCAGTGTCTTTCAGCATTTTCTGCATATTTGTGCCCCAAGTCCACTGGGCCCAGGCCCGGGGCAATTTCCTCGAGGAGGAAGGTGGCTGCCAGGGCAGCAGAGGCTGAAACCTTTAGAGACAATCCTTGCCTTCCTATACTGTTCCTCCTGGCAACAGCAGGGCAAGAAAGCCATTACCCACCAGTGGGAAACTGACGCCTGGCAAGGGCAAGGGGCTTCTGAACACCCCCCCCCAAGCAAGCTGGTGACGCAGTTAGGAGATGGTCACCTGCCACCAGCAGGTGCTGCCTGGTGGCAATCCCAGAACAGCATTAGGGATGAGCATCTGTCATTTTCCCTGATCTCTTCTGAGATAGCAAAAAGGCTCTCAGTGCTAGGAGCTGTGGGGACTGGGACTCCAGCTGCCCACAGGAAGCAACCCAGTCATGCCGGGGAGGACCTGACCCCCACCCTGTCCCCCCACTGCCCTGTCCCCAGCCCACAGCCACTACCTGTGTGAGGAGCAAGGTGAACAGCAAATGCACAGCCAGCCGACTGTGTGGCCCTGGCAGGCAGCAGGGAAGGAGGCAGAGGCACCTGTGACAGCAGGAGGCGGGGCCATGACGTGTCCCTGGCAGCCGGCTCACCCTGGTGGCTTTCCTTCCTGCCTGCTGCCTGCCCTGCTATCAGCCCCAGGCCTTCCTGTCTGACTGGACTCTATCCCCAGCCACAGAGGGGCCCATGGATGGCTACACAGGAGGGAGGAGGTGGAGCACATTGTCCTCTTGCCCCTCCATCCCACTGGGGTTGACTCAGGCTGCTGTCATGTGTCCCAACCAGCCTTGCAGGTCTGAAGATACTGCCAGTGATTAGCTCCCATTCCCGAGGCTAAGGCTGGTGCTCATGGAGGAAAGGAGACCAGGGGACCAGGGAACTGGGGGATCCTGTAAGTGAGCACTGCTCTGGCCTCTCCTGGGGAGCGGGAATCCCTCCTCTCCACTTGCCTTGGGGATGCTCTCACTCTGAGGCTGTCCTCACCAGGTCACTCCCTTCCCTTCTCCCTCCGCACTCTCTCAGCTGAGAGCCCAAGTTCTCACCCAGGTCTGCACCATCTGGCCCACACCTCTGTCACTCCTGACCTTGACTCCTAGGGCCTTCTCTCCCACTCTGCTGCAAGTGTACTGGCCTGAGCCCCAGATACTTCTGCAGGCCCCAGTGCCATTGCACTAACTCTTCCATCTTCCTCCAAGAAAGCTACACATCCCTGCTTCCCTGCCTTGGTCTCTACTGAAGCAATCCCTTTTCTGAGGCCCTCCTTGACCCTGCACAGTGGTGACCCCAGCACTGCCCTTCCTCCTCACCCTGTGTCACTGTCACTGTCTGATTCGGTTCTGTACATTTCCTCAGTATGTATTTGTCCTGTTCTCTGGGATCTAGAACAGGACAAACACCTAACAGCTCTCAGTGGATTCTGCTGAATAGCAGACTGAAAGATTGACCAAGAGGCTTCCGAGGGCACAAGATCCCACTGTACCGCATGCAAATCACCCCAGACTACAAGGGGACCTCCTCAGGCCAGGAGAGTGGGAAGGGTGAGCTGCAGAGATGGGAACTCAGAATCCAGATAACAGGGACATCAGGAGGATGCAACCAAGACTACAGGACCCATGAGGACACAGTGAGGGCAGGAATAGAGTGCCAAGACCCGTGGCTAGGGAGGTGGGCCTTAGGGACAGGACCATGGGAAGTGGAGATGTACTTCCAACATTGCCATCACCAGCCACATGTGGTCACAGGGCCCATGAACTATAGCCATGCAGACCTGAGATGTGCTGTCAGCATGAGGTGCATGTTAGACTTCAAAGTCTTAGGTGAGAAATACATACATGTGCTGGGATTACAGGCATGCACCACTACACCTGGCTAAAATCATAATGTTTTGATGGTGCATGCCCGTAATCCCTGCACTGCAGGAGACTGAAACAGGAGGATCACAAGTTCAAGGCCAGCCTGGGCAACCTAACAGGACCCTACCTCAAAATAAAAAATAAACTGGGTATGATGGTACACACCTATAATTCCAGCACTCTGGAGACTGAGGCAGGATGACTGTTGTGAGTTCGAGGCCAACCTAAACAGCATGGTGAGATCTTGTCTCACAAAACAAAACAAAAAAAAGCTGGGGTGTAGCTCAGTACAGAGGCCCTGAATTCAAAAACCAGTGCTGCAAAAAAAAAAAAAAAAAAGAAAGAAAGAAAAGAAACAACAAATAATACTTTGGATATAATGCGTAAAGTGAAGCATATACTATTAAAATTCTCAGTTTTCAATGTAGATATGGGAACTTTCAAAACTATGGCAGGTGCAGTCATCCTTGGTAGCTCAGAAAGTGTAGTGCTGATTCAGAGAGAACAGACAGGACTTGGAAGGGTTGTAGTGGGGAGACCCTAGATCTCACTGTATATGTCCTCTACCCTCCAACAGCTCCTTTCTGAGAAGACCATCAGGCTAGAAGCCACAGACACAGCATTCAGAGTCAAGTTCCAGCTTGCCACAAGTGCCCACAGAAGCTCTTATCTTCAAGATAAGACAGAGAAAGACAGGCCAGACAATGAACTCTCTAACCCTGGAAGTATGTACAGAACTTGAGAGTTACCTTATGCAGAGGAAAGCAGACTGAACTCCACTATTCTCAAAATGTAGTCCTAGAGCACAGCCTCAACATACCAGGAGCCCTTTTTGAAATGCAGGTTCCCAGTCCAACTGAGTCAGAATTAGGTTTCTACATCTGCGTTTTAACAAGCTCTGCCCTGCGTTTCGAATGACTGCTCATGATGAGCAGGAAGACTGTATAATGCTTCCTACCATGTAAAGGCTCAAGGCCTGACACACAGTAGATGCCCCCGTCCCAGGATAAGATGATTCCCTCACTCACCCTGAGTTTTCCTCTCTGCTGCCCGAAGTACCCACCCAGCACAGGATGGAGGCTCAACCCCAGAGCATTTCCTACCTCTCCATTGACGGTAATGTCACAGGGCCCCGAGCCCAGCTCCAGCACGAGGGACCTCCCACTTGCACGCATGACTCTAGGAACAACCTCCCACCACTGTGAGTGCAGCTGACATCTCTGGGCGCCAGCTCAGCAGCAGAGCTTGGCATCTGGCTTCCCTACATTCCAGAACTGCTGGCCAGATACCTGACTCAGCAGGCACGTGTGCCCTGAGACAACAGCTAAGCCTCGTGGCCTCAATTTCCCCATCAATAAAGATAAGACAGCAGCCCCATCACAGCACAGACTCTGTATACAGGCTCATCAGCACTCCAGGAGACTTCTTCCATGGGCCTGTGAGCTACAGGCATGGAGGTGATACAGGGAAAAGATGTAACTCCCAACCAGCTAGATGTCAGATACACTAAGTTTGTGTCCCCTGAAATCTAAGAATGAACTCCAAAGGATAAAGGCTGTTGAGAGGATCTGCAGGGGAAGAGAACAAGAAGTCACCAAGAAGTAAGCCCTCCTGTGAATTGGTGCCATGTGTAGGCCAGGAGCCGGCCCCTTCTGGTGCACGGCCTGGGAAACAAGGAGAGCCAGCCCCCTAACACCTCCCTCCCCCACCATAATTGACCTATTCCCCAGTAAATCTTTTCTCTTCTCAACCTCCTTTTATGATCCAATGAAACCTAGGCTGCGATGATGGTTATTGAAGTGGAATACAATTTAGTGCTCATAATGTTTAGTGTTTCACTGACTTTGCAGGTCTAAAGTGATCTGATCATCTACTCAGAGGATGGTAGTACACAGTGTAGCATCTATGGGGGATCTCCTGCTGAGGGTGGTGGCCATTGTTGATTCCCTAATGCTTTGTTTTGATGTTTTGTATCACTTTCATTGTTTTGTTGGTTTGGGTATTGTTCTGTTTTGTTTTGTTTGATTTTATTGTATCTGATGGCATGGGCAGCTAGTTCAAAGATAACAGGATATAGCATGGGCTGGGGATTTAGCTCAGCAGGTCAAGCACTTGCCTGGTAAGTGCGAGATCATGAGTTTGATCACTGGTACAAAAAAAAAAAAAAAAGAAAAAGAAAAAGAAAAAAGCTTTATTGGATTGGGCCGGGGATTTAGCGACATAAGTACCTGCCTAACAAGCCTGAGGTAGTGAGTTCAATCCTCAGTACAAAACAAAAACTTGGAAGCCACAACACAGACTTCCAAAAGGCAAAACTTTACTACAGACACTGGCAAATCAAAAAACTTTTTGGCTAAGTAAACTAATTTTCTTAAAACAAACAAACAAACAAAAGATATAGCATGGTAGCCATTTTAGACTTACTATTATCTTGTTTTGAAGTTTTTTATAGCATTCATTGTTTTGTTTTTACTGGTTCTATTCTGTTCTATTTTGTTTGATTTTTTACCATGCCTGAAGGAATCTGTAGCTATTTTTGATTGGCTTTATTCTGTTTCATTTTACTTGTTTTGTTTTTGTTTTTGTTTTTTAAGGCAGAGTCTCACCATGCAGTTCAGGCTGGCCTTGAGCTCACTTTGTAACCCATGCTGGTCTCAAACTTGCAACGATCCTCCTGCCTCAACCCCCGAGTCCTGGGATTACAGGTGTGTACCACCATGCCCAGTGCCTGGTTTTATGCTCTTTTTTTTTGCTTTGTTTTATGTTCTTTAAAATTAAAATAAAAGGAGGTTGAGAAGAGAAAAGATTTACTGGGGAATAGGAATAGCTCCTGAGAGACAGGGAGGGTTCTGAAAATAGGAGGCCACTGAGTCCATTTCTCTGAGTATGTTTTACAAAATCACGAAGTGGATACAACATGAGTCAAACTATGATCAACCTACAGGATTACAAGTACCGCAGCTTGGGTAATATTGATCCAGCAAGGAAGCAGATCATGTAGAAAAGGTACATGGAAAGAACACAGGCATTTTTAGGAAGAGATAGGTTTAGAAGTTCTGCTTGCCTGCCTGAGTGACTGGTGTCTGCCTGGATTTTGTTTGGCCAGGTGATATCAGCTACAGTATAATCTTCAAGTTACTGCTTATCTCCCAGGGAGACATGTAGGCCTGATCATTGTGTCATAATTTAGCTGCCTGTGTAGAGAGAAAGGAGGTCTGACTGCTAGGAGTACCCAGGAGCCTGGTTCTTCTGGGTGCTTGAAGAATGACTGGGAGGTAGGGCTGCCTTAATCATCCAAAAGCACCTATTAAATGAATTCTCAATCAGAGTACTGTGCCCATTTCATAGGTGAAAAGGTGAGGCTTATAAAGCTGAAATAATCTGCTCAAGGGCACAGGGCTGGAAAGTTTTAGTGTCAGGATTTTGTACCTGAGACTCCCTGACTTGAGAGCAGGATGTTCCCCACTCCTCCACTGGAGAAACCCGAAGTCCACACATGGCTGAGGAGTCCCCCATTAGTGCCACTGAAATCCACATTTGAAGAATGACCTTCTAAAGGCCCACATTGAAAGCTTTAAATCTATGCCATGAGAAACCATGGCTCTTTCTGCCTCAGCCTCCTGAATGCTGGGATAACAGGTATGTACCACCATGCCCAGTCACAATATACTCAGAGTAAGTCTGACGCACCCTGGGCGCTGGGCCTCGGCTGTCTCACCTGTAAAGTGGCACAAAGAAAACCTGTCACAGCTGAGGACACAAAGTTGCACCTTGTGATCTTGAGATGATTTACAGCCCTAGATTTTTTTTTAAAAAGGGGGCTGGGGGAAAGATTTTGTCTCATCCTATCAATCACAAAATGTAGTATTTAGATACAACAAACATCCCTTTTAAGCAAAGCAACCTTTTGGACAAATAACATTTCAGACATCAGATCCAAGTGGACGTTCCTCATTTTCTACAAAAAGGGGACCATGGAATGAGCAGCCCAGCCTTTGGGCTCAGTCTTTGTCCTCAGTGTTCACTCTCAGCACTGATCAAGGATAAATGTCATGCACAAGATGCTACTGGGATCTACGGCCAGGTTTTAGCATGAGAGCTATCTCATTCTGTGGGTTAAATGCTCAGGAGTACAGTTTCTGAGCTGCATGGAGAATATTTTAAGAAACTCCCACGTTCTTTTCCAGAATGGCTGGGCCGTCTCATATCGCCAGCAATTGGCAAGGGGTGAGTTTCGTGCATCCTCACAGAGTTTGGTGGTAGTGCACTGATGGATCTCACAGTGTGCATCCCTGAGGGCTAAGGTAGTGGGACATTAGTCCACACTCATATTTCCCATCTGCTCCTGCTTTTGCTCATTTTCTGACTGACTGGTGTGCTTTCACTGTGGACATATGGCAGATGATGCTCCTGTCAGCTCTGGGTGTGTAAACACTCGGCACCTTTGAAGGTGCTGAGAAGGTCGTTCTCTCGTTTCTCATGGTTCCTGCAGCCTGGCTGCACAGTGTCTCCAGACAGGAAGCCAGGCCTTAAGGTCACAGGGCATCTCAGGCATAGGTGGGCCCAGTTCAGCTCACCCAGCCCCCCACAGCCAGTGGAGATTCCAAAAGAATGCTGTGTCTAGAAAATGAGCAGGTGCCACAGCCATGCAGTTTCATGGGAAATGGCGAGGCCCAGGGGGGCTGAGGAACTTGCTGAAGGTCACAGACTGACTCCCCAGTGAGAGCTGGAGATTCAGCCACCAAATTTCTCACAGCCCCTTCCTTTTGGCTGTGATCCTGGCTTCTCCAGGGAAGAAAGTTAGAGGCCTCAGATGCATTTAGTAGGATGAACACTTAGCTTTCAGGAAAGGAGAAGGAAGATTGTCACTAAAGAAGAGTGATTGGGGACAATCATGAGGTTCTACTCTTTCCTGGGGACCTGTGTGCCACAGTTCGGTCTACAGAGGAGGGCAGACAGCTCCTGCCACCCCAATCCTAGCCACATCCACTCTGCAAGCAGTAGAATGAGCAGAAACAGCAGGGAGGACTCTTCTCATGCCTGCCATATTTCCCTGAAAAATAAGGTCCAACCAGAAAATAAGCTCAGCATGATTTTTTAGGGTGCTCATAATATAAACCCTACCCTAAAAATAAGCCCCAGTTAAGATGGTGGTCAGCCAGATGAACGCATTTAGTAGGTCTGTTGCAACACATGATGGACATACTGAATTGCAAATAATAATAATATGTAAGTAAAAATAAACAATCTTATTGACATTAATACTTAAAATAAATGATAAGTTATAATCAGATATTTATAAGTACCTAGGCAGTACCTTTGGATGAGCAATAAACATCTATGTAAACCAGTGAGCTCAAGACTTATTACGAATGACCAATTGGAATACAAACATAATGTACAAATAACATGCACACTTGAAAACAAACAGACATGGTCATGTCTAATATGGATCTTCATAATTCAATACATCATGCATTGCAATGGGTATACTTAATCCACTTATATGAAATAAACAAATATTTTTCTGATTTTTTTTTTTTTTTTTTTTTTTTGTCTTTTCGAGACAAGGTCTCTATGCAGTTCAGGCTGGCCTTGAGCTCACTTTGTAGCCTAGGCTGGTCTTGAACTCGCAACAATCCTCTGGCCTCAGCCTCCTGAGTGCTGGGATTACAGGTGTGAACCACCACGCCCGGCTATTTTTCTGAATTTTGATGCCTGCAATTTTTCACCACTTTTGTGTGGGCCATCATTTTTTTGTGGGGGGCACGATTCTTAACCATCATCATTTTTTTTTTTGCCTCTCCTGTATCATAAGTCTTCAATTAACACCTGATTTAATGGAAACTTTGTGAAGCCCAGCTTGCAAGAGATCATGACTTGGCTGAAGAACTGATGGGATAAGATCACTGGCAGCTACATTGCCAGTGCACTACAAGCTGGCTACATGGACAAGAAGTGCTCACTCAAGGAGAGCTCAGTTGCTGGACATGAGAGACTGGGGCCAGTGATTCAACAGGAAATGAAATCACAAGAAGTTTAGGCCAGAATTCGGAGTTTGGAGAGTTGAGACAATGGTCCAGAACAAGATGACATGACTGTATTTGAATAAATGCAGACTTTTGTACGTGAGTAAATGAATGAGTAGAGATTGTTGTCTATACCCTTCTTCTTTACTGCAGGCTCAGGAGCACCCATAAGTCAATGTTTAAGGCTGCAGTGTTCGGGGCCCACATGCCACATGAGAGCCGGCACTATCCCTCAGAACCTCTGGACCATGGAGCCCGTCTATCTCTGCTTGAACCCAAAGAGACGCAGGCGGTGACCTGACACAGGAGACTCTGGGTGGAAATCTTATGCAGACTCTACCACGGCGAACACACCTGGCTTGATGATCCTGCCGGGAGAGGCGGACCTCTTTTTTGAACAGATCAGCATACTGTGAAATGACGAGAGATGAGCGCTAGAGGACATGATAATACTAAGGGAAGAATGGAAGGAGAGAAAAGAGAAGGATGGAGGGAAGGAAAGAGGAGGGAGTGAGGGAGAGAGGAAGATCAAGAGAAGCCCCTTCAGGGTACCCTGAGAGCCAGCTCTGAGTGCTGGGAGCAGATGACTGTGTCAAGGAAGACAGCTCTCTCAGCCTGGAAAGCCCCTCCAAGAATCCCAGAAACCACTCCCACAGGCAGTGTCTGACTCAGGTCAAGCCTGGGCAGATGTCACAGGACACACCTGTGCTGTGGGTGGCAGGCAGGTGCGGCACAGGATGACAGGACCCAAAACTGGTTCCTGCTTTCCTGCCAGGAGACACCTCTGCCTCCCGTGCCTGGCTCCTAAGGCCGCCCTTTCATGTCCCTGTGTCAGCCAGGGTCCTCCTAAGAAGTAGGACCAACAGGACTGAGACACAGAAGGAGACGCACACGAGGGGCTGGGAGTCAGGAGCCCCTGCACACCAAAGTCAGAGAAGACATTGTTCCACCTGGAATGGGATTCGATGGCATGAGGGCGGATCTGCTGTCCTCAGGCATGGAGTCACAGGCCAACCCCTTCCAGAATCACTTGTCAGACACCCAAGAACGATGTCTCACCAGCCCAAGGCATCCCTTAGCCCTGCCCAGAGCTGACACATAGGGAACACTTCAGCCCCTGAGGCTCTGGCCTCCCCTGACGTATACTGCACACTGGGTGCTGACGATTGGTCACTGTGTGCTCTCATTCCCATTTCCAGAGGGGAAACTGAGGCTTAGAGGGATAGAGTCAGTTGGTCTCGGTCACATAGCTAGAGGGGCTCAAACAGCTCTGTGTCTCACAAAGAAGCTGCTCCTAACCATGACCCCCACCACCAGCCAGCGGCCTGGTTGCCTGGTCACTGCCTGGCAGGGGCACTCAGCCACTCCCAACCTCGACAACATCCCAGGGTGGGGTGCAGCCCCCACACCACAGCCTGAAGCAGCGCCCATTCTCACGAGGGGAGACAACACAAGAAAGGCAATCTTGCTTGCTTCACACCGCACACATCTTCCTCTTTCTCAGACTACAAGCACGGGACCTGGCTGAGGTCTGGGTGGAGCTGTGTGGCCTCAGCCAGGTGTGTCTTCCCAGGAACCTTAGTGTTTTCAGAGATAGACAGTGAAGGCCTTGTCCAGGGCAGGCCCCTGCCTATGCCTAGCAGATACCCTCTCAGCTTCTCCAGAGGAGGCTGTGGAATCCTCTGGAGTCCTCCAAGTCAGTAACTGGATCTAAGGGAAGGTGAGACCCTGGGACCACAGGGCATGACTCCTGGTGCAAGGGCTCCAACCAGGGGGCAGACTACACACTGAAACCATGAGCCAAAATGAACTTCTACTCCTCTGAATTGTGGATGGCGATTGTGCCTCATCAAAGAAAGAGTGACAAAGACAATACACCTACAACCCCAATTACAGGCAGTAGGATCACAGGTCCAAGGCCAGCCTAAGCAGTTTAGCCAGACTCTGTCTCAGAACTAAAAAATAAAATAAGCCAGGCATGCTGGTACATGCCTATAATCCCAGATCTCAGAAGGCTGAGGCAGGATGCTCGCTGTGAGTTTGAGGCCAGCCTGAGCTACATGAGTGTGTTCAAGGCCATCCCACTCTACGTATTGAAACCCTGTCTCAATAGAATAAAATACAAAAAAGTAAAATACAATACAATACAATACAATAGCTGAGTGTGTAGCTCAGAGTTCCCTGGATTCAATTTCCAGTACTGGGGGATAAAAAGCTTTTTACAAAAGGAATTATTAATAAAGAAATTGGCAAATGTGAATAAATCTCCCCCAAAAAAAGCATCTTCTGAAATAATATAAATAACTGAAGATGTATAAACACAAGATAGAATTCAAACCTAAGCTGAATAACAATCTACATCAAATTGGAGACATGGTTTTCAAACATTGTAAGATTCTTGTATTATTCAGGAGAGAGATACAGATACTAATTAACTTGTAAATTAAATTTGAGGTTTAGTAAATTAGCTTTGTTACAATATGAAAGATATTCTAGAACCTAATAAAAATAAAATGTTCCAAAATATCAAAGAGAAGCATCTAAAATCACTGGAACACAGGCAGGTTTCTTTTTGATTTTTTACTTTCATATATTCACATTTCACACATTTCACAGATTCACAGATTCATAGAAAACTGCAAAATGTTCATAGAGTCCCCTGTGTTCTTCACCCATGTCCTTCTGATAATAACATCTTACACAGTTATAGTACAATATGAAAACTAAGAACCTATGGTGTAATACTGTTAACTAGGTGACAATCTTTTCTATTTTTGTATGCATTCATGCATGTGTATGATCTTTTTCTCTTCTTGTATCTCTCCTTTCCTCTTCTTTTCTTTCCTGTTTCAGTACCTGGGGTTGAACCCACAACCTCACACCTACTAAGTGGAGAAGCACTCTACCACTGAGCTACATCCTCAGCTCTATGTATCCAAGTCCTGTGTAACTTTACCCCACTACAACAGATCCGTGTGACCACTACCATAATCAAGTTACAGAGCTATTACACCACTACCACAAACCACTTCTGGCTATATCTTCCTATCTCTGGATTTTTAAACGATGTTGGGGAAATTAGGCAAACATTTAGGGGAAAAGTAAATTATATCTACATCTCACATTGTAAGAAATAACTATTTTGACAAAATTAAAAGGCAGTTGACAAACCTGGAGAAAACATTTGCAGTCACATTACACAATAACAGTTCATGCTTGACAATGGGGAAAGGATGGCCAGTGTACAGAGATTGAAAGTTATAAGTGCCACCCTCACAACAACAAGCTAAACAAATGAAAACCAGATTTTTTTCTTGCACCCATCAGGAAACAGGTTGTAGGGTTAACTATCACCCTGAGAAGTGAGTCCTGAAACTCACAAGTGAGACTGACTTTCTAGAGCAAAAGCCATTGAAGTCATGAACAGGTGGGACATTGAGAGAGTCATTCTGACACTGCTAAGAGGTTGTGACTGAGATCTGTAGTCCACAGAGGGGGCTCCGTATCTCTGTGACTCCAACTCCAGGAAACTTGATCAATTCTCATGGTGAAGAGCCAAGAAAGACCCCTCTTGGATCTGGCAGAAATCTGACATCCATTTATGAATAAAAAAACAAAACAAAACAAAAGCAACCCCAGCAAACAAGAAATAAAGAAAAATGTCCTCACTCTGATTAAGAATGTTATGAAAAGCATACAGCTAGCATCATACTCAATGGTGAAAAACAATGTTCTCCTTGCTAAGACGAATAGCAAGGAGGCCCTCTCTCCTTGCTGAAAATAGTAATTCATAGACAATGACAAGAAGTGCAAACGGAAGTACAAATTGAGAAGGAGGATACACAAGGGTCTTGGTTCAGAGATTAAATAATTTCCCTTGAAGAGAATCCTTAAGAATAGACATATGGGCTGGGGATTTAGCTCAGCGGCATAAGCGCCTGCCTTGCAAGCAGGGAGTCGTGAGTTCGATCCCTGGTACCGATAAAAACGAAAAAGACAAAAAAAAAAAAAAAATAATCAAGAATAGACATACATGGGGCTGGGGATTTAGCTCAGTGGCATAAGCGCCTGCCTTGCAAGCAGGCAGTTGTGAGTTCGATCCCCCGTACCGATAAAAAGGAAAAAGACAAAAAAAAAAAAAAAAAAAAAAAAAAAAGAATAGACAGACAGAAAAAAAAAAAATGAAAGAAAGAAAGGAAATACTCAGAACTAATAAACCAGGTTAGCAAGGTCAGGACACAGGTTAATATATAAAAGTGGCAACCGATTGGGGACCCCTTCTGTCTTTCAGGGGCTATTCCTATCCCCATTCCCTCATTCATATTCCCTATTCCTTTTTCTCCAATAAATTTTCCTATCCTTAACCTCAGCCAGGTGTGGCGGTGCATGCCTCTACTTCTAGACCTCAGGAGGCTGAGGTAAGAGGATCACTGTGAGTTTGAGACCAGCCTGGGCTACAAAGTGAGTTCAAGGCCAACTCAAACTGCATAGTGAGAACCTGTCTAAAAAATAATAATTAATGGGGCTGGGGATTTAGCTCGGCATAAGTACCTGCCTTGCAAGCAGGCGGTCATGAGTTCGATCCCCTGTACCGATAAAAAAAATTTTTTTAAAACCCTACCTATTTTTAACTTCTACTGTTCTTTAGAATTCATTCTTTGATTTCAAGGGACACAAACTCAGCATATTTGACATTTAGCATTTCCCTTATAGAATATTAGCAGGTCCCACTGAGATACGTGGAAGGAGGTAAGAGTTTGCTTTTGTTTCATGGCACCTCTAAAATATTTAGTCCCTATTCCCCATTCCTTTTTCTCTAATATATTTTCTTACTCTTAAAAATATATAATAAATATATTAATCTGGGCACAGTGAGGTACACCTGTAACCCAGCACTTAGGAGACTGAGGCAGGGGGATCACTGTCAGTTTGAGGTCACCCAGGGCTACATAGTGAGTTCAAGGCCAGCATAAACTGCATTATGAGACCTTGGAGAGAGAGAGAGAGAGAACTATTAGCACAACAGAATAGATGTGAGCTTATACCTCATCAAAGAAAATGTACAAAAATCAAACAAGCATTTGGCATAATGAACTACAAATTTAAACAATGAGATAAACTACAAATCTATTCAAGTAGCTAAAATCCAGAAACTGACAACTACAAACACTGATGGGCTAGAAAAATAGAAACATTTATGCCTAGTAGGGAAGCAAAATTACACAGTCACTCTGGGAGAAAATGTTTGGCAGTTTCTTACAAAGCTATACAAAGCTTATCAGCCCTTCTGGCTAGCAACCACATATATGGGTATCTTCATAACCAACCTGAAACATATGTCCCCACAACACAATTATTATGAATGTTGACAGCAAGTAAAGAAGTTTGATAAGCCAGATGTGGTGGTGCACACATGTAATCCCAGCATTCAGAGGCTGAGGCAGGAGGATCACTGTGAGTTTGAGAGCAGCCTGAGCTATGAAATGAGCTCAAGTCCAGCCTGAATTGCATACTAAGACTTTGTCTCAAGAAGAGAAGAAGGAGGAGGAAGAAAAGGAAGAGGAGGAACAAGAGGAGGAGGAGGAAGAGAAGAAAAAGGAGAAACAGAAGGAGAAGAAGGGAGAGAAAAAAAACAGCAACAGCTTGATAAGTGTTAGGGATACAGCTCAGTGGCATAGCACCTGCCTGGCAAGCACAAGGCTGTGAGTTTAATTTCTGGTACCAAAAAAAAGCTTGGTAGAACACATGTATGGTAAAACCCTGTGCCCAAAGTTTAGAAAATGCACATTGTATTCACCAATGCAAGATATTTACAAAAATGGACCACCCCTTATTAGGCCCCAGCCAAGTCTTGGTAAATATTGCAGCACTAGGGTTCTACAGATGCACACTGCCACACCCCTGGGTTTGCCACTAGGAGGCCAGCATCACAGCTCAACTCACCCTAGTGCTGGAAAACAATCCCACTCTGACTTTCACTGACATAGACTGAGTAGCCACATAACTCCACCGCACCAGGCAGTACACTGGTGTTTGCTATGGCCCTGCCTAGAACACTCACAGTCCTAGAAAGGCTGCTACCCACTAAGAGAAAGCCCACCATGCTGACCAGTCCCCTGTGGTGGTAACCAGAGGGTCTGGGGCTTGAGACAGGAGGGAGCCTGAGAAAGGCACCATGTCCCCTCTTCCTGCTCCCTTTGGCACCACGCTAGGGGAAAGAGGAAGAGGGGCTCTGTAATAGCAGATGCAGGTGTCACTGAAATCTCCATGGTTGGACTGGGGGTGTAGCTTCATGGTAGGAGGCTGTTTAGCCTACACACTACCTAGCAGCCAAAAAGCACTTTTTAAACATTTAAAGTAAATGTTTCTTTTATCCTTTATGGGTGAGAAGAACAGCTCAGAGAGATTGTGACATTGTCCCAAGGCAACATAGCCTAGAGGTGGTTTGAACTCAGGTCTGTCTTTTTGCAAAGCACATGCCACTCTTTCCACCAGCGCATGGCTGTCCATGTTCTACAGAGCCTCTTCCTCCAGACTGGACCTAGCTGGGGCAAAACTGAGTACTTCGTGCAAGGACTGTCACCCAGGGCATGAAGGAGCTGAGGTCACCCTGACTCCAGCCCAGCTTGCTTCTGCTTCCCCAGGCCTCTGCTACGGTACTGTAAAACACCAAAAGTGAGCCTGAGGTCCTGAGGGTGGGGCCCAGCGGCTGGGGTCTGTGTAACTGAAGGCACCCTCCCACCCTGTCTGGCTCTTTGTCAGGCCAGTATGGGGATGGACAAGTCGGAGAGACTCCTGTTTCTTGAAGACCTAGAGGAGAAAGCTGGCTCCCAGAGAAGTAAAATAATCTGTCCGAGGCTACACTACACAAGAGGCAAAGCTGAGGTTCGAGCCTGAGGCTCCAATACCCTGTCAATGCTGGCAAGAAGTGTTCAGGGGCCCACTGTTGGCGTATCCTTGGGCACCCCCGGGATCGGGCAGTGCGCGGTGATGGAGGGTGAGCTCCCCGTCTATGCAGGTGTGCAAGCCCAAGCGGCGCTGTCAGGTTGCGCAGCCACGCGGGCCCAGCACGCAGCCGCGCTTCGCCAGGCCAGCCGCCAGCCCCGTGGTCCGTTCCCGGCTCCGGGCTCCCGGCCTCCCGGGCGGGGCGCTGCTATTTCTGTCCCTGCGGCGGGAAGCAGGGGCGCCGGCGCCATTTCGCTCCCGGCCGCGCAGCACCATGAGCACCGCGGCCTTCCACGTGGCGGGGCTGCTGGAAAAGATGACATCCAGCGACAAGGACTTCAGGTGCGCGCTGGCCTCGCCTGACCCCGACCCAGACCCCGATCCTGACCCCGACCCTCGTCCTAACCCTGATCAACTGGGATGCCTGCCTGGCCCCACCCCTGCCCCCCCCCCCCCCCGCCCCAGCTCCTCTGCCAAGTCCTGACCCTCGCCCTGCCCCTAACCCTCACCTTGATCCTGACCCTAAGCCTAGTCCTGATCAGGAGTGGCCAAGCTGTGGCAGCCCTCTCCCCACTCCTGCCTTCCTCTGTCCCCTGCCCAGTATCCCAGAACCTCAAGGGCAGAGCACAAGAGAATGCAGGAAATCTCTGGTCCTCTCAGGGGAAATTAAAGCCTAGGTAGAAGGGACAGGCCAAGGCCACGGGCCAGTGCCGGACCTCAGAACTGGCAGAGACCTTAGAAACCCCTTAGCCACAGCCCCTTAGCTGCCACTGTTTCCATTTTACAGAAAGGGCCACTGAATTCAGAGGCAGGAACTGGACAGGGGAGAGACTTGGTTTGGGTCCAGGCAGGCTGATGCAGAAACCCTGTCCCAGACTGGCAGGTTGGGGACCCAGAAAAGCCAGTCCTGATCACCCTACAAGATCCTGGCTTCAGATGGCCTCCACCACGCCCAGCTCTGAGACCATGCAGATGTCACCCCACCCTCAAGTCCTGGCGACTGCCTGAGGGCTGGGGGAGGACAAGAGAGGGCCCCTGTGCAGCACTGGGGGAAGGGCAGTACCAGGTGAGGCGAACTCCAGAGCATCCCAGAGATACGGTGGGCCACACCCCTTACCCCTTGGGCACCACTGGGATGGGACTCCCCTACACAAACCCTGTTTCTGCCCTGTCACCTTTTCCCAGTAGCTACTACTCTCCTGAACCATTGGGACTTCAGGGGACACAGAAATACTCAGGGCACATTGGTGGAGCCCAGGCACCTTGTCACTCCCCAGGCAATGGATTCCATTCCCCTCTGCCTGGTGTCCAAGAAGCTCTGTCCCTGACAGTGGCCGGAGAACACTTAACACCACCAAGAGCTACAGGAATGGTGGCTATTTTTAGTGTCCTGGCACCAGCTGTCCCAGTGCCCATGTGGCTCTGGGCTGAGTGGCTCTAGGATTTCTCTGGAACAAAACTGATTCAGTGGGCTGAGGATCTTGAAGGGGACAGAGACACAAGGGGATCCCGGGTAGGTGGAGGAAACATAGATCCTGTCTTGCTGGCTCGGGTATGGCAAATCCATAAATTCAGAATCTTGCCGGTATTCCCAGTCCATTTCTGAAAGCACAGTCCTCTGGGTGGGGACTATTTGGGGGCTGGTGCTCCACCAGTTTACTGTGTGACCTTGGGCAGGTAGTGCAACCTCTCTGAGCATAAGTGTCTTCATCTACTCCACTAACATCTCCAAGGGTACTCTATAAGGTAGGGGCAAAGAAAATTCACATTTAATCACTGCAAAAACACCAAGCAGAGGAGACAGATGCCCCCTATTGGTAAGTGACATAGCTAAAATATTTACATAAAGCCTAATTTAACATGCCAAAGCTCTTATCCACCAACTTCTACAAAACGCTAAAGTGAATTCTGAGCTGCTCTCTAAAGGACTTCAGAGATAGAGATGCTGAGGCACATTTAGAAGGATTGATTTCTGAGTTCAAATTTCCCTACAGCTGTTGAGCTCCAAGGGCTGCCAAGGGCTACTTCTCTCTGTTACTCTCCCAGCTCACCCTAACCCTAACCCTCTTATTGTCTATCCCTCTCCCAGTTAACCATAATCCTAATGGTAAACCTAACTAGCCCTAGTACTCACACTCACCCTGTCCCTCTGTGGACCTGTTCCTTGCTGAGCCCAGGTCCCAGTGCTGAACCGACAACCAGCACAGTGAGCTCAGAGTCCAGAGAGAAGGGCTCGCCTCACTACACTGGCATTGCAGCACAGCAGGGATTTTCAGGAGGATCCTCTCTGGGAGGCATGTGTGTGCAGTGGGGAGTAGGACAGAGCAGTCAGTCATTCCTCACGGGGTCACCGGAACCTGGCACTCTGGACAAATAGGAACTCCATGGGTAGAGAAAAAATCACGGCAGAAAGCTCACTGAGCCTTTTGGGTACTTCTTCAGGTTACTAGGTTGAGCTAGGTATGTGGGCAGAAACACAACCTGGGAAACAGTCTGCCTTCCCCAAATGTCCCAGAGTAGACCTAGGGACATACGTGGCTACCTTAGGCCATGGCTCACATCTCCTTGCTGCCTTCTGGTGTCCTTCTCCTCTCAGTGACTGAGGTCAGCCCAACTGTCAGGACAAACAGCTGTGATAGGCACAGGGGCCTGCAGTGTCAGGGCACTATGGGCCACCATGGCATGTGTGTCAAAATCCAGGAGGCTAGGAGTGAGCTTTCATGACACAGTGATTGCAGAGGGCAGGGCATCTCCTCACTCTGTCCCCACACAAGGTTCTGTGGGAACCAGGAAATGGCTGAGTGACAGGGCCTTGGAGGCAGTTCAGCCTCTGCTTGGGCTCTTCACTTGAGAGGTTCAGTGTCCCAGGCTCACCCCACTGCCCCAGTTCTGTGACCAGCCACAGTCTCAGATGTGTTAGGTGTCAGGCCACACACAGCCTCACCTTGGTGTCCACCCCAGTAGTGAGCCAGGAGAGATCTGCAGGGCTGGAGATCACCTATTGGCCACCTATTCTGTGTCCAGGTTCCATCATCATGGCCAGGACAGTGGTTTCCAAAGCTAAGACTTCCATCCTGAGTATCACCCAGGGAGTTGAGTGTGACAGGGACCCCAGGCTGCAACCCAGGTCTCCATAGAGCGGCACAGGGCAGCTCTCATGGCCCCTGCTACTCTGACTGCTGTGCTGTCCCTCAGCACTCACCATGGCTCCACAGGGATCCTGTGCTCACCCTACTCTCGGATGGGGACACAGGCCAAGCTGGAGGCAACCACCCAGGCATGGAGCTGGCTTGTTATGCTTGCCAGGCTGCCACCCTGTAGGTGTCCACGTGGTTGTAGCCCTGTGGATCTCCTTGGTCTCCAGGTTCATGGCTACCAGTGACCTGATGGCAGAGCTGCAGAAAGACTCTATTCAGCTGGATGAGGACAGCGAGCGCAAGGTCGTGAAGATGCTACTTCGGCTCCTGGACGACAAGAACGGTGAGGTGCAGAATCTTGCTGTGCGGTGGTGAGTATCATTGCAGGCAGGCAGGTGGATGGGGTAGGGGGCTGCCAGGGGTGGGGCACTACCCTCAGGGACAGGCTGAGGCAGGACCTGCTGGCAGCTCCAGAGTGCCAGGGGGCTGGACAGTGGCTCCAGTTGGCTTCCTCCACAAGTGGACCCTGAGCCAGGACTCAGGTCCGAGTTCATTTGGGAGGTGGTGATCCCAGGAAATAGAGGAGGGAGAGGAAGAAGAGAGCCAGGCTAGACCTTGTGGAAGACTTTTTTCCCCCTAATTCAGGCTGGCCTTGTACTCACTATGTAACTCAGGTTGGCCTCAAACTCACGGCAACCCTCTTGCCTCAGCCTTTCGAGTGCTAGGAAGACAGGTATGTGCCACCACGCCCAGCTGGAGGAGTTGAGTTTTTAAATCCTCTGGGGACCTCTGGGACAGGACAGGAAGCTAGGGTGTGACTTCTCTTCCTATGTTGGGTTGTGGCTGTTAGGATGAAGGGTTGTTTTCTGTCTCCTCCAGTCAGAGAAAGCCACCAAGCCGGCTGCAGCACTGGCTGCTAGAAAGTGGTAAGGGCTGGGGACTGGGATTGAGGGGCGCACAAGAGTGAGGAGCTGGCATCTGTAGTTTGCTCCTGAGTGCACAACAGCCTTTGAGAACCACTCGGTAAGAGCAGAGGTCTCAACTGTGATTGCACACTAAAACCACCTGTGGAGTTAAAACGTCCCACTGGGCTGGGTTTGGTGGCACACACCTGTGATTGCAGTACTCGGAGAGGCTGAGCCAGGAGGATAGCAGATTGCCACTTAGTGAGACTGGGAGTGTAGCTCAGCAAGAAGGCCCTTGGTTCCATTCCTAGTGCTAAAAATAAAAAGTCCCTGGGGCTGGGGATTTAGCTCAGTGGCATAAGCACCTGCCTTGCAAGCAGGCAGTCGTGAGTTCGATCCCCGGTACTGGAAAAAAGAAAAAAAAAAACATGCAAAAAAAAAAAAAGACAAAGTTAAACTGACATAATAATTCCTTGGGGCTGGGGATTTAGCTCAGCAGCATAAGTGCCTGCTTTGCAAGTGCATGATCGTGAGCTCAATCCCTGGTACCGATAAAAAAAAAAAGTCCCATCAGTACACCCAAAACCAGGTATTTCAGACTGCCTGAGGGTGACGCCCAGTGACAGCAGTGTGCAGCAGCCTGGGAGCCAGGGAGTCTGGCGGGGCTTTATGCTGAAGCCGATGCCCCAGGACCAGGCTCCAAGATGTCAGCATGGGCGCTTTGATAAGCAGCACCAGCATCTATATGGGCTAGCCAGAACCACACATCCTCTATTACTTAGAGGCATGACGACTGTGGGGGCAGGGCACATGGGGCCATGAGGTGCCATGCTGGTGGAGGATGAGGTGTGGGCAGAGCACAGAGTCCCCTTTGAGAGGGGCCCTTTCTTCCAACCATGTGACCCTGGAGCACAGGGTCCAGGAGCAGCTGACTCAGGTGCCTCCCTCCTGCCCAGCCTGGGTCCGCTGGTGGGCAAAGTGAAGGAGTGCCAGGTGGAGACCATCGTGGATGCCCTCTGTGCCAACATGCGGTCCGACAAGGAGCAGCTTCGGGACATTGCTGGCATCGGCCTCAAGACTGTGCTCTCAGAGCTGCCCCCCGCAGCCACAGGTACCCAGCACCCAGCAGTGGGCACACTGCTTTTTGCCCCAGCTCATGATTAAAAATCTGAGGCTCAGGGCAATGACAGTACTGACCCAAGGCTCCTCAGCTAGAAGGTGTAACCAACCCAGGTGAATTTAAATCCATGGCTTTGTGTCTGCTAGGAATGCTTTTAGCTGCACAGAATGGCAGTGTGAGGAAAAAACATGAGATGGGCAGGGTGGTGGTACCAGTACTCAGAAAGCTAAGGCAGGAGAATCACTGTGAGGTCGAGGCCACCCTGGGTTACAATAGCATGACTCTGTCACAGAAAGAAAAAAAAAAAAAAAGCAAGGTGATCTCTGGAGGGATCAACCACTCCATTTGTTATACAGATTCACTTAGCAGCTCAATACTGACAGCCTGAGTTCCAAGCCCACCTTTCCTCTCCTTTATAAGAAAAGGGGAGCCAGCCCTCAGAAAACTCCCATGCTCTCAGCCTTTCAGGAGGCTGGTGAAGCATGTAGCTTTCCTGTGGCCCAGTAGAAGTGGCTATGGAGGAAAGGCTAGAGCTGGACCAAGGCCACGTCTCTGCCATCCCATGCCAGCTCTCCTGGCACTCTCCTTTGTCTGGTCAGACTCTGGGTCACACCTGGGGCCACTGGAGTCCCTCTGCTTGGATCTGCAAGATTCCTGGAAGTGCTGGATTTGGCAAAACAGCTGAAGGGGAGGCTGGAGAGGTAGAGGCTGCTTCTCTCCCAGCCTGGGTCCTCATCAGTCCACCTTGTGCCGGGCGCAGGCTCTGGGCTAGCCACCAATGTGTGCCGGAAGGTCACGGGTCAGCTCACCAGTGCCATCGCCCAGCAGGAGGATGTGGCCATGCAGCTAGAGGCCTTGGACATCCTGTCAGACATGCTGAGCAGGTAAGGGTGTGGGGATTTGGGTGCACCCAACCAGCACCTCCCAGGGGCACCTTGTTCCTCAGCCGTCCTGCTCACTCCATGGCCACCACCTCTAAACACCCTCTAGGAGGTGATGTGACCAGCCAACCCAAGGTCTCATCACCAGCAAAACCTCCTCCCTGAGCATCTGCTTTAGTAGTTCATGGATCCAGAGTTGGCAGAGGCAGGGACTCAGGCAGGTTGATTCTGGCTCTGCTGCCAGGGAAGGGGGGGGGGTGTAGTGGGTAATGCTATAGCAGAAGCTGGTTACCTGAGACACCGGTTTGACCTTGACCTCCTGAGCACGGATCCTGGAGCCTCGGCATAGTCCTGCCACTAGTAGGTGGAGAGAAAAACAAGGGAGCCCAGGAGAGAGAGGACTCTGCCCAAGACTGTGGGAGGGCACGTAGCTGTCAGGTCCCTGGAGCCCTGGCTTACAGCATGGCTAGGCCGGCACTCACGGCTACCCCGGCCTCTTGCAGGCTAGGCGCCCCGCTGGGCTCCTTCCACGCCGGCCTGCTGCACTGCCTGCTGCCCCAGCTGAGCAGCCCGCGCCTGGCAGTGAGCAAGCGGGCTGTCATCGCGCTCGGACATCTAGCGGCCACCTGCAACGCCGACCTCTTCACGGAGCTTGCAGACCATCTGCTGGAGCGACTGCCGGGCCCGAGCACGCCCACCAGCCCTGCTGCACTCCGCACACTGGTGCAGTGCGTGGGCAGCGTAGGCCGCCAGGCGGGACACCGGCTCGGTGAGGGGCGGACCGGATGGGATCGCCAGGGAGGGAGGGGCCAAGGCCCCGGGGGCGTGGGCCCTGGCTTTCAGGAGGGCCAGAGGGGCAAGGGGCTGCAGGCTTTGGGAGGCGAGGCCATCGATTTAGGGTGGGGCAGGCTGAGCTATGGAAAGGGCGGGGACCACTGCAGCGAAGGATGGAAGCGCAGGGTCTGGATCAGTGTTTGGGCGAATCTAAGAAGAGAGCAGAGAGATTGAGGTTCGGGGCGGGGCCTGGGGAGGGGCGGGGCCGGAGGCGGGCGGGGCCTTGCACAAGTACCACACTGACCTTGGTGCTTGCCTCTGGCGGTGCGAAGGGTGCAGATCCATTATGTCTGTGGCCTGTGAGGTTCACACATAAGTCATTACAAGTCAGGCCTTTGGATCTTTAAATAAAGTAGATTCTGCCCGCCTACTTTGACAGACACCTTAATAACCTGTGAGCCACGTTTGGGTTTTCTTAAACTCTGTTTAAGAATATCTAAAATTAGCTCCCTATTTAGTATACGTTCAGTGCACTTTGACCTTCGCGTGCTCTTGTGAAACACCTGCCACTGTCCTGTCAGAAAGTCTCCCTCACCCCCAAGCGTCTGCTCAGGGCGGGCAGCCGCTCCAGGAGGTGGTCGCAACCTCCGCGAAGAGGTTGGAGTCGCTGGTGGCCGCTAGGTGTAGGTCTTCCCTTGCAGCCCAGCCCTTCTTCCCTTGCCGGGTGTGAGTGTGAGGACTGCCCCCTGCTGGGCAGGCACACTGCTCCCAACGTCCGCCAACCTGTAAGCACCCTCTGCCAGGAAAAAGGCTGCAAACGTGAGATAGGGTTCCGGGGGACTGAGCAGGAGACGGTAGAGTCCCAGGGGCCCAAAGTAGAAACAACAGAGTGCTTGGAATCTTCAGTTGGTGTGCTCCTGTCCTGGCCCAGGATGCATCAGGGAAGGGCACAAGTAGGATCCTGCCTCCTGTTTCTCCCACCCCATCTGGGGGCTTAGGACTTGGTGCAAAAAAGGGCTGAAGCCACATGGAGAGGTCCCAAGGCAGAGGTGTTTACTTATGTCTAAGCTTCTTGTCACCTGTCTTTACTGTCTTCACAGAATTTAGACTTGGGGCTATGGCTGTCGCTCAGTGATCCAATGCTTACCCAGTTCCCCCAAAAACAGATCAGTAAATGAGTCAGAGAGGCTTGGCCCAAGCCCCAAGTCCTGTGGCACAGGGATGCAGTTGGCTGGACCTGCATCTGCTGCCAGAGCCTCTGTACTGAGACTGCTGTGTGAGACCAGCAAGGATGGGGGCCACAGGAAGGGATGAGGGCTGCAGAGGTTGAGGCCTCTGAGCTGGGGACTCTGCAGTGTCCTGCCTGGCCCTATGCTCTGCCTGGCCTGCAGGACCCCACCTGGACCGCCTGGTGCCACTGCTGGAGGAGTTCTGTGGCCTGGAGGACGATGAGCTCCGGGAGTCTTGCCTGCAGGCCTATGAGGCTTTCCTGAGGAAGTAAGTGCCCCAAGCCATGGAGGACAGAAGTAGGGAGCAGCAGTACCCCTGCCCTACCTGACCCAGCAGAGCCTCCTGTGCCCTCCTACAGGTGCCCCAAGGAGATGGGGCCCCATGTCCCTAGCGTGACCAGACTTTGCCTCCAGTACCTGAAGCATGACCCCAACTACAACTACAACAGTGACGAGGAAGAGGAGCAGATGGAAACAGAGGACAGTGAGTCCAGTGAGCAAGGTGGGTGAGGACTGTCATGGGGCTGGAGGGGGTGGTGGGCCCGGTCTTCCAGGGACTCCCCAAGCCAAAGACTGTCCCATCAGGGCCATTGAATGCCAGCCTGCCTGGCTGCTCAGACTATAGCACATACTAGAGCCACAGCCTCGGGGTCCAGAGCTTCGCCATCCACATCAGCATCCACATGTTCAGCAGCCTGCAGAGTGAAAGTGCTCAAGACTTTGTTTATCTGTACTGAATATGTACAGGCTTTTTTCCTGTCATTATTCCCTAAATAATATAATGAAATTACTGTATCTGTGGCATTACAATGTATCAGGCATTATATGAGGGGTATAGTTGAAACACAGTGAATGTTGAAATTTTTTGTTATAGTAAAAGTCACACTACAATGAATCTCCCTCAAAATCCTCCCCCTCACTTTGAACACAATGATTTCATCCTCTGAAGCGGTTCTGAAAGTCCTCTTCTATGTCTTTAATTGTGCTGTTGTGGTTGCCTCCATGTCCCAAATTGATTTAAAACATTGACCCTTCATGGTCATTTTGTCTTTGGGAAAGAACCAGAATTTGTACGATGCCAGACTTGCTGGATAAGGTGGATGAGGACACAGGGTCATATTTTATGAGCCTGCCTTTCTGTTGCATGGCACTTGGCAGCAGCATTCACCATATATTTGATCCCATCTAGTAAAGAGGACTTCCAGGACTGCTTTAGAAAGTGACAAGGAGAGTGAGATAGGTGTATTTCAAGTGTGTGGGGGGTATCTTGAGGGGAATTAATGACAGTGTGCCTTTTACTGTAATATAACTTTTTTAAAAAAAACAAATACCATATTTTTTGATCACACCTCATAACTCAGTTTAGTTAACCTTAAAGTATTCAGGAAGATGTGCATGGGTTATTTGCAAACATTAAGCCATTTTACTGAAGGGACTTGAGTGCCTGAGATTTTGTTATTGAGGGGCATCCAGGAACCAGTCCCTGGGGTTGCCTTTGTGCCAAGGGTGACTGTTATGGCTCTCACTTGGTGTGCTGGGCTCTTATTCCTTGCCCCACACAATGACAAGGCACCTGCTGTGATTATCCCTGTGTTCCAGACCAGGAATGCATGCTAAGAAGAGATTTGCCTGTGATGGCAGGACTGAGCTGTGAGTTCTGAGACTTGAAGCTGACTGTGGCTACCATCTCTGCAATCATATATTCATGGCTTCCAAGAGATGGCATTTTTTTTTTATCAGTACCAGGGATCGAACTCACGACTACGCACTTGCAAGGCAGGTGCTTATGCCGCTGAGCTAAATCCTCAGCCCCTTTTTAAATTTTTTTATCATAAGAGATGGCATTTTTAACCCAGGAGAGAGATGTGCTGTGGGGGACAAATGGGCATGACAGGGGAGGCAGCTTCTTTTCTCCAGTGCTGTGATACTGTCACTCATACCGGTGTCAAGGCAGAGATGCCCCAGGCCGGGAAAACAGCATACAGGTAGGAACAGAAATTTAGGGTCTCATAGTGGGAGAGGAGAGTGGATGGGCAGCTGGAGCCAGGGATGTCAAGCCAGAGAATATGGATGCTTTCTTGACCATCATGGGGAGCTATGGACATTTCTTCTAGAGTGGTATAGGGTGGAGAGAATGGCCCACTGCAGCTCATCCAGACTTGGGTGCCTGAGTCTTCATCATCCTCAAAACGGCCAAGGGTGCTCTCAGTGTTATGTGTGTCCCAGGTGGTCTTGGTGGGCTTCCTTGGCCTGCATCTCAGCCCTGCAGTCTTACATGTATGCCCTGAGCAGATGTCTTGCCCTCTCTAAGCCCCATCTTGCCATCTGTGAAGTAAGTCCAGTGGCACTTTGCTTTCTGAGGTGCTCTTGTCTCTCAGGGGAGCTTTATAGTAGACAGTCACACAGAGCCAGGCATGATGGCACATGTCATCCCAGCGCTTGGGGGGCTGAAGAAGGAAGGCTGACTTGAATTCAGTGCCAGCCTAAGCTATATAATAAATCCAAGGCCAATCAAGACTATGCAGTGAGATCCTGCCTTTCAAAAAAAAACCAACAAAACAAGACCTGGCTTTTCCTTGTTAGTCCTGCTTGGAAGCAGTGTGCTGTGAGATTGGGTGCCTGGTCCATCCTGGCACGCAGTCGGGGTCTCTGCCAAGGGAGTGTTAGTACAGATGGCAAGCTGTCCCTCATCCCCCAAGCTACAGACTTCATGTCTGCTTCCCACCAGAGACAGAGGATGAGTACAGTGATGATGATGACATGAGCTGGAAGGTACGACGAGCGGCAGCCAAGTGCTTGGCAGCCTTGCTGGGCTCACGGCCCGACCTGCTGCCCGACCTGCACCACAGCCTGGCACCTGCACTCGTGCAAAGATTCCGTGAGCGAGAGGACAATGTCAAAGCTGATGTGTTCGCTGCCTACATTGTGCTGCTGCGGCAGATTCGGCCGCCTCAGGGCTGGTTGCAGGCAGTGGAGGAGCCCACTCCCACAGGCAGCAGCCTCCAGTTGCTTCGAGGACAGGTGAGCTGGTTGTCATCACCTCTGTTGTCCCTTGGACTGGTCCCCTTCCTGTTCTCCCCTCACCTGCTGACTTGTGTCACCTTAGCACAGGCCACAGTTTTGGGAATAGGTGGCCTAAGCATGGGATGGGCTTGCTTCACTTGATAGCAAGTGGAAGTCCCCAAAGGGGACAGTAGCAGTCAGGGCACAGATGAGAAAGCTCACATCCATGAGGATGGTCATTCTGGGGCAAAGTGGGGACAAGAGGAGGAACTCGCAGCTGTCCTCCAGGGACAGGAGACAACACTTGGGCCTGGTGGCAGTGGCAGGATGGAGGAAGCGGGTTTCACTTGGAATCATAGGCCTTGCTGGTGGGCCCCAGGATAGACAGGGTGATGTGATTTCCTGCTTGTGGTGGGACGAGAAGTGGGGTTCCCTGGGATAAAACACACTGAAACCGCACAGTTATGTTTGATGTCCTCACAAGAGACTGTAACAAAATAACAAAGTTTGGATGCTTCTTGGAGGAAATGGCTCAGTTCAGCTCAAGATTTGGAGATAGACTCCAAGCAGCCTGCTGTGGCTCTAGCAAGGACTCCTTGGTCACATCACACCATGGTGATGGCAATGAGGCCAGGATGTGTACAGAGAGGAGGCCTCATGGCGAGACTTTGGTCAGAGTGTGGGGTGGGCCAGGCTTGCTCAGAACTGCTCAGCACCTCCTGGCAACACCTCATGGCTCCCAAAGCTTCACTCAGGACTTCCCATATCCTGCATGGTACCAAACAGCACCCAGAAGCCATGGGGGTCATGAAGCATAGTACAAACCTGCATTGAACTGGCCAGAGGTACAGACTGGGCATCCTGGGTTTCAGATCCAAAAGGATGCTGAGGGAGAGGATCAAGCCAAGGAGGGGGTGCCCCTGCCACCTGGCACAAGGGTGACAGGGACAGCCAGACTGCCTGGGTGACCTGAGCCTGTCCCTTGGTCTCTTTAATAAGTGAGGTGCTGGAATTCCTGCCCAAGTGTCCTAATCAGGTGCCTTGATCAGGAGTGCACAGAGTGTCCTCCCTACGGATGTCTGGGAAAGCCTCACAGTGCAGGGGAGTCCCTGACTGCCTCCCAGGTATCCCACCTGCTCACAGGTTTCTCAGGGTGATCCTAACCACCCCTTCCATCCACAGGTTCCCCTGGTGATCAAGGCCCTGCAGCGGCAGCTGAAAGACCGCAGTGCCCGGGTGCGCCAGGGCTGCTTCAGCCTCCTGGCAGAGCTGGCAGGTGTTCTCCCAGGGAGCCTGGCAGAACACATGCCCGTGTTGGTATCAGGTGAGCCAGGTCTCCGGAAGCAGCCATCCAGGAAGCCTGGGCCCCATGCCAGGCTGACACAGGCCCCTTCCTGGTTTTCCTTGCACTAGTCACTGGCCAGGCAGTAAGCACTTGGAAACATCCCAGGTGGGTCCCCAGCCCTGTGATCTCATCTCCACCCCACAGGCATCATCTTCTCACTGGCTGACCGATCCAGCTCCTCCACCATCCGGATGGATGCTCTGACCTTCCTGCAGGGACTGCTGGGCACAGAGCCTGCTGAGGCCTTCCACCCCCACCTCCCCAACCTCCTACCACCCGTGATGGCCTGTGTGGCTGACCCTTTCTATAAGATTGCAGCCGAGGCTCTACTGGTGCTTCAGGAGCTGGTGCGCACCCTGTGGCCACTGGGCAAGCCTCGGGTGCTAGACCCAGCACCCTACATGGCAGAGATGACTGAAGCCACCCTGGTGCGGCTCCGAGCCACTGACCTGGACCAGGAGGTGAAGGAGCGGGCCATATCCTGTATGGGCCATCTCATAGGTCACCTGGGTGACCAGCTTGGGGACACTTTGCAGCCCACACTCTTGCTTCTCCTTGACCGCCTGAGAAACGAGATCACCCGGCTGCCCGCCGTCAAGGCGTTGACACTGGTGGCTGCATCACCATTGCAGCTTGACTTGCGCCCCATCCTTGCTGAGGTGCTGCCCATTCTGGCTTCTTTCCTGCGCAAGAACCAGCGGGCATTGAGGCTGGCCACTCTTGCTGCTCTGGATGCTCTGGCCCAGGGTCAGGGCCGTGGCCTCCCACCATCTGCTGTACGGACTGTGTTGGCTGAGGTGCCTGCACTGGTCAGTGAGAGTGACATGCACGTGGCCCAGTTGGCCGTGGACTTCCTGGCCACGGTAACCCCGGCCCAGCCAGCCTGCCTGGCGGAGGTCAGTGACACCGTGCTGGCTGAACTGTTGCGGCTGCTGCGTTCTCCACTGTTGCCAACCAGTGTTCTGGCGGCTGCTGAGGGCTTCCTGCAGGCACTGGTAGGGACCCACCCACCATGCGTAGCCTACAACAAGCTCCTCAGCCTGCTTACAGCACCTGTATATGAGCAGACTGGGGACAGTGGGCCAGCCCTGCACAAGCAGGTATTCCACTCTCTGGCCCGCTGTGTGGCCGCCCTCTCGGCTGCCTGTCCCCAGGAGGCAGCCGGCACAGCCAACCGCCTCGTCATGGATGCCAAGTCACCACACTCCAGCACAGGGGTCAAGGTGTTGGCCTTCCTGTCACTGGCTGAAATAGGGCAGGTGGCCGGGCCAGGCCCCCAGCGTGAGCTGAAGGCTGTGCTGCTGGAAGCCCTAGGCTCTCCCAGTGAAGATGTGCGGGCTGCAGCCTCCTATGCACTGGGCCGTGTGGGCGCTGGGAACCTGCCCAACTTCCTGCCCTTCCTGCTGGCGCAGATTGAGGCCGAGCCAAAGCGCCAGTACCTACTGCTGCAGGCACTTCGGGAAGCTCTGGGGGCTGCACCACCCGATGGCCTGAAGCCCTATGCTGAGGACATCTGGGCACTGCTCTTCCAGCGCTGTGAAGGCGCCGAGGAGGGCACACGGGGTGTGGTGGCTGAGTGCATTGGGAAGCTGGTGCTCGTGAATCCCCCATTCCTCTTGCCTCGCTTGCAGAAGCAGCTTACGACAGGTAGGCACCGTCAGCTGCTTCCATCTCTGGGTGTGAGGGTTACACTGTCCACACATTCAGGCAAAGGAGCCTCCGTGGTACAGAGGACAAAGTCATTCTGTGTCCCTACTGCAAACACAACCAGCTGTCTGTATCCAGGATCTGCTCTGTAGATTCCCCTGCCATGTGAGGCACAGTATGTGAGAAGCCAATGCCATGGGTGGTGAACAGAATTTCTTAATAGTCAAGGAAATGATCAAAGTTAAGTGTTCATGTGTAAACACCTGTAAAGAGCAGTGGGCGGATCCAAGAGGACTGCGTGGTCAGGAAAGAGGCTGAGGTTTTCGTATTTGATTTTAATGTGAGAAAGTCTTTGGAACTGTCATTCCAGGAGCAATATCATCAAGTCACAGGGGCTGTTGTCATTGGTATTAGGTCTGAAGAGCAACCAGGTGTGGTTTGAAGACTAAGCAATATTTTCTCTGCAAGGGTTTGGTGCTCCTCAAGTTAAAACAAAACAAAACAAAACAAAACAAAAAGCCATGGTTGTACCAAGTAGAATGAATTAACAAATGTGCATAGGCTTTTTAAGGTTAGTGATCCAGGGCATCAGAATTGCATATGTATTTGTAGTTGAAAGGAAGCTGTGACCTGCTTTTGGGAGAGGGGAGGAAACAGTATCCATAAGATATATAAGTGGTTAGATCACCTCCTGGGGGGATGCATAGTTCTTGAGTGCAGTGTGCAAGATGAAAAGTTTTTTTTTAAAGGTGGAAAGTTAATATTCTACTACAGCTTCACCACTCAGCTGAAGTTCAGCCTTTAAAGAAATCATGGTAAAATAATCATGAATCTCCATGCTGATCAACCTCAATTGAAATATTCAGAAAAAAATTGTGTCTGGCCAGGCATGTTGCACACTTATAATCCCAGCACTAAAGAGGCAATGCCGGGATTGCTGTGTGCTCTAAGCCAGCCTGCACTACACAGTGGGCTCAAGGGCAACCTGAATTACTCAAAAAAGTTGAGTCTGTACAAACTCATCAAGAGTTTATCCTGTCTTTATTCCCTAAATACAGCTGCTGAACCTCATGTATCAACACCCATCTAGAAGTGATTGACAGTGCACAGGAAGGTGTGCTACTATATTACACCATATATAGAAAGGCTCTGAGTATGGCTGGGTTAGGTAAATTCAGAGGGTCCTGGAGCTGTCCCCTGAGGGTGCCTTTGGTCTGCCATACAGCTAAACATAAATGCCATTGTCATTGTACTATGTAAGGATGGTAGCTGCTGTAAGGAGTGTTACAGTCAAGGTTTATCACTGCAGCTCTCAGGATGGAGGCCAAAGTTGGTGGAGGATCAGCACCCTGGGGTTAGCCTGTATCTTGCCAGGTGTCAGCGTGACCTAGGATTTCAAGACACACCACGGAGTTTGGAGAGGGCTAGGCTAGGGCAGCCATGTGGTGTTATCACAGAGGGCACATGGTGGATGTGTTCAGCCTTCCCTAGGGAGAAGCAGCAGGTGGGCTGGGGCTCTCAGGTCCTGAGAGCTGCTGGGAACAAAGGCTCAGTGCTGAGGTATGGCTACAGAACCCCATCAAGACTAGGACTGTGTTACTGGACACGGGCAGGCACAGTGTATGACATCTAATGGATGCTGGGTAAATCAAAGCTTCCTGCAGGCATTGTGTTGCTGTCCAGGTCTGCACAGGTTTCTGGCTTCACAAGGTGCAGTTGTCTGATACTTGTCATGCTGTGGATGATGTTATGGGTCCCATAGCACAGGAAGCCCCTAGAACTGGAGTCTGGGGATGAGGCAGACTCCTGTTTCTCCTGGGCACTGATTCCTGGTTGTCCCATGCCTACCGTGAGCAAGACACCAGCTACCTCGCCTGCCAACCACTGCTGCTAGAGGTCCAAAAGCAGGGTGGGGAGACCATCCAGCAAGCACAAGACTCCTGTGGTTCTCTCTGCAATGTTCCCCAACTAGGCCTTATCCCCACTCCCTGCTCATGTTTGGCTTGGGCTCGGTTTTATTTTCCATTCAAGGGATTCCTGTGTGCAATTCAAAGCAACTCAGACAGACATGTGAGGTACCCCGTCACTAAGGGGTTGCACATTCCTCCCATCCTTAAGCTTCCCTGTCCAGAGAAATGAAGCAAACTTATCCTCAAGTATGGCTGGCTGAGATCTAATGGACACGTTGGGCCAGGGCAGCATGAGCATGTAGCCAGCCCAGAGGAGAGGGAGAAAGGGGGAAAGGACCCTGGGTCTTCTGTGTGGCCCTAGATGTGAGCTAACCTTCTCAGTGTCTCTCATCGTCCAGTATAAAATATGAGGGAAGGACACTTTTCATTGCTTAAATAGGTATGTTGTTGCTAATTAAACAGATGATCCTATAGATTAACTGATAATGCACCTGAAAAATATAATGCAGACTCCATAATCCAAAGGAGGGTCCCAGAGGGCCCTGCCCTGATCACTGGGGTCTGTGCAAACCTATCCTATTGAACCATGTTGCTGAAAACTTCAGACACATTTAGATAAGAAGAAATGAGACTATGGATTCCTGGGATAAGAGGGGTTCTAGGAGGGGAAGAAGCACTTCCATCTCTAAGGCGCAGGTAGGGCATGTCCCAGATGCCAATCCTTAAACATAAGGCCTAACCATTAACCTTTATTCTATGCTAACCCTAACCTGTGCTAATACTAACCCCTAACAGAAACTTAAATTAACTCTACCCCTAAACCGTTAAACCTAACGCTAACTGTCACCATTACCTTAACCCTAATTAACCCCATCACTAATCTTAAACCCTAATCCTTAACCCTAACCCCTAACTCTAACCCTAACCCCGCCACTCCCTGAGCCACCTCTATGCCACAGGTCAGCCACACACCCGGAGCACTGTCATCACAGCAGTCAAGTTCCTCATCTCAGACCAGCCGCACGCCATTGACTCCCTCCTGAAGACTTTCATCGGTGGGTGCCCCCTCCCCACTTTCCTGTTTCCCCAGCCCACAAGCTTCCCCTGAATCCTCCACATAGCAGCTGCAGCACAGCACTGGCAGCAGGCCAGCCATGAAGTACCAGGCAAGCCCACTGAGCCCTCACCCATCCAATGGGCACAAGAAACTTCACCATGGACACCCCTGGGGCTTCATGGGGGCAGGGGGAGGTGCTTCATGAACAATAGGCCCTTGGAAGTAGACAGCCATTGAAGCTGGTCTCCTGAGGGTGCAGGACCCACTTTCCCCCTGGAGCCTGGAGCCTGGGGGCTGTCACTGGGCTGCCTAGAAACCTATGCTTCTGCAGCTTCACAGGTGGCTTCAGCAGGGACACCCAGCTGTAGTGTTTCTCAGCTGAGGTTCGAATCCTGGCTCTGCCATTTCCTGGCTCCACGAGTCTAGACAGTAGTCTCCCCTTTAGCTGTAAAAGTTGGATGCTGGTCCCCTTGCTGGGAGGCTATGTGAGTCTGGAGGTCAGTCTGGCAGATGTGACCACTATGTATTAGAGGTCACATCCTGTAGCCTCAGCAGCATGGCTAGTAGCAGCTTCACTGGTATCCTGTCCCTCTGCCTTCATCTTGGCCAAACTGCCCAGTGCTGGGATCCCGGGGTCCCTAGCAGGTGTTTGGAATTTGCTTTAATGTTTTGTTGTTTGTTCGTTTTGTTTTTTGAGACAGGATCTCACTGTGTAATCTAGGCTCTCCTCAAACTCATGGTGGTCCTCCTCTCTCAGCCTCCCAGAGTGCAGGAATAACAGGTGTATGACACCATGTCTGCCTAACTGCTCCTGTCCTTCCTTTGAGCCAGGCACTCTGCTTTGTGCTTCATAGACAGCACCACATCCTAAATCTTAAGTAGTTTTACCATGTAGGTGCTGTGATTCTCCCCATTTTACAGATGAGAACACCAAGGCTCCAGACAGCCCATGGTCATGTGGGGATGTGCGATCACAAGCTGGGCATCCTGGACTCTGAGGCTTTGAGTGTGACTGTACCAGGCTCAGAGCAGCCAGGGGAAGGATAGGTGCTGGTGCAGCAGGGCAAGCTTGTGCTTGGCTGTGTTCCTTAGCCTCTTTGTCCCACAGGGGAGTTCATGGAGAGCCTGCGGGACCCAGACCTGGGTGTGCGCCGTGCCACACTGGCCTTCTTCAACTCAGCTGTGCACAACAAGCCCTCACTAGTTCGGGACCTATTGGATGGCATCTTGCCGCTCCTCTACCAGGAGACCAAGGTCCGCCGGGACCTCATCCGAGAGGTGCGGACACTCAGTCCAGGTCTTGCTACCTCATCCCAGCTGCATGCCCCAGAAGGGAACCCAGAACCCCTCTGAACTTCAGTCTCTTCTTAGTACATCATGGAGGAAACAATCCTGTCTGCATCTGAATTAGTCACTTCCCTGTTTCTGGGACATGACACTCAACCTCACAATTTAAGGAGAGTTAATGTGCTGACAGGTTCAGGGACTCAGCCTATAGCTGGCTGCTCCAAGGCAGAAACATCATGGTGGCAGGGCCAGGGAGAAGGATATGCCTAGTTCACCACAGCCAGGAAGCAGAAGAGAAAACAGCACCAGAGGAGAAGGTGCAGGGACCCCAAGGAAGCTGGGTGTGGTGGGGCACACCTATATTCCCAGCACTCTGCGAGGCTGAGGCAGGAGGATCACAAGTTTGAGCCCAGCCTGGGTTCCACCACTAGGGCTTCTCCAAAAAGCTGTCAGCTGTCAAGCCCTGAGCATGAGTCTATTGTCATTGTTACTACTGCAACCCTGCAAGGGAAAAGGTGCCACAGGTCAAGCAAAGGCTGGGAGACCTATGAACACATGGGCCACCCAGGCAGACACTTGGTAACAGACATATGCCTGTCCTGGCCATGTCCCCAGCCCTGTCGTCCCTTGTAGGTGGAGATGGGGCCCTTTAAGCACACAGTGGATGACGGGCTTGATGTACGCAAGGCGGCCTTTGAGTGCATGTACTCCCTGCTCGAGAGCTGCCTGGGCCAGCTGGATGTGAGCGAGTTCCTGAGCCACGTGGAGGATGGCCTGAAGGACCACTATGACATCCGGGTAGGACCCTGAGCCGGCCCTGCCCATCCTCCCTCCCTGGGTCCCCTGGCCTGTCCTATCCCTTTGTGCTGACACAGAGCCTGGGTCACACACAGTGCTGCTCTGTGCAGCTCCCTAGGGCTCAAAGAAGCCTACTGTAACCCAAGAGTCACAGTTGTGGTAGTGACAGTGGTGGTGGCAGAGTCACTACCCTGAGGCTGGCTCTGGAGAGTGGGGCCATTTTCTCACCTGTAGAGTGAGGCTAGGAGAGGGAGCATTGGAAAGATTGAGTTTCCTTCATTTCTTTTACATTTTACACTTTATCTATCGATCCATATAATAGGAACCAGTGCTTTTTTACAGTGGTGGGGTTTGAATCCAGGACCTGGTGCAGGATAGGCAGCACTGTACCACTGAGCGTGTGCCCCTTCTGGTGATGGTGCTGCAACCCCAGCATTCAGGAGGCTGAGATAGGAGGATTGCTGTGAGACCCTGCCTCAGAAAACAAACTGACAAACAATCTATGTACTGAAAATGTTACCATTTAAACCTTTTGTTGACACTGGGGTGGACTCCCTGGAACACACAAAGCAGTCCACAAGAGACACATGTGAGCCCCTTTTAGCGAGCCCCTTTAAGCCACTCTTTGACACCATCTCCTTCCTTCTGGTAGATGCTGACCTTCATCTTGCTGGCTCGACTGGCAACATTGTGCCCGGCACCTGTGCTGCAGAGGGTGGACCGGCTCATTGAGCCACTGCGGGCCACCTGTGCCGCCAAGGTAAGTCCCAGGGCTGCCTTGGTGCCCAGGTTATGGTGCCTGTGGTCACCCCCACTGAGGATACCACGTGCAGTGCTGGCTGGTGAGAGGCTCCTTGTCTTCTGCCATCCACCCTGGGGACAGGGGTTTAGCAGTGATCTGCTGGCTGGGGCTGCACCTTCTCTCAGGAGAGCAGTGTTGAGCATCTCCTGGGTGTTGCCATGCAACCCCAGGAGATATGGACAACCAAGGTCCCTGCTCTGCCCACTCACATCCTGGCTGGCAATTGGCTCACGCTCTTATGACCAACTGGCTGATCCAGGACAGTGCTGTTCTAGTCTCGAGGCCTCCAGGGTCCCAAGGAGTGACCTGGTGGTGGTTTGGGGGCAGTCTGGCACACTCAAAGCACCTGGCACAGACCTGGCAAGTGAAGGAGCCAGTCTTGGTTTTGAAAGGGTAGGAATTCTCCAAAGAGGCTCAGTTGTCTGTTTTTTCTTCTTTTTTCTTTTTTTAGTTCTGGGGCGTGAACCCAGGGGTTTCCCGAGCTATACCCCCAGTCCTTTTTTTTTTTTTTTTTTTTTTTTGTCTTTCTCCTTTTTATCGGTACTGGGGATTGAACTCATGACTGCTTGCTTGCAAGGCAGGCGCTTATGCCGCTGAGCTAAATCCCCAGCCCCACCCCCAGTCCTTTTTAAAATTTTGAGACACACTTTCACTAAGCTGCCCAGATGGAACTGAAATTTTTGCCTTCCTGCCTCAGCCTCCCAGGTGCTGGGATCACAGACATGCGCCACCTGCCCAGCAGGACTGAATATTTTAGATTGGAGTGTGAAAAGGAAGGGTACCAGGGAAATGATTTTCAAGTAACACCTTTTCTTTTTAAAATGCCCTATGTGGTTAAAACAGATTAAAATAGCAACTCACTGAGACCCATCTTGTAAGTTTAAATATTTAACCAATGCCTAGGCAAAGTTGAACCATGAGCAGATTCTGCAGGGTCACTGTGGTCTTGTCGATTTCAGTGCTAATCTGTTCTGCTCTCTCAAGCTGGGCAACACTGAGGAGTCCCTGGTCCCAGGAGAGGATCTGCAGGGCCTCATACACTGGGTGGTGCACTGGGCTTGGAGGACAAGAGAAATTGCATCCTGGGCTCTACACAGAAGCCTTTAGAGGGCCACTGGATACTGCTTGCTGGCACTGTGGCAATAGCCCCCTCCTTTGTCCCTAGTTCTGAAATCTACAAAGCTTGGGAAACCAGAAGCTTCTGAGTGACTTCATTGCATAAGGCTCGAGTAAGACTATTTATGTCTTCAATTTCCTTATTATAAGTCACAAAGGCCAGGGGTGATAGGCCAGCACCCTGGAGGCTGAGCAGGAGAATCACAAGTTTGAAGGCAGGCTACATAGTGAGTTCGAGGCCAGCCTTCAAATACACGGTGAGACCCTGTCTGAAAAGGAAGAAGAAGGAAGAAGAGGGATAAGGGAAAGGAAGGGGAGGAGGAGAAGAAAAGGAGGGAGAGAAGAAAAGAAAAACAGGGCAGAGGATTTAGCTCAGTGGCATAAGCGCCTGCTTGGCAAGTGCAAGGTCATAAATTTAATCCCTGGTACAAAAAAAAAAAAAAAAAAAAGAAAAACAAGTTCACATAGTTTGGGTAAGAAGTATTAATGTCGACTTTCAGGTGCTGCGCAGGACCCCATGGGGAATGTTGCCTGTGCAGTGGTCTTTTTCTAAGACCCAACCCCCCATCCCCTCTACCTCTGCCAAACCTGGATTCCAAAGCACACATGGCCCCAGGGGCTCATGGAAGGGTTGTGGATGTTTGTGCATCACTTAGTGCTCATAGCAACTCTGCAGAGGGACCTAGCTTGCAGGCAGAGCCATCTGAACCCAGGACCTTCTGGCCTGATGCCTTGCTCTCATGCACTGCGTGGGGTGGGAAGAATGAACCAAGCTAAGGGTCTTGCACTTTACTCTACAGCATGGAAAAGTACCTGGCACTTACACAAGGGTAGACCTGTGGGAGGCGCTGGGAACCTGCGCTGGCTCTTCAGGAGTTTGCCAGCAGGTGTAGTGGCAGGGACATGCATGAGGAGCCCAAGGGCAGGGTTGGGTGTTGTGGGGTTTCAGCACAGTAGTGCAGGCTGCACCCTACTTTAAAGTCCCTGGCACTGTGAGATTGATAGAAGCCATGGTGGCAGGGTAACTCTGAGGTCACCATGAGGAAAAGCCCAAAAAGGTCAAAGGACTTCTGCCGAGGTTGGTGTGTCAGTTACTTTCCCCTGGTTGCTGAGACAAAATGCCTAACACTCAAAATTAATAAAGAAAAGGTTTATTCAGCTCACGGTTTGAGGATATTTCAGTCCATAATCAGTTGGCTCCAAGGCAGGATAGCATGGAACAGGGGCAACAGTTCAAGATGGCAGACGACAGCAAAAGCAACAAGAGCAAAAATGGGACAGAAAACCTCTTTTCCTTCCTTATATTGTATACAGGCTATCTGCTCACATCATCTCCTGTGTCCTCTTCCACAAACTCAGGATGTTTACAAAGTGAGGACTCTGGTCCCCTGCTGAATCACTTACTTAAGCTTCTAAACTTCTCAATTCTTGGGCCTGTAATATAGTTCAGCTGCAGTGTCTACAACTGTAAGGTCCTGAGTTTGATTCTCCATACCAAAAAAAAAATCCCATTACAGCTGGGGAGCAGTGGGATTCAGTTTGGGGCATGGAGGACCCCGGGGAGAGGAGAGGCCCATGGTTGGTGCCCCAGGCTCCCACCACTCTTTCCCACTCCAGGTCAAAGCTGGCTCTGTGAAGCAGGAGTTCGAGAAGCAGGATGAACTGAAGCGCTCAGCCATGCGGGCAGTGGCCGCCCTGCTCACGATCCCGGAGGCAGGGCGAAGTCCCATCATGGCCGACTTCGCAGCCCAGATCTGCTCCAACCCTGAGCTTTCTGCCCTCTACGAGAGCATCCAGAAAGACCCTGCTTCAGCGCCCAGCACCGAGGCCATGGAGCTCAGCTAGTCTGCCCAGTGCCTGGCCAGAGCCCCAGACTTGACCTCCATCTGGCTGTGTCCCAGGCTTAGTGACCCCCAGACTGGGCTGCATGCACCCTTTACCTCAGGACTGTCAGCATTCACTTGTTCAGTCCTCCATAGCCACTTTGGAGCCCTCTAAGGGGACAGCTCCTGCTTCAGTACAGCACTGGGAACAGGCTGCTCACAGGGTATCGGTGGTCTGGAGCCTCAGGTTCCCACCCCAGCACTAATCAGTCTAGACTTCCGGAGATGTATTTGTAACTGGGAGGAATAGATCAGAAACTCAAACGTATGTTTCTGCAGGATGGAAACAGGGCGGGGCCTGGACTTCTCCAGCTTTACAATGTAGCAATCTGTGGTTTCCAATGTGCAGTTTCTAGTTTTTAGTATTGAAGACAGACATGACAGGCCCAAGTATTTCCTGTGACATCCAAGATGAATAAAAAATATTCTGAATTATTGCTGTATTCCCTACACAATTCCTGTTCCCCAGGGCCTATTTATCCTTGAAGTGATGGATTTACTTCACAGATGTTTCTGGACAGGTGCTTATCCACACCCAACGCACTAGAAGGGCTTCAACCAGTGCCTCCCACTAGACTGAGTAGGCAAGGTGGAGTAGAAAGGCTTCCCAGTCTGGTTCCTTGCACTACTCCTGAAGCCTGTGTGAAAGCCTCTTGAGCAAGTAGAATCCTAACCTTAGATAAAACAATGCTGCTGAATACTATGGGAGGGTTATAGACAACAGCCCCATATCCTGAGTTCTAAGGTCTAATAAGAGGCCTGACTGCCACCAGTCTCATGTTTTTGGTATTTCAAGAGTCTTGCTGTGTAATAGAGGCTGGCCTTCAACTATGTAGCCCAGACCAGCCTCTTAATTTGATCCTCCTGCCTCAGTCTCCCAAGCAATGGGATTAACGGGCACTTTTTTTGTGTGTGGAGGGGGTGTCTCATGTGTTTCTGCACAGGAGTTAAGAGCACTGCTTCTGGCACCCTGTGGGAAGATAAAGGAGGAGTTACCCAAATTTACACCCTTCCCAGTCCACCCAGGAACTCAACAGGGTCACTGGCAGTCACCAGCAGGGAGGCAAAAGGTGACCATCTATCACATGTTCCCTTTCTCAGCTCAGTGCTGGTGGGCATCTGAGGCCATTTCCTGTGCAAAGGTTCCGTTTCCCTTGCAAACCCATTCATATGGAAGATGCCATGGGGCACCAAGGCAACTCTCCCGACAAACTATCAAAGACACTAAAAGTTAACACCAGTGGAGTAAAGTACACCAGAAGGCAGTTTTTGTGATTTTATTTAAGCACAAATAAACACACGAGCCATCTACTCGTTTTCTTCGCTGCGCAGCCTGGCATTGGGGTTGGTGACTCGGATGGCTAGCTGGGCTGCTCGTTCCACAATGGCCTTGCGGTTCTTGGAGGAGACATTGTGAGCAATCTCTGCACAGTAAGATCTGAAAGAGAAGCAGTGGTGGATGAGGAGCAACCAGCACTGGACACTCTGGGGAGGCCATCACTTCAGTCACTCTACCCCAGCCCCAATCAGAGGGCGCATGTGTCAAGGACTCACCAGAACACCCCCATTCACCCTACTGCAGCTGGCAAGCTGGAAGGAGGCCTCATTTCACATGTGAAGAAAGCAAGGATCCCTAGATCCCGGTGAGAGGTGGATGGGACCAGGCAGACTCCAGGCCTGGGTCTCCCTTAGTCCTCCCAGAAGCTGCCCCAACAAGGAATCAATAGTCCTGGGTTTGAGGCCTTGACCAACACACTTGTAACCCAGCAATGACTGAGTTGAGAGGTACAAAAGGCCAGTATCCCCACCGGACTGCAATGGACACAATTCTGGTGGCCAGCAGGACACTGGAGCCACTAGCCCCATACCTCAGAGGCAGAACCTGTGAAGACTTCAGAGGTGACAGCAGGACAGACACAGTTGCCCCACTGGGGAGCACCCCATCTGTGATAGAACGGGGGTGGGGGACACAATGAGACAGCAGTATATAGCTCTACAGGAGCTCTGGGACCAAGACTGGTACAGTGAGACATCAACAGACAGACATCCAGAGTTTCTGTTTGTACTGAAGAGCCTACTGCAGTAATGATGCTGTTAAGTATCGCTGTGTTTTCCCTTTTTTTTCTTCTGTAGTCCTAGGAACACAAGCCAGAAAGCACTGAACTACATCCCTAGCTCTTTTCAATTTCTTGAGATAGAACTTTTACTTAATTGTCCAGACTGGCCTTGAATTTGTTGTGATCCTTCTGCCTCAGCCTTCCAAGTGGTTGGTTTTACAGGTATGTGCTACCATTCAAACTTTGCTTTCTGTTTTCTCTTGGCCTTTTGAGACAGGATTTCACTATGCAGTCCAGGCTAGCCTTGAACTCACAGCAATCTGAGTGCTGGAATTACAAGCATGTGCCACCATACCTGGCTAGCCTGTGTTTTCAAGACATGCTGCATTGCACATTTTCATTTCCTTAAAATCCTCACCACCCATTGCTTCTCTTTCAGGTCTTACTGCGCAGGGACTGCACACAATGCCTACTCTGGTGGTCTACGTCCTTGTCCACCAGAACACTTAATGATCATCACGCCTGTCATTTTAAATGTGCAGGGTTAGGGTATGCTAGCACATGCATATAGTTCCAACACTCAGATCACTATGAATTCAAGGCCAGCCTGGGGTAACACAGTGACTTGAAGTCCACCCTGAACTACATGGTGAGACACTCTCAAAAAAAAAAAAAAAAAAAATAATAATAATAATAATAAATGATAGGGAATTTCCACGCTACTGCATTAGTCAGTTTAAATGGATGTGTACCAGTCCATCACAGTACTCTATACTGCTAATTATGCTTTCAGCTGTTTTCCAATTGGTTATTGTTGCCACAACCAGCTTTATAAAATCTCCTTTTGGTAATGGTGGTACACACCTATAATCCCAGCACTCTAGGAGACTGTGGAATGACAAGTTCCACCAGCCTGTATAACTTAATAAAAAACCATGTCTCAAAATTAAAAGGCCTCAAGCTCTAATACCAGAAAAAAGTTTCACTCCTTTTTTGTTATTTCTGGACAAATGCCCAGAAATGGAACATACAGGTAAAAAGATCGCAAGAGTTATTTCCATGGATCTTGATAAACACACCAATACATGTAACTCGTCAATACATGTAATGCATAAAAACGCCATCCTTTGTGTTACACAACAGGTACTAAGGTATGCGTCTCACAACCCAGCCACCAACCTGCCATGGCCAATTGCTGCATTCATGTTTCCAAAGAAACATCACTCAATGCTTAGTTACAGCTGGCCTGAAGATGCAACTGACCCAGGCAAACCACTGCCCTCCTAAAGCCTCCACACCTGCACAAGGCATTCACACAACCATGGTCATCACTTTCTGCACCTCTGACTCACTGAAAAGACAACACAGCTCCATAGTTTCTTCCAGGAAGGGAAGAAAATCGACTGCCATCTGCTAATCTTTCCTGACACCCAGGATCCAGGTGTCAAGATCGCCCCTATGACAGAGACAGGTCATTTCCTGGGCTGGTTTCAATCCAAGTTCACCAACACCAACTTTGCTCAAAATACCTGGAGCCAGTACCCAAGATGGGCAACCCACCTTCCCTCCAGGTACTCTAAATCTCTGCCCCTCAGCTGGCAGTACCCTGTCTCAGCAAGTGTCCATTAGGTAAGAGGCTTATGCCCCAAACAAAGCAGCAGCCCTGTACCTGAACTCTCTACCAAGCATCATCTAGGCTGTACAAGGAGCCCTACCCCAAGGACCCAGGAATAAGCACCCCGAAAGTTCACTGGCTGAGCCAACTCACTTGTTGCACATCAGCAGCACCTCCAGCTCCTTAACATTGTGCACCAGGAACTTCCGGAAGCCACTGGGCAGCATGTGCTTCGTCTTTTTGTTGCTTCCATAACCTATGTTGGGCATCAAGATCTGGCCCTTGAACCTTCTCCGCACCCTGTTGTCGATGCCTCTAGGTTTCCGCCAGTTGCGCTGCAAAACATAACTTGTGAATGGGTTTGCCTCTGTGCAAGAAACCAGCTCTTCCTTTAGGGAGGAGAAAAGGACTAAAGAAAGGTGACACACACAATTATTGTCCCTGGACCTCTGCTACTTCATAGGTAGAAAAAACAAAGAGTGGTAAATAAAAACCACTAGAGTAGAAGAGATCTGGGCTATGTATGTGATGAGATCACAGAAACACAAAGTCTTTCAGACAGCAGCGCCCAGTAGGGAACTCGAGGAGTCCGAATTCCCTCAGAGGTCTCCTGCCATCCACAGATCAGTTCTTTATGTGACGCTAGAACCCCAGCACTGAGTACCTTAATTTTGACATATCGGTCTGACTGGTGACGGATGAACTTCTTTGTCCTCTTTTTGACGATCTTGGGCTTCACAAGGGGTCTGAGGGCCGCCATGGTGCCTTTAAGAAGAAGGTAGAACCCAGTTACAGGAGGCTCTGGGGAGGAAGGATTTCTGCCCTGGGCTGAGGGCTGTGGCAGAGTGTCTTCCAGTCACCAGCTACAAGGCAAGCTGGGAATGGAATGGGTGCCCTGCTGGCTTGCTCTCCCTCCTGTTTCCGAAGCTGGCAGAACACTAGCTGCTCTCCAGATGCGATCCGAGGAGGTCAAGGGGTCCCTCTGCCCAGAGCTCCAGAAAGAAAATTAACAGCGGCTCGCCATGATGGCCCATGCATGCCTGTAATCTCGAGACCTAGGAAGCTTAAGCAGGAGAATATTGGCGAGTCTGAGACCAGTCTGGACTAAATAAGTGACTTCAGGCCCAAAGCTTGGATCACACAAGACCCTATCTCAAAAAAAGTTGACGGGACAAAAAACAAGACCCAACAGCTAACATAAATTAAAGCCGTCCTCCATGACCTTCTTGTATCGGGAAGTAAACCCCACCCAGTAAGCGTCCCAATCTCTCACTCCTTTCAGTTCCAAGTCTCCATGTTTTCATCTGTAAAACGGGCACGACACGAAATACAAACGATCGCTAGGCTAGGCACAAATTCAATATCCAACTTGGACTCTCTGCGGCGGGCTGCTTAGCAGTGCCCTGGCGCGCACAAAACCCCAAACGTCTTGCAGACAATACGGTTCCGCCCGGAAATCCCCCATGGAATAGACCCTCTTCCCTCCGCCTCAATGGAGTGCTCGGCACCGGAAGACCTAAGCCGGCACCAGGAGCCCTGAGGGCGAGATCCGACCTACTGCAGGGGTTTCTGCCGACATCGAACGAGGCCACCAATTTAAGGAATAAGTTCGCGCGACAGGCCCACGCAAAGGACGCCGGCGAGCCGGGAACTCGCAGGTCTCATCTTCAGCCTTAAACCTTCAGCCTCTCCAATCACTTCCCGGATGGTTGGTGCCCCCGCCAACTGGCCCCAACCAGCACCACGCGTTGAAACGACTCCAACTCTCCATCCTCGGCTGTGCTGACCCCACGCGGGAAGAATCCCGGACACAAAACCCCATCACCGGCCGCCGCCGCCAATACCCACGAAACCGGGTACTCAGAGCGGAGGCCTCCTCACTGGGGGAGCAGAGAGTCAACAACGAGCCAGCAGAAACGCAGATGGCTCGCGATTGAGACTCACCGAGTCGGAGACGACTAGCACCTCCGTAGGGAGGTCGGAGGAAGAGAGGGGACCGGGGTGCGCAAGGGCTGATGGGACTATCCTACGGGTCCCGGCAGAGGGAAAAAAAAACCGAACACTTCCGGCTCTGAGTCCTTCAAAGAAAAGGCGTGTTAGAGATATAATGCTGCAAAAAGTCCCCAGCGTGCCTGTATTTTATGAGACACTAATATGTAGGAAGAGAACAGAACCAACCTTGCCTTGGGATTACCCAGGAAATCTGGAAGTTTTTTTTTTTTTTTTTTGAGAGAAAACCTGGTGAGCAGCATCTGCTTCCGCCCAAAATAGAAGCCAAATCCGGTTTATAGATTTGTTTCTGCTTGCATTTCTTCTCCTCCAAAGCGCCCCCTGAAGGTTAATAGGGAGCGGAACAGAGATCTTCTGACGGTAACTCCTCGGGAATTTGCAGTCCTACCTGCTACTCTAAAGGGTTGGTTCCAGGGCCACCAAACTCCCTGGGTGCTCCCGTCTCTTGTATAAAGCATTGCATAGAACCTACCCAGACTCTCCCACACACTGCGCATCATCTCTAGATTACTCCGTGTAAATGCTGTGGAAATCCCTGCAGGACCGTGTGGTTCAGGGAATAGTGACGGAAGTCCTCACATGTTCAGAACCAATGCGATTTTTTCCGGTGTTTTCTATCCGCAGTTCATTTAACCTGTTGATGCAGTTTGTGGAATTTCAGTCCAACTGTCTAAATGGGGGCAAGACCAGAACCACAATTCTGCAAGGTAGCCCCTTCCTCCACTCCTCGTCCTCTTCCTTTTTTTTTTTTGAACTGAGCTACATCCTTCCTTTTTTTAGTATTTTATTTTGAGACAAAGTCTGGCCAAGTCACTAAATTACCTAGATGGAGCTGAAATTTGCAGTTCTGCTTCAGCCTCCCAGAATATTGAGATTATAGGTGTGTGCTGCTACACCTGGTTTATTTTCTTCATTTGACATATGTGGAAGGTGAAGTGGAAGGTGAAATTTGGAGATTTGACCAAAAACAAACAAAGACAAAACACTGACTCCAAAGTCCACATTTCTAAACATCCAGCTAACTACCTAATTTTAAAATGTTGCTCTTGGGGCAGGTGTTTAACTCAGTGGCATAAGCCTAGCAAATGTGAGGTTATAAGTTTGATCCCCAGCTCGAAAGAAAGAAAGAAAGAAAGAAAGATTGTTGTTGTTGTTGACTTGGTTGGCTTAGCTTTTGTTTTAAAATCATTTTGGAGTGCTCACTTCAGCAGCACATATACTAAAATTGGAATGATACAGAGATTAGCATGGCCCTGCGCAAGAGTGACACGCAAATTTGTGAAGCATTTCATAATTTCAAAAAAATTCATCCTGGGGGCTGGGGATTTAGCTCAGCAGCATAAGCGCCTGCCTTGCAAGCAGGCAACCATGAGTTCGATCCCCGGTACCGATAAAAAGGAAAAAGACAAAAAAAAAAAAAATTCATTCAGTTCAGGGGCAGCTTGGACTACATAGTAAGACCCTATCTCAAAAAAAAATCATTTTAAAATGCCAGGAGGAAACAAAACAAAACTCTTTTTTTTTTCTTTGACAAACACTCCACAAGTTTATTGAGACCCTGCTGGGCCCTGGGCCAGCATGGAACCCAGCCCCCACTCTTAATAAGCCTGCAGCCTGGATGCAGAAAACCAAATAAGTACACAGCCTAGTCCCCAAATGGAAGAGCCGATGGGCAGGAGCACTCAGGCCCAGGGGTCAGAACTAACCCAAAGAGAAGCAGGTGCTGTCCTGTGGGGAATGCAGGAAGCTCTGGCCAGGCCATGTCTGGCCTCATCCCAGGCTGGCTCATTGCAGGGAGGTGTAGGCCACCTTGCCATCAGGCTGTGGGGAGCACAGCAGCAGTGTCTTCCTCACACTGGTCCTTAAGCGGCCCACAGAGACCAGATCCTGCAGTGGGATGGGGTTCTCGGCAGCCCAGCACTGTACAATGTAGTGCGCGCGGCAACGCAGCAGATCACATACAGGACAGGGAGGCTCGAGAGTGTCCCATGGCAGCGGACAGGGTCGGGCTAGTATACACCCTGCCTGGCTCATTTTGCAACTCGCCACTGATACTCTGAAACCTACACCCTCACGCCAAGCTATTCCACAGCTGAAAACAAAACTCTTGATTCCTCAACTCAAACATAATACAGTTACCACTAGTGAATCTTTTGTTGTTAATATAGGGTCTCACTATGTAGCCCAGCCTGACTTCAAACTCTCGGCAATCTTACATGAATCTCCTAAATTTGGAACTCCAGGCATGTGCCACCACACCTGGCTCACACTTGGTTGCGCTGTGTCTACCCTATACCTGGAAAGCGGTGCTTGTCCTGGGGTCTGTGTGTGTTTCATGAGGACTCAGGGACAGAAGCACTGCTAGTGACAGCCTGCATGCTGCACCCATGAAGGAAAGAGCTGGACAGCCAGGAGGGCTCGTGAATCTGAGAGTCTCCAGCCTCTTAAACCCCAAGAGTTGGGAGCAGGAACACAGAGGCTTAGCCTTACAGTGAGCGACAGACTGCCAACCCATCTCATGGAAGTGCAAGGCTCATGCCACCTGCAGCTTCCCATGGCTCCTGAGTGCCCAGGGAAACTCCCCATCCAGGGTCACAGAGAAAATCCCCACTATATGCCCCAGGCTCAAACATGAAGTTATAAAGGCTGGAGCCCAGGTCATGTGAGAAAAGCTCTTGCTGTTTTATTTGCAAAGGCCAAGGCCAGAGGTGCGGCAGTGACACTCCTCTGGGACAGGGTTGTGGGGTCCAGCCACCCTAACACTGTGTCTTTGACCTGGCTGGATCCCTGCCATGTCATGGTAACACCACCCAGTCTAGTTGATGGCATACACTTTGGGGGAATCATAGTAAGCTTGGGTCATGTAGTTCTCATTCCTCAGGGGCCACCAGCGGTCAGGGTGGTAGGTGGCCTGGTAGGCATGGCTGGATGCAACTGAACAGTGCCAGGCTCCGGTCAGTGGTCTCTGAGGGTAGGCAAAACCTCAGCTTATCCAGCAGGTGGCCTGGCCAGAAGGCGTTGGGATGGGTTCGCTGGAGACCCCCATGTCTCCTCGCCTTCAGCTTCCTGGAAAAAAAGAAAGACATGAGACGTCACCTGGACAGAACAGGCTGGCTCCTTGTTATCTGTGACCTGTGGGCAGTGAGCATGGGACACTTCTCTCAGGACCACTTCCCTAGCCAGAACCCAGGGCCATGGGCCTGACCCAGCAGCTGTCTCTGAACCCCAGGCTTGAGAGTACATCCCAGATTATCACTGTGTCAGGCCACACTTACCCTGGAGCCACAGCCGTCCCATGGAGAGGCCAGAGGGTGTCATGGGATTCACCAGATTCACCCCTGCACTGAGGTTTGCACTCCTCACTCCCTCCTTCGCCTCTTGTGCTGGGCTCTGAGCCCTGTCCCCACCCCCCATCCTGATGCTGCTGCCAACCTGGTAACCTCCTGGGTCTCTTTAGAGGGTGTCCTCCTGCTGTCCAGTGGTGCCTTCCTGATGGGAAGGAAGAGGGGTACCATTAGGAGCAGGTTGGGGTGTGGAGCCCTGGGAGCAGAGATTAGGCCACCTTGCCATCAGGCTGAAGGGAGCACAGCAGTGAGTGCCCGCCTGTGCCCGAGCCTACTTCTGGCTTCAAAGGTTCTTTGCTTTCTTCTGTGACTCTTGGGTGGAACCTGGGCTGCTCAGACACCAGGTAGATGTTGCCCAGCTGCATCCTGAGCCTTGGCCTTGACTAAGCAGCCAGAGCACAGTGTCCATCCTGGACTTCACCTCTCTGTCCTCCTCAGGAGGACACAGTCCTGTCCTGGACCTGCCCACCTCCGGGTTCAAAGAACCCAGGCAGGCACCATGGCAGAGAGGTGGTCACAAGGACAGAGGCCCTTGAGTCACCACCATTGAGCACCTGCCTAGCTTTTCCAGACCAGTGCCTCCTGCCAGCGTGGACCAGCACAGGGATACAGCACATGTCCCTTATCCAGCTCTCGCTGTGCTAAGTATTACAAGGACGTGGCAGGAAAGAGCTTGATGTCACTGGCTGCATTTTATATCTGTCTCCCTTAGTACCCTCAGTTCTTTTCTTTTCTTGTTCTTTTAGTTTTGGTTTTTCAGACAGGGTTCACTTTGTAGCCCAGGCAGACCCTGAACTCACTGTGTAGCCCACACTGGCCTTGAATTCAGGTGACTCCTGCCTCAACCTCCTGAGTGCTGGGTGATGCCCAGCTCCTCCCCTGTAGTTTCTAACTCTGCCTGGTGCTCTTGATGACTCATCCCTTGTCCTATAAGTCTCTTCCACGATAGGCATCAGTGAACCTTCTCAAATCCCACCAGTGCTATTTATCCGAGGCATTGCTGAGGCCCGGGAACAGAGTGGCCTATCCATCCACCTGACACCTATGTCACGCAGCCCCATTCAGTCGCTCTATGCATTAGGAACAGGTCCAGTGGTGCTACCCACTTGGAAGATGATGATTTGGGCCAGAGGAGGGTAGTAGGGCTGGAAAGGACTATCCCCACCCACAGTTAGGACCATGACTGTGGACCTAGACTAGGGCCGGGAGCGTGGCTGTGTGTTGCTGAGGTTAGTGGCCCCGAGCTAAGACATGTGCCATGGTGGGAGGTGCTGGGGCCACCATTCCAGATGACCAGTGGGGGCAACAAGCAGATAAAGGTCGCCAAGTGGCCAGTATCCCAGCCAGAGCAGAAGGGACAGTGGTGAGTGGGCAGTGGCACTAGGACACAAGGATACTCAGCTTGTTACTCTTCTGGGGCCCCAGATTTGGGTCTTGCATCTGTTGTTTGGCCAGGTGTGGGGCCAGGGCCCTCCAGTCTGAGTAGAAGCCACCAGGCTGCCGGATGGGGCGCACTTGGGTATCCTGCAGGACGATCTTGTCCCCTGGGTACAGCAGTGCTGTGGGCATCAAGAGGACAGGCTCATTGAACCCAAGACTCTGTTCCTGGACTTTGGAGTTGGTGGGGACTGTCTTATTAATAAATTCACATTTTTGCTAAAAATATTTTTCTTCCTTATAGCTGTGAAATGTCCTTTTGGTTTTCCCTAAATTACTTTTTCAATAATAGTGTTTGTATGGATTTAAGGGGTACCGTATTCTCCCCACTCCCCCAGACAGGATCTCACTGTGTAGCCCAAGTTGGCCTGGTGATCCTCCTGCCTCAGCCTCCTGAGTGCTGGGGCGGCAGATGTGTGCCTCCACACCATGCTGCATCAGTGATTTTGGGGGCAGTTATTCCTACCAGATCAGCTTCTCAAAGACAGAGAACCAGGCCCTTAGCTACATGCTCTGGAGTGGGCTCAGGGCCCTGAGTATCTGGCCGCCTCCCTGCTTCCTCCTTACCTCGGGTGAGGACATCCTCTGTCACTGGCAGCCCTGAGGCCGCGCACTGCCTCCCACAGCGCAAGTAGAGCAGGAAGCCATCCCTGCGCGCTGCATCCAGCAGTTCCTGGCTCTCGCCAGGCACCGTGGACGGCAGGCAGTGCTGGTCCATGTGCCAGTCCCCACTGCGCACCAGGCGGCAGCTCTCCGTGTACTGGATGGAGGGGATGGGGAGCTGCGGGGAGACAAGGCGGGCTCTCAGAGGGGCTCCTCTTGGGCCTCCACCACCTCCCCTTCCTCCTTCCCTTTTGTGTGGTACTGAGGAAGCCCAGGCTTTCTACCACAGAGCTATATAGCCCTAGACTTTTCTGGTTTTAGGTTTTCATTTTCAGACAAAACTTCACTAAGAACCTCCTGCCTCAGTCTCTCAAATAGTTAGAATTACAGGCATGTGATACCATGACCAGCTCAGTTTTTTTTTTCTTTTTTAAAACAAGGACCAAAAAATCTATTTTAAAACTTCTCACACCAAATCAGCAAGGTGCAGCCTACAGGTCAAACCTTACCTGTCACATGCTCTCCTAAATCAGTTTGTATGGGATTGCAGCATTGTGGCTGTGTACATGCGGTCCACAACAGAGCCTAGCACTTGCAACAGAGACCAGGTGGCCTGCAAAGCCCGATGTTTAGTTTGGTTTTGTGCAGTTGGTGCAGGACAAACCCAGGGCTTTGAGCCAGCCCAGCCCTTCTGTGATCTGTGCACTGTGGAGCCATGTGCCAGGTTCCAGCTGTGAAAAAGGTGCAGCCCTGGTCTCAGGACAAGATGTCCTAATTAAAGAACACCAGCTAGACATGGTAGCACATGCCCATCATCCCAGCACTCAGGAGGCTGAAGCAGGAGGATCACCAAGAGTTTGAGGCCAGCCCGGGCTACATAATGAGTTTAAGGCCAACCTGAACTGCATAAGAAGCCCCTGTCTCAACCAAACCAAAAGTAGGAAAGTCCTGATTAAAGAACAGGCTGGGGAGGGGGGTGGATTCAGCACTTTCTGAGTCTGATCATCTTCCATATCCCAAACCCTGGTGGGGCCAGATGTCCCTGTCACAGGGATGCAGCCCCTCCTACGGTCCCGGCTGTCACCTTGAGCTGCCGCCTGCGCTCGCGATAGTGCTTGCCTACATCTTCCATTTCCTCCAGTGTCAGGGGCCGGGCCTCGGAGGGCACAGGGACCTCGGGCACCGTGAGTAGGTCCTTCTTGTATGGCTGCAGAGACACTGAGCTCTGTGCCTGGATGGAACCTGGAGTTGGAGGGAAGAGACACAGGCCAGAGGGACACAGGGGCAGTGGCTAGTGTTCTGTCCCGCACCTTTGGGTATGTTCCCCACCACCTGCCCCATCCATCTGGCCACCCTATCTTCCACTGGCACTTGCAGCTTCCTATCTTTGGCCTCCACAGAGTGTCCCATACACCTGGGAAGCCCTGGCCACCACCCACTACTCCTTCCATCCAGTGGTCTTCAGGAACTTTCTGCACATGAGACACCCTTGGCTTGGTACCTGCAACCAGGGGCTTTGGCCAGTTCCTGCTATGTTCCCAGTCTCCAGAAGTGTATCTGGAACATAGTGGGTACTCAACTATCTCCCAATAAGCCAGGAGTGTGGTGCATGCCTGTAATCCCAGCACTTGAGAGGCTGAGGCAGAACAATCACAAGTTTGAGCCCAACATAGGCAGTTTAGTGACATAGTGAGATCCCGTATCAAAAAACAAACAAACAAAGAAAGCATCAGAGCACACATAGTCATGCAAAGGACTCCAAAACAATACTTGGCTTTGAACTTGTGGGTTTTTGAGACAAGATCCCATTATGTAGCACAGGGTGGCCTCAAACTCACAGTGATCTCCTGTTTCAGCCTCCCAAGTGCTTGGATGAGAGGCATGGAGATTTATAGGACAAGCCATAATGAGCCTGGATGTGAAAACCTTCTGGGAAGTGGGCCAAGGGTGCTGCCTGCCTCTCCTCAGAGGCCACTCCAAGGTGATCACAGAGCTCCTGCTGGGAACCATGAGCTCCAGAGTCCTGTCTCCACTTCATTTGTGAGTGAGCCCCTCTAGCACAAGGAGCCCCTTAGGGAGGGCAAGGAGCCTCCAACAAGTCCAAGGTTAAATTCCTGTTAGTCTGACCGATGTGGGCAGAGCAACATGCATTTCATCTAGAAAAGCAAAAATGAACCAGGCGTGGTGGCACACACCTGTAATCCCAGCACTCAGGGGGCTGAGGCAGGAGGATCATTGTGAGTTCAAGACCAACCTGGGCTACAAAGTATGAACTGTATACTAAGACCTTGTCTCAAAAAGACAAAAAAAAAAAAAAAAAAAAAAGCAAAGATGTGCTTGTGCTGGGGACAGAGCTAGAATGGATGGTGAAATAGGAACGTGCTGCACCCTGTGCTGGCACTTCACCCTCAGAGCATTTGTGAGCCCATTTCTAACATGCCACTGTGCTGGGTCTGGGTAGGAGACGCTCCATAAGCACATGGCTTGCAGATGAGACTTGAGCTATGAACAACCTGTACAACGGTACACGGTAGCCCCTGTTCTTATAGACCTGACAGGAGAACACCAAGCCAGGAGGCTACAAATGCATTCCGATTCTGTCTCTGAACAGGAAATGCTTGCTAGCTCTTTATCCATAACATGTAAATTAATAGTAAGAAGGCCTCAGACCACATGCTGGGCACGTGTAGGCCAGGGCGGCAAAAGGACGCACCCTTGTATGTGGTAGGCGGTGTGCTTCTTCTCAGCTGGGCTAGAGACCACTGCTTGTAGGTGATAGCCAGTGACTCTACGGTGATTTCGTGCTGCTTCCCGAGGGAGCTCAGGTAGATCACCACATCCTCTATCTCCTGATGCTTCATGGGGACTCCCACCTGGAGAGGACAGAAACCACCAAGCCAAAGTTCCCATTTGCCCCAGGCTGGCTGTCCTGGCCCCATCTCCAGCACCCGCTTCACCCTCCACCTTTGTACTGGTAGTTCCCTTCTTCTGCCTACAAAGTCCTATCCGTCCTTCACAGCCCAGGGCAGATTTGCCGCCATCTTTACAGTCAGTCATTGGCTCTCACCCCACTGCCTACAGATCTCAGCGCTGATAAGGGTTATACCACATGTCTATCCTCTTTGCCCACAAGGAGCATCTAAACCTCCCCTACCTACAGTGAAGTATGTAGTTTCAGATAAACTCTACACTTCATTTCTCTAAGCAACTCTGAGATATATGTTTGTCAATGATACTGACCCTGAAGGAAGAAAAGCCTGCAGAGGATTGAACTGCATCCTTCTGTTTCTTTAGACCAGAATCATTGCCCCCTGGGCTTTCCCTAAGAAAGTTCAGGATTTAATATTTCATCTTGCCAGGCATGGTGGCTCATACCTGTAATCCCAGCACTCGGGAGGCTGAGGCAAGAGGATCACTGTGAGTTCGAGACTAGCCTAGGCTACAAAGTGAGCTCAAGGCCAGCCTGAACTGCATAACAAGACCCTGTCTCAAAAGGACAAAAAAAAAAAAAATTTCATCTTTTTAGCTGTGTTGGTCAAAGACTATTTTGTTGTTGTTGTTTGAAGTGTAGAGTGTTGTTCATGTCTCTAAACATCCTAAAAAGTGTGAAAACTGCTAATTTTTTCAAAGAATCATCCAGGAATATACTTATTTGTATTTGTGGTGGTGGAGATCAAACCCAGGGCCTTGCACATATTACGTAAATCCTCTACCACTGAGTTAAAACCTGCAGCCAGAAAACATGATTTAAAGTTGCAAAACACTAGGCACCAGCTTCTGAAAAAGGTTTTTAAAAGTATTTTGTATTCAAAATATATGAAACGTTAATTCATCTCAATTAGGGACTCGTAAGCTTCTTTTTTTTTTTTGAGCAGACTTTTTTTTATTTAAAGAGAAAAAAGAAAGGACATAAAAAAACAAAGCAGTAAAAGGGTACAAGTAATACAGAATTTCAAGAAAAAAAATACAGTAAGAAATCACTAGTTAATAGGTTACATATTGTCTTCCTAGAAACAGTTGTCCAAATTATAAAATTAAAGCATGTAAAGTGGACATTCATACAGTGATATTGGAGACAGTTCCGTTCAGTGATCCAACAAAAGCTCCATAATATGGTTTTCCATCCTACACACTCAAACATACCTGTGGTTATATGCCTTATTACCCTTATCCACCTTCCTTTCCTCTCTTTTTTACAATAACAATTACACTTTTTGGGTTTTATTACTCCCACAGTTCTTATTACTTTTTTTGAAGAGAATAAAACCAAACGTGACTAAGCAAAACAGAGTCAATTAGAACAGAAGAATGGGATAGTACATGATGCAAAAATAGAATACCAGGTGATAAAAGTGGTTACCATTATGCCTCTTGCTATTTTTAAATTGAGTTGCCTATATCATCAGGTCTAATATAATTGATCAAAACAGTACAGAACAAGACCAATAAAACCTACACTGGAGACCTTACAGGACTTCAAAAGAAGATAATAGTCAAACCATAATGGGCATCATAGTACATCTTATTGCCTTCAAAGTGGTTGCCTATACCCTCAAACTTGATACTATCAAACAAAATAGAATATAGAATAATCAGACGGAACAAGATGGGGAGAGCAATACTGGGGTTCAAATCAGGTTAATAGGAAAACAAAAAAGTTACTATAATATGTCCCGCTATTTTTTAATTTATCTTCCCCTTAATTAAAAAAATGAGAGAAAATAGATTAATTTTAAAAAAGGGTGGAGATTGAGATAAAAGAGGACATTGTAACAGAACAACACAAGTCAGAACCGAACATTTTAAGCATCATTGTGTTTCACCACCAGATAATCTAACATAATAGTAGTCGCCATAGTGCCTCTTTCCTTGAATTATTTGAGTGTAACTTCGTATGCTATAGCATCAAGCATATCAAGACAGTGTGAAGCCACTCAAGAGAATGAAAGAATTACAGGGTATTTAGAACCAGTTAATAGAAAACAAACAACAGTTTCTATATTATCTCTTTGCCTATAAAAATTTTGTTTATACTATTGCATATAGTGAAATAGTAAGATACAACATGTTAAAACCAGTGGAAACATATGTACCACAGCTTGATGAGACTTCAAAACAAGATGATATTAAATCAGCACTAGCTTTTATGTTGTGTTGTTTTCTTCAAAATAGCTATTCGTACTATCACAGATACTAAAATCGAACAACCCAGGTTAAAACCATTGCAATTAATGAGTGAAAACATTATATGGCTTCAAAGCAATATGACTGGGAATCATGATTACAACATACTCGTAAGCTTCTTAAATAAAAGACTATAGTGAGTATTTCAGGGTCCTTTAATTTGTATTTTTATTCATGCCTATTTGTAGTGCACAGAGATTATAGTCATCAAGAGGGAGCTGGTGTGTGGTCATAGAAATATTTTCCATTTATGAGCCATGCACTCTCCCCCTGAAGCATGAAAATAACTGCAGATAATACGAAGATGACTATGGGCTGTGTTCCAATAAAACTTTTTTTAAAAAAAAAAGAACAGGAGGCAGGTTATGCAGAGCACCTGAGATGTAGTTTGCAGACACCCCGCTGGGCCCTGGGAGAAACATTCTATACCTGTCTGGGCAAAGAGAGGCACTACTTGCCATCTGTGACTTTTCCTTGTTCTCTTTCCTGTGGTACTGGGGCTGTATGTGTGTGTGGCAAAGGGATGTGGCAGATGTGACAGCAGGGCTGGATTGCCAACTTCACTTCTCAATGGATTTACCTCATCTGGAGGAGGCAGGATAATAATGTTGTGGGCTCAGCACCAGGCCTGACACAGGTTCTGGGTCAGATGTGAGACTCCTGTGTGAGTGACCCTCAGTGACCGCCAGCACTGGTCTGAGGGGTCAAGGGGACTCCCCGGGAAGCTGAGTGGTTTTAGGGTTTGCTCTGCAAATCCAGCACTCACTGCTGTGCCGTGGATGGGGACATGCCCTGCCCAGTCCTGTGCAAAATGGTTCTGGGGTCCAATTTGGCCACAGGTCCCCCACATTTTCTAATGTATGTCACATTGGTAATCTGAGCTCTGGGTCTACTCTTTGCTGCCCCAGAAGCCAGGGAGGAGATGGAGGGACAGCGGGGTGCAGGACAGCCAGGGACAGGGTGCTCACCGCCCTCAGCGCATTGAGGAACTCCTCTCGGGAGACTCTCTGCTGTGTGCCGTGGCCCTTGGAAAACAGCTCCAGCACCTGGATCTTGCGGCCACGCAGGTAGGCATACAGGGCTGACAGGGCCGGGGGCTTGGGCAGCCGCAGCTGGGGCACCTCTCGCCAAAGGACTCCTTTCTGGAAGAGGTAGGGAGGGGTTGGTAGGGAGCAGCCACAGAGTCAGACAAAGAGATGTGGGGAAAGGCTGGCAGCTGGGAGCCCAGGATGGAGAACATAGAAGGCACTTGCATGGGTACCTATCATGGCTGCTGAGCACACAGTGCTGCCCCTTGGAGCAGGTGTTGCTCAAGGAAACAAGCCCAGAAAACTTGAGCTGACATCACACTCAGCACATCTGTCCCAGGGACCAGTAGGGCCTACAGGCCCCGGTGTCTTATGAGCCCAAGACACACCCACCCTGGAGCTCGGGAAGTCCAGCCTCCTGGCCTCTACTCGCTTTTTTTGAGACAGGGTCTTGTTTTGTAGTTTGGGGTGGTTTTGAAATCACTGTGTAACCCAGGCTGGCCTCAAACTTGAAGCAATATTTCTGCCTCAGCCTCCTGAGTGCTAGGATTGTAGATGTGTCTACCACACCCAGCCAGACCTGTGTTTAACTCAGGTTACCTTCCTCTGATGTCAGCTTTCCCAGAACAAGAGAGGTTTCAGACTTCTGCATAACAAGATGTCCCAGAAAGCTGAGGAATGGGTCCTGGCCTCTGTGACACTGTGTCTGTGGTTGGGACAAACCTTTGGTCTCCTTTGCCCTTATCCATCACAGGCAGGTCTTCCTTTTGCTCCCAGCTCCCAAACCATGATCCTCACATGGCCCAGGTGCATGACCCCTGTGCCTCACAATGCAGACTTCCAGGAATGTCTCTCCTGGGATGACTTTAAGGTTTGTCCATGGCCAGTCTGGACAGGAGGGAGCAGACCATCCTGCCCTGGAAAAGCTGTAGATGACTATGGCTCTGGGCCAACATCATAAGGCTCTGAGCCACAGTCACCCAGCTAAGCTGCTCCCAGGTTTCTAAGCCTCAGAAACAGCTGTGTGCAACAATAAATATTTGTTGCAGGGGATATAGCACAGCAGCACAAGCACCTCATTGATAAGTGTGAGGTTGTAAGTTCAATCCCCAGTACAAAAAAAAGCAAACAATAAATATTTATTGCTTTCAGTCATTATTGTGGGATATTTGGCTTTTGTTGGGGGGGTGGTATTGGGAATCAAACCCAGGACTGCACTAAGTTAAATCCCTGGCCCACTGTGGGGTATTTGTTACGCAGCAGTAGCTGACAAGTATACCTCCCTGTTCAGGCTTCCATTTGCTCCTCTGTGAAAGGGAAAGAAGCATCCCCATCCTGACCAAACCACAAGAACAAAAGGATGAAGCATGTTTAAACCTGCAGTGTGATACTTGCCCAGTGGGACCACTCACCTTGGTGGCTGTGGTGACCTCTGCCTGGCTCATGATCTGGACCTCTCGCTCCTTATGAAGCATGCGCAGGACTTTGGCCTCTAAGGGCGAGATGCTGGGCTTGTTCTCCAGCCACCGTGCCACATCATCCAGGGCCTCCAGCTCCTTCCGCAGCCTTGCCCTCTGGTGAAGCCAGGCCACTCTGTCCTCCAGTGGCCCAGGACTGTCCCCAAGGTCCAGGCCTCTGAAGCTGGGGACAGGTGGTGGGGGTGGTGGGGGCTGGGGCATTAGGTCCACAGGTGCCTGTCCCTGCCGGGGCCTGCCCTGGGCAGGCACAATGAAGATCCGCCGGCGGCTCTGTGGCAGACGGAAGTTCTGCTTGAACTGCTTGAAGCAGTGAGCAATGACAGGTTCAGGATCAAAGGTGGGGACCACACTGGCGCTGCCGTTCTCCTTCAGAGTCTCAGGCTGGCAGAACCCTTGGGAGAAGATGGGTAAGGTAAGCTCCTTCCTGGAAGAGGATGGAAAGGAGCCAGGAAGGGAAGCATTTTGGCACCAGGCTAGGCATCAGGGCCCAGTCCCCAGCTGGACTCTGTCATGGCCATCTAACATGACTGGCACTCCCAACAGTGGGCACCAAGGTAAGGGCTTTGTACATCTCCTTAATTGAATCCTCCTCACCTCCATCCCCCAGTACTTATTTTTTAAGAACTGAATCTCACTGTGTACTTCAGGCTGGCCAATCTCCTACCTCTGGCAGCTCATAGCTTGTAGTCAACTGCCTGCCTCAGTCTCCCAAGTGCTGGGATTACAGCTGAGTGCCACCATGCCTGATGCAGTCCCCAGTGCTCTTATCAGCAATCAGAAGAATCTTGTCTACTCTGTCTGATCACTCCGACAGCCCTATTCTTGGAGTGCAGAGGCTTTGGGGCCAGAAAGCTCTGCCATGAGTCCAAGCCTCCAGCTCCCCGGTTGCATGTGCTGGCTCAAGTCACTTTCCTCTCTTATGTCAGTTTCTTCATCTGTAAAGGGGACATCATGAAGGGACTTTCCTACTGGGCAGTGGGGATGTTTAGAATCAGTCAACTTATTTGTGACTTTGTATGTAAGAAATGTGCTACTGATAGCTGAGTACTGTGGCATACATACCTATAATCCCAGCACTTGTGAGGCAGAGACAGAAGGATCAGGGAGAGTTTGAAGCCAACCTGGGCTACAAGAGTGCATTCAAGGCCTGCCTGGACTACGTGGTGAGACTCTCAAAAAACCAAAACAATGAAAGTGGTTTTAAAACAAGAAGAGACATTCAACAGCACTGGTCATTCGAGAGATGCAAATTAAAACAACAGTGAGATTTCACCTCACCCCAGAAAGAATGGCTAGTATTAAGAAATCAACCAATAACAAATGCTGGAGAGACTGTGGGGGAAAAGGAACCCTTCTTTTCTGTTGGTGGGAATGCAGGCTGATGCAGCCACTGTGGAAATCAGTGTGGAGATTCCTCAAAAAACTAAGATTGGGGACTGGGGATTTAGCTCAGCGGCATAAGCGCCTGCCTTGCAAGCAGGCAGTCGTGAGTTCGATCCCTGGTACCGATAAAAATGAAAAAAAGAAAAAAAAAGATGAAAAAACTAAGATTGGAGGTCCCATTCAACCCAGCTATTCCCTTTCTGGGTATCTTCCCAAAAGAATTAAAAACATCATACCACAGTGATATATGTGCACCCATGTCTATAGCAGCAGTTTATAATAGCCAGATCTTGGAAACAACCTAAATGCCCATCCGCTGAAGAATGGATAAAATGATGTGGTGTCTTAGATACTTTTTACTCATCACTGAGACAAAATACCTGACACCCAAAGTTAGGGAAGGAAAGGTTTATTTCTTACAGTTCTTGGAGGTTTCAGGCCATACTCAGTTGGCTCTAAGGCAGTGTGGTATTGCGAGGCTGTAGTTCATGGTGGCTGCAAACAGCAAGGCAAGAACCAGAAAGAGAGAGGGACACACCTTCCTCCCACCATGGGATCCTGGCTCCACCCCTAGGTGGGTGTAGCACTCACACCACCAATCGGAGCACTAGACAATGAATCAATCACAAATGCTATATTTGGTGGAGTCTACAATTCTGAGTCTTGGAGACCCCTGACATAAACCATAAAGTGGTATTTCTATATAATGGAATACTATTTAGCCATAAAGAATGATGAACTGGACATTTTTATAGGTAAATGAATGTACTTTGAGGTCATAATTATTAGTGAAATAAATATGTCATGTATGTATACACATATTGCTTCATTAGTATGATAAGGAATAAAAGATGTATTTTGTCCCAGAGAGAATGACTTCAGCCAAGCAACAACTCAGGCCACATCTGCCTTTAACTAACCCACTGTGAACCATTTTTAATTGACTTTTGAATGTTTTTAAGAAATTTTTTGGTATGCTCCAAGGTTTGGGTTTTTTGCATGTGGATATCCAGTTGTTCCAGTATATTTACTGAGAGTACAATCTATCTCCACTTAATTGCTTTTGCTTTTGCCAGAAATCAATTGTCTGTTATGTGAGTATCTATTTTGGGACTTTGTATTGGTACTTTAGTGGTTTGTCTATCTTGACATCAATGCTGTTTTGTCATGATTGGTGTAACTTTGTGATAAGTTGTGGGGATTGGGGAGGGTTGGCGCTCTAATTTTATCAAAGTTGTTTAGACTATTGTCTTTTCTATTTTTACAGAAACTTAAGAATTAAATTTTAATCTTTATGAAAAATGATATTGGCAGTTTGATATGGGATTGTGTTTTCTGATCTTTATTATTTTCTTCTATTCATTTTTTGTTTTATTCCTTTTATTTTTAATTTCTCAAGGGAAGATATGAGGATATTTGATTACTTTCTTCTTTTCTAATAAATGTACTTGGTATTAAAAAATAAAAAGTAGACACATAGTATTGCTAGTGAAAATATCACTGTCCTTTCCATCCTAAAATCAAAGTTCTCATGCTTAAAACCCCTGTAGGTCCACAGGTGCCCCTAGAATGAGGCTCAAATTCCTGTACTGCTCCCTCACCCCTCATCCCCCCACCCCCAGTCTCACAATGCCTTGTATTCTGCTCAGGGTCAGAAGATGATGTGTGCACTCTCACTCCAGGAGTGGCCCCTCATATAACTGCAAGACATACCTTCCTACACCCACTTTAACTAACCCATGTGGCATTTGGTCTTCATCACAGCAGGGCTGGCACTGTGCAGGGTGCAGGCCCAGTCAAGGCTACGTGCTGGCCACAGTGCACTGGACAGACCAAGGGCTAGCAGGGTGACAATGTGCCTTTGGGGGTTGGGTGAGTTTCATGGAGTGGGGGATCAGTGTGGGAGTATGGTGTGGTTTTGGGGACCTTAGGGTCCCTAAGTAGCCCTGCACATTGGGAGCACTGTGGTACTGTGTGTGGTGAAGGAAGAGGTTGGTGGGAATCAGGCTGGCATCACGTCGGATGCCTGATTGAACTCCGACTAGGGTGCTCACATGAGCTGTGCTGCTCATCAGCCTTGCTGTATCCACAGGGCCTGCGAGACCCTCAGCCCATGCTCTTTTTAAATTTTTTGTTTTGAGACAGGGTCTTGGTATGTAGTCCAGGCTGGCTTTGAACTCACTATTACAGCCTCAAACTCCCAATGATCCTCTTGCTTCAGCCTTTTGATATGCCAGGATCACAGGCATGTGCCACCATGCCCAGCTTGTTGTTCTGATCCTGGCCAGAAGTCTTAAAATGTGAAATTTATCTTGTCATCATCACGCATTTGAAATCTATGGCTTCTCTGAGCTCCTAGAATGAGCTCTGCCCCCTGCCCCAGGGCCCTGGACTGTGCCCTCCCTCCACTCTGTTCCCCTCCCCCTGGCTCTAGCTCTTTCCTCCCCTTTCCTGGCTCTCAGTTTTGAATTTTCATGTTTGCTGCATCCCTAAGGACACGCTATACCTTAAGCCTCCCATGGTTGAGTACTTACTGGATGGTCTGGTGCAGGTACAGATGTCACTTGCCCACCCTCTTAGAAGGGCCCCTCCCACATACCTGCCCCCAGGTTTCCTCCCAGCTCTTCCATCCTGGGTAGCTGGCAGGAAGTGAGGTGGCTCCTATAACAACACTGGCTGCCTTCACCTGTCTGGGCACACTGAGACTCCGGTCCTGAGAAGGGGAGAGAGGCACTCAGCTTTGCTTACCCTGCTCAGGTCAGTGACTCCACCCACGATGATACTGGTGGACTTTTCTTCTCTTGTACCCCAGGGACACAGAGCTCTCTGCTTAACACTGTAGGTTCCTAGTTCTGACCCTAGACAATCTCTGGTAATACTCAGAATCTGCCCCCAAAAAACACTTGTTCTCATTTTTTGGTGACAGCCTGCAAGTGTCTGGAGTGATTCTACCATTTTTTGTTTGTTTTTTAAATCAGATCTTGTTAGGCAGTTCAGGCTGGCCTCAGTCTCCCCAGTGCTGGGCATCCACTCTTCCTTGAAACTCTGTCTCAGCTTCCAATTCCCACATCTGCCCGAGTTTCAACCCCCAGATGACCATTCCTGGGCCCCTGCTTTCCCTGGGCTTTCCAGGTCTGCACTACTACTCTCCTCTTTGCTGAGTCACCTCCTGTACTCTCATGAGGCTCGGTCTGCCTGGGATGCCATACCAGTACCTACGATGGGGGAGAGGTACCCATTTTGCACATTTAGTTGCTGCTAGAATGTTCCATTTGGAGAGTGCACAAGACCTCAAACCCAGAGTCAGTGTCAGCCACCAAGCCTGAATTCACCTCTCCCTGTGCAGCATTTGGCCCATTTTCCAGGTCTGTTTTCCATACCTGAGAAAGGTCCCAGCACCCACCAGGACCCCCCTGCTGTTGTGGGATTGCTATATCTGTGCTGCTGGTCCAAGTGGCCCCAGCTCTCTGCTGCCCTCTCAGCCAGTCACAGTGCATCTGGCCTGGGCATTGACCAGAGAGGCCCCAGTGCACCTGGGAATGCTGACCAGGGCTGTGGGGTGTCCTGCTTCTCCACTGCACACTCCAGGCTGAAGCCTTGGCCTAATCTTGCACACCTGATGTCTGACTATTTCCAATTCTGTCCTATCACTTCCACCTGCTTCTCTATCCCGTGCTTTGTAAGATCTTCCTTGATCTGACACTTCCACCCTTGAAACCTCCCTAGCACACTTCCAGCAGTCCCCTGAGTACACTAGGCCACCGCGCCGAGGCCTAAAATGCTCTATCCCCACCTCCTTTTGGCCTGGGAACTCCTTTTTTACCCTGTAAGCTGTGGTGTAAGAGTCTTTTCCAGGAAAATGGAGCTGGTCCTGCATACCCCATGCACTCGGGGCACGGCTCAGTCTTGGGCATGGCCAGCATTGCCCTTGTTGCTGAATTCTGATTATCCATTCATCTCTCCCTGTCACCCCCGAGGCTGCAGTGTGTTGACACCAGTTGGTGTGTGAGGCCTCCACCAACAGAGGGACACAGACTCCCATGTTCCCCAAACCTTTCTCTACACGGGGGATGTTTGGAAACAATGTTGTGGCTTCAAGCAAGACAATGGGCCTGGCGTGGGTATCTTAGAAGCACACATGACCTCCCCAGTTCCCTGATAACGCTTTGCCCGGAGGAAACGGCACAGTGAGAGCTCACTAGCCGCAGGGTCCCCTCTTACTTGTCCTGAACACTCTACAGTCAGGTTGGCCCGGGATCCACTGAGCAACACCAAGCACAGGTGAGTCGTAGACTTTGTAGGACTCGTCCATGGTCTGGGCAGGTGCAGGTGCTATGCATGGCCTAGGCGCCCAGAACGCAGCCCCGATCCTTGAGCCCCGGAATGCAGCGCAACTGCAGCGGGTTGCCCTGGCTACGGACGCCATGCGCTGATTGGCTGAGAGCCGATGACCTAGACCAGGGGCTGAGGTAACCTTGCCTTGAACCGCTGCGCTGGGGGACCGTGTTTTGAGATCCTGGTTTTGTGTGGACCGTGGGATTCCGCAGATCTCCACCACGCAGGCCGTGGTTTTCTTGTGCAAAGCACAGGACCCACCCCTACAGTGGCGGCTGTAGGAACCCGGACAGATGCAGGGAGCCTCAGATTGGAAGGGTAGAACTGTGAAGTTTGAAAGATTCACACCAGGCCACAGGAAGGAAGCGAGCCCAGATGCGCACAACTCAGGGTAACTTTAGAGGCAGTGCTCTGAGGGAGGGGGTGTCTGCTCCACAGTGGGGCTGAGCGCTAGACATATTAGGGTCATAGCGACATCAGCATGCGCGTGGTAAACTCTCCCATGACACCAAGCCCGCTCTACCGTGTGACCTTCAATGCTGGGGACTGAAAGAAAAAGCCTGGTGTGGTGCCGGGCACCACCTCATCAAAAACTGCCTGTGTCAACAACACTCCATAGTAAGGAGGTGGTGACTGGTCACAGTGGCCCAGTAAATTCCACACGGGGCTTCGCATGGTCCCATACCCATGATACATGCAAGAAAACAGCTGTCAGTCCTAGAACCCAGGGCAGGTGGAGAGGAAAGGGGCACCTCGGCCAGGACAGCCTAATGAGACCTGAGCTCTGGTCACAGCTCTGCTGCTGGGGCCACCTGCTGCGTACCCACGTGCGGGGCAGCCACCCCACTGGAGACACGGCCTTGTGGGTGGTCTGCTCTGTACACTTCCCTGTGTGTTCTTGTCCATCATTAACCTGGGAGTTCTCCTTCCAGTGAGTCCCCTTTGCAAAATGCTACTTGGATGCTTGCTGAATGGGGTGACAGGTGTGGAGTCAGGGTGTCTTGGGGAGGGGAGGACAGCTGTGGCATTTTCCTGTTCTCTGGAAGCTAACACTAGTTCAACAACAGAAACCATGCTGAGCCCCCACCCCTCATGCAAATTGATTTTTTCTTTACTCAGGATAAGTTTTGTTTTTGTTTGTTTCCTGGTACAGCGATTGAACTCATAATTTCAAGCTTGTCAGCAGGCACCTGTGCAGCTGAGCTAAATCCCCAGCCCTTTATTTAGGTTTTGTTTTGTTTTGTTTTGTTTTGTTTTGAGACAGGGTCTTACTATGTAGTTCAGGCTGGCCTTGAACTATGTACCCCAGACTGTCTTCCAACTGGCAGCGATCCTCCCAAGTGCTGAAACTACAGGTGTGTGCTACCACACACTGCATATGGTTTAATTTTTAAACAAAACTTTAAACTGGTGATTGGTAATTAAGACTTAATAATTTAGAATTTTTGTTTGCTGAATTCTAAGGTGTTTCAGTGCCTGATCTAGAATATCATAAAACAGGACTGTAATGTAAGTGGCATAAAACACCAGAAGAGACCCTGGTAGAGGATCACAGGTAGATACATCTTCAGCTAGATGCTGGGTCAAGCCCCAGTTCGTAAGAGACAGGGGACAACTGCCAAGGACATAAGATGTCAAAGCAATCTTATTTAGAAGTTGGCTTTAAAAAATTTTTATTGATTTCCTATTTAATCCACTTTGATTTTAAAACCTTTGATTATTCTGCACTTCAGTTTTATGAGTTCCATGAGCAAACCAGAACAGATTTTCAGTGGTTCACTAAGAAACACACTGTGGGTTTTCTTAACATGCGTTGTGGGTGGCTTTTGGTTACCAAGTGTGCTAGAACATGCTTTCTTTTTTAAAGATTTTTTTTGAGCAAGACTGGCCTTGAACTCTTGGCAATTCTCCAGCCTCAGCCTCCCAAGTACTGCAATCACAGGTGTGCACCATCATGGCTAAAGAATATATTTTGTTAAATTAAAATGGGTTGCATCCTTATGAAGGAGATGTCTGCCTTGGGGACAGGAAGGTAAAATTTTATTTTTATATTATACATTAAAATGAAGATCACTAAGTAAGACTCAGTAATTTAGGATTTTGTGATTCTAAAGGAAATCTCTCAGTATTTGAATTATACAATACCTGTAAAAAACGGCAGACTCTGGAATTCTTCATGTAAAAATTGTGTACAATAATACTGTTTTCTATCCAAAGAACAGGAAGTCTAATCTTTAGCAGGGCTGATAGAAATGTGCTCTACATTATTGGTAGTTTAGAAAAGCTTTTTACCTTTCCATCAATTTCAGTGTCAGAAAAGTAATGTGCATTTTTAGAACGGTTATTTAAATCTCAAAGAACATTCTAGAGTCTTCAATAACAGTACCATTGGCACATGGACTGAAGAAGCATGCACCGGCCCCCAGGCTGACTCAGGAAGAAGGCGGCTGGTCTGCTCCACCGAGCTCATAGAAATCAAGGTGCAAAGCAAAGCACAGAACAAGAGTCTGGGGCAGCAAAGGCTTCAGGACAGACTCAGCTTTTCATAATTTTCCCATAGCCAGTCGTGGTACTTGTTCAGCTTGTGGTCTTGAGGGTGCACCTGAAGGAATATGGGGGTCAGAGGACTTAGGTCAGCCAACTAACAATACACTTTCAAAAACTGAAATATACAATGACTTTAAGCCTGCAGGATTCCAGGATGTTTAAAGTATATTTTGCAGTGAGGCAATTGCTCACTTTACAGAGCACTTTGAAATTCAGTGCTGACCAGGCCCTGGCATGCAGGGGGGTCTGGGTTAACATGTGGTTCTGTGGAGGGAAGTTCAGGTGCCTGAGGGTGAGGGTTACTCAGGTTAGCAGGCGCTCTGGGGAAGGAGGACCAGCCCCAGGCTGGGGGCTTCAGCTAAGGAGCTGTGTACCAGCCACCTGCCGCCCTTGAACTGGGAAGAGAACTATAAGTTTTAGTCTTTTGCATCCCAGACAAACATGCTGGAAATGTCACGGCTGGGAGTGGGCCTTACCTGCTTCCACTCATTGACGCAAAAAATCCGGTAAGAGTCATTGCCATATTTGCCGATTCCGTGAAGCTCAATGGGATACTTCCAATGCTTTGTCAGGTACTCATCTGGAGAATACACACCCCACAGGGAGGTTGGCAGAGGGAGGACACCTCCCTTCATACAGTGATGGGGGCAGGATGGAGAGAGATAGGATGCCCTTTGCTATAGTTCAAACCTAGATGTCCCCAAAAAGCCTGTGGCCCTAGGTGGGGCTTTAGGGAGGTGACTGGATCACGTCCACCTACCAAAGAGTATAGAGTTAGAATGTTGTTTGGAGGAGGCATCCCTCAGGGGGCGTGGCCTGGCATGGCCCAACCTCTTTCTGCTCTGCCCTTAGCCTCTGCTTCCTATGTCCAGCACCCTACAATAGTCCTTTGTCCTGTGTCCAGCTTGGGAGCCAGCTGACTATGGCCTAAGACAGCCAAAATATTCCTCTCTTCCTCCAGTTGTGGGTGTCGAGTGCTGTATCTCAGCAACAGCAGACTAAGAGATGTTGACTGTGGTTGTGCTTTTTTCTTGGTTCCAAATACCCTGTACCCACCACTTCCTACAAGGTTTTACACTGCACTCAGCAAAGGTAACATTTTTGAAGGCTAGGCTTTCTGTTTTCCAACCTCTTTCTTACTTCTGACCCCTGGCTGGCCAACAGTGGCTGCCTGGATCAGTGGGAGACTACAGCTGGGCAAGTTGGCTACTATTACATCCCTCTGGTGGGTGAGCTGCATCACTTCTGCTAATGTGGCATCTGAGGACCTGACAGGTAAGGGTGTGGCTTTGAAATAAGAACAGCTGGGTTTTACCTGGGTGTCAAAAGCATACCTGAAAACTTGACAATGGTTTTGGCTCGGAGCTCATAGAGGCCAAGAGGTTTCAGCAGTTCAGACACGTCTCTCCAGTCTGCAGCTCGCGCGACCTCTGCGGAGGGGTACTTCTCCAGAAATTCCCAGAGTACAGGGATCGCCATCTTACCTGAGGTGCAAATGCCAAAGGATGGCAGACTCTGGAGGGCTGCACTGAAGCTGGGGCTTCTCATCTAGAATGCTCATGTGGAGGTGTGGTTTATTTAGTCACTTGGGAGAAGCCACTATTTGAACCATCAGCCACTTCCAGAGTCAGAGACCCATGCAGCACATGCATAAAGAATACTCAGTGAAAAAGGAAATGCTCTTATACAGGACAGAGCCCAGAGAAGCATTAATTAACTGACTTTCCATGAAGACTAATGCTAAAGTGAAGGAAGAGATAACTGTCAAAGTGCCCTTTACTGCTGAAGAGCTGCTGCATTCCATCTGGCTAAACACTCTCACAGGTGCAGAGTCTGAGGGAAAGAAGGCCTTTACTGAGGCCACAGACTGAAAACGACCTTGAACCCCCTCAGTGAAAAAACATCTTCATCACACATCTGGATTAACGACAGTTGAGGATCACCCACAGACCTGAAGTGCGATTCAGAAATATTGTCGCAATGAGGAGCTTCCACGGGTCATGGAACAGTGTCTCTTGGACGAGATTAAAAGGTGACCGAGGTGGGGTCCACTTCTTAAAGGCTTTGCGTCGTGGGGGGCTGAGAGCTAAATAAACACATTGCCTCAGAACTTTGCACACACACCAGACTCGTAGCCTCACCTTCTGCCCAGAAAGGTTACCTCCTCTGTTGTATTTGCTGGAGAAGTACTGGCTGGTCTTCCGCTTTTCTGTGTGTGTTCGTGGGATGCTGTCCTCTGAAAGGGAAGAGCTAAGACTGTAGCCTCTATTTTAGACTAAAGAAATACTCAGGGATGCAATGATTCTAATCATCACAATAATCCAACTACTATTGTAACACATGCAGGGCATTATTCTAAGCACCTAAGCACATTAGGGATCCATTCCATGAATGACCTGAGTGCCCTATTATTTTATCTCCAATTTATCTCCAATTGGCAGAGAAAGTAAGTAAATTGCTCAAGGTCACACAGTTAAAAAGAAAGCCAGGCAGTCTGGCCTGAATCCCTGCCCTGATCAACAAAATTATGTTCTATTCACTCTCTGTGCTTTTTGCTTGTAGTATCAACAACTTGGAAACAGTACAGAGTATTTTAAATTACATACTTGTACAATGTGGTCACTGAAATATTTTTGAGACTGTATCACCAATACTTGCCTATGATATTAATTTTGACCAAAAAAAGCAAGATTCTATATATAATCCTAATTTTATAAAAATGTATACATACATATATGTGTGTACACACATACAGAGAGATTAAGAATGAAACAAACCAAAAATGGTATTATTGGTGAGTGGTAGTTTTTCATATTTTTGTTTTTTTGAGACAAGGTCTCTTGCTCTGTAGTTCAGGCTGGGCTTGAACTCACAACAATCCTCCTGCCTCAGTTGGGATTCCAGGTATGTGCCACTATGCCCAGCTTATTTTTCATACTTCCCAAAACTTCTGCAGTGAACACTTATTTTACTGAAAAAGGGATACAAATAAAACAGAACCTGTAGGAAAGCGTAAGATCTGGACCTGGAACACCACTGCCTACTGGTACGCTGTGCCTGTTGGAAAGCTGCACTGCTAACCTGTCAAGTCTCTTGATGTTGGCAGTTACTACTCCCAGTAGCCACCCCCTCTGAATTTGAATGTCAATAATTCCTTCCACTCCATCATATGAAGTCAACTCTTTCACTTCTCATTTTAGCTTTCAATATTCTTTTTTTTTTTTCTTTTTCCTTTTTATCGGTACCGGGGATTGAACACATGACTGCCTGCTTGCAAGGCAGGTGCTTATGCTGCTGAGCTAAATCCCCAGCCCCAAATTTAAAAGTCATTCCTTTTTTTGTCTTTTTCATTTTTATTGGTACCAGGGATCGAACTCACGACCGCCTGCTTGCAAGGCAGGTGCTTACGCCACTGAGCTAAACTCCCAGCCCCCTAGCTTTCAATATTCTTAACATGAAAAGGAGGACCAGTGAGGGCTCCCATCTCTGCTTTACAGATGAAAAAACTGACTTAGAAATTAAGCAACTTTCCCCAGTGACACTGGGATTGACTGTACCTTGGGATAGGTGACCAGGTCTCCAGAGAAGCTGGTCAGTGTTTTTTGCTGCTCCAGTTTGACCAGTAAAGGCCGAAGGTAAAGACAGAAAATAAAAGAAGCTGCTTTACTAGTTATCTATAACTTTTTCTGTGGGTTCCTATAAGTATTAACTTTTTATTATTAGTTTTCCAGGTTATTAATAGGTAAGGGAACGAGAAAGACTACTATTACTTGTAACCTAAAGATCCATTTTTTTTTTTTTCAATGCTGTGGATTGAACTCAGGGCTTTGCACATGCGAGGTAAGCACTCTATCACCAGGCTATGTCCCTAGCCCTTTACATTTTTTTTTTTCAAATGTTGAAAAGTCAGGCATGGTAGTATGCCTGTAATCCTAGTATCCCAGAGGCTGAGGCACAAGGACAGAATAGAGTTAAGCCAAGCTGGACAGAAACTTGCCCTCAAACTTGAGATCCACCTGCCTCTGTCTCTTCAGTAACTGACAATACAGGTGATATGCTCCATCCTAGCAGGGTATTTCATCTTTTTGGGGGGAGGGGTGGTTTGAGGCAGGGTCTCTATGTAGTACAGTCTGACCTCGAACTCGCAGTGATCCACCGGACTCAGTCTGGGATTACAGGAATGTGCCAACATGCCTGGCCTGCAGGTACTTCATTTTGAGAACCAGACTTCTTTAAGTATAGGATGAATAGAGTACTTTCATCTTAGTTACAAAAGGATGTTTTAATATTTAATTTGCCCATTATACCAACAATATATCTACATAAACCTCAATGCTTTCTGTAAGAAGCTCAAGGACAGACTTGAACTCTTCTACAGTTCCTCAGCAAATACGGCCTTCTGTTAAAGGCAGACAGTTCAGGCAGAGAAGACGTTAAATCTTTGTGGGACTGAGAGCGGGTGTCAGGTCTAGCTCCATGCTCCACCAGTCTGTCCACACTGTTTCCCCACAAGAATTTTAAGTAAAACTGCCATCCTTATTTAAGAGTTATTCATTATATCACAGTGGCATAATGAATAATACAGGGTGCTCAAAAGATCTTTTTATCCATTATTCATCAAGGTATTAGAAAAGCAAAATTGCTATGTGCTAAACTCTGTATTAAGAGCATATTACAAATAATTGATGAACTACACGATTACACTTTTGAATTATTTAGAGCTTTTAGGCCTTTTAGAGAAGCATTACATTATAACAGAAGATAAAAACAACTGTGATATATATGAAATTCAGTTGGAAATCATATAAGCTGTAATAACAGGAGTGATATGACTATTCTCAGTTTACATATAAAAGGAAATTTCCCCAAATTTCTCACAAATTTTTAAATTTTCCCTCAAGTCTTTTGTTTTGCTTTTTTTGAGGCAGGCTCTCACTCTGTAATTCAGGCTGGCCTCAAACATCAATCCTCCTAGCTTAGCCTCTCAAGTGCTGGGATTACAGACATGTACCACCATGCCCAGCTTTTTCTTTTTCGAACAGTACAAGGGATTGAACCCAGGCTCTCTCAACTGAGCTAAACCCCCAGCTATTTTTATTTGTATTTTTTAATCCTAAAACAGGGTCTTACTAAGTCACTACAAATCACTAAATTACCTAGGTTGGACTTGAACCTACAACCCTCTTACCTTGGTCTCCCAGAGTACTGTACAACCATGCCTGGCTCCCTTGAAGCCTTAAATTACTGCTGGAAAGAGGTTGGGAAGCAAAAGTGGTGCTGCTGAGGAGACTGGCTACAGTAGCTGTCACTGGCACAGGAGCTGTCACTGGCACAAGGCTCTTCTTAGCTATAGCCAGTGAAGGCTGATGATCAGTGGAACAGCTCACACGTAAGCTAGGTATTAGAGCCAACTGGGAGCCTATATCTGATATATGACCCTATTTCTTCAGGTAATTTTCTCATTTATGTACAAGCATGAAATACAAGATTTGGGATTGAAGTTCTTTACCACATTTTCTAGCATTATGATGCATCTAATACCTGGATATATTTTCTCAGAAGTCAAGTCTTTACTGCTTTGTGAGCAGCTGCTGTCACCTTCAGAGTCACACTGTAAAATATCAGTATGCAAATGTTCCTTTCTTTCTCCATCTTCTACTTTTGCTCTGATTTCCTCTGATTCTAAAAAGGTCTCCTCATACTTCTCATGTTCCCCTTCTGTGGTTGGACATGATTTGTTTGTGATACCAGATGTTATTTGTTCAAAATAAAACTCTGATCCTGAGCTCAACGATTTTTCTTTTACACGGCTCTTTTCTTCCTCAGTCACACCAAAGGTACTGTGGGTTGTGGTGCCATCAGAAAAGCAGAAAGCTCTATCAAGCTGATTTTCTTGTGCAACAGATGCACTTGTAGCCTCTGCTTTATTAAACACAGATTCTCTTTTTGTATTACTTTGGACAGCATCTGGAAGACTGTTACTGCACTGTTTTCTGTTTCTCTTATTTTGAATTCCTTTCAAAGCAGTCACTTTTCCTTTGAATTTCCTAACCTTCCCAGAGCTAATGTCGTTAATATTTTCTTCTTCTCTCAGAAGCACATGGTTGGAATCAAGGTTAGACAGTCCTCTGCTATCTTGCAACTCCAAAGTACTATTTGGCAGAGGAGAAACATCTGTTTTTTGCCTGCTTCTAGTCCGAATGTTCCAGTTTGAAATGTTACTTTTGTTTTGCTGTTGGGTTGTCAGAGCTGCCATGGTAGAGCCCTTACATCTTGACTTGATGTTCCTTTCAGAACGAACACTAAAATCAAAATCTTCTGGCTGCAGAGCTGTGTCTCCATTTTTGAGAAGATAATTAGCAACTGAACTTTTAGATCTGAACTTCAGTCCCTGTGGGCTAGAAAATATTAAAGGAAACATTGCTAGTAAGAAGCAGTATTTTTAAAAAAGAATCAGTTTCAAATTTCTAATCAATAATCTCCAAGTATTGCCACAGGCATTTGTTATTTGAAAACAAAACAAAACACAAATGGGTATTTTCAAATAGTTTTCCCTATGACACTATAAAATAAATTTATAAATACAACAAGTGCAATTGCACTATTAACCATTCACAGTAGGAAGGACAAATACATGTAATTGTCCCCAAATCACTTGATATAACTAATCAGTGACACTGAAGGATGAATTTGTAAATAGATAAAAAAAGAAGCCAAGATTCTTGCTATGTGTTCCCAATACCTCTCTAGATAGAATTATCTGGTTATACTGTACTTTCCACCTTGCATGCTTACCTAATAAAGTATACATCAAATCTTCCTGCTGTTTTCCCAGATAGCCTCTGTTTCACAATCCTTTCCCATCCATAGAGGACAGGCTTGTGACGTTCTGTCACTGCAGCACCAGCACACTGAGAAGCAATGGGTCCCTGTAGAAGAGCATTACATTCCCTGCTTCCATTTGTCATCACCATTTGTTTTTCATTTTTTTCCACTTTTTCCAAACCTGTTGCAACATCTTCTTCACTGGGGAAACAAAGCATAGGTGATTCAGTCATTGAAACTTATTTTCTTTTGCTTATTCAATTTTGATCCTTGACAGTGCAGTAACCAAATGGAACACTCAGATCAAAATCAGAGAGACTACAGCTAGTATGAAAGAGTGACTTGTGCTATGACAAACTCTTTCTATTCTTAACAGCTACTAGTCCTCTAGCAAGCACTAAAAAGTGTTGGAAATTTCTGCACAACAAAAAGCTCAAGCTACTTGCTAGAAACTTTTTAAGTTAATCATCAAATAGGGCTACTATGAAGATTTCTGGTGCCACTTGCGCTACATTTCAGGCTATGAATTAGCAGTTCAGCTCTTGACCTGTGATCAAAAGAACTGCTTAAGGAGTCAGTGAGTCAATCCCCTTCTGCAGATAGGTGAGGTGACAATTACACATTTTTCTTGAGTGACAGTGTCTATCACCTTCATCAAATCTTGTAACTATCCAAAAGATAAATAATTTCTGCCAAAAATTTTCAAAAATTTCCTTCATTCTTGATCCTCATAACCTTGTAAGGTAGGTAGGATAAGATTTATTGAGAAGATTGAGTGACCAAAAGGTTAAATTAGTTGCAGAACTGACAGCAGAACTTAGCTCTACCAAATCTTGGTCTCATACTTTTTGCCTGGATAGGTATTGAAAACTTTCAATAAGGTATATCTTAATCATCTAACTCAACTTTTTTTTTCTTCCAGTAAGGGAAACTGAGCAAGAGACAGTGACTGACAAGAACCAGAGTCACAGTTTTCTCATAGATTTGAGATTAATTTGGGAGAGCTGTGGGGATCTTATGAATGACACCATTTACTCAGTACTTTCATAACAACAGACCAGGCTAAGATCTAGTTTCTGCCCTTCACAAACTGTGTGTCCAAGAGCAAATTACAGAAGCTATCCAGGTCGCGTTTCTGAATATGTAAAAAGCACTTAATACTTCTTTCAAACTAGGTTTCTCTTGAGGGTTAAATTTTGAAAAATAGGTAAATTACCTCGTATCTGACACAAACAGCATTATGAGCCGCACTATCCTTTTCCGGGGGGCCCCTGGCTGCAGACTCCCACTGTACGTAACCCATAGAGCGATGCCCTGGCTCCGGGGAACCAAGCCCCGACCCTCTTTGCAGATGGGGACTTTGAGGCTATAGGAGCTGTAACTGGCCAGAGATCACGCAGCGGGTATGGGGTTCGGCGCTAGGAGGAGAACCCTCCGTCGTACCTGGGACTCAGACACGCCATGCAAATCGTGGCCTGCGGCGGCGTCCGACCACAGCAGCCGGCGAAGAGGTACCTCGCCCTGGACAAAGAGAGAGGGAGGATGGGAAAACCTCAGTCCAGAGCGCTGAGCTGAATCCAAAACCTGCAGATAGTAAAAGTCCCTGACATCCAGCCCCTCAGCCACTGCAGCCATCTCCCTGGCTCCGCCAATCAAATCTTTCTTCGCAAAGAGCTCCTTCCCGTTCTGACCAATCACACGCGTAGGAATTGCGCTTTGGCCTCCTGGGCTCCCGTTCGTTTGGCGCGTTAGCTCCTTAGTGCGCCCTCCCATTTAGACATGCGCACTTGGAGCAATTGTGGTCTCTCTCATGTGCCTCACTGCGCATGTGCGTTGCCAGGGGTAACCAAAGTGGCTGTTAGCGTGGCGTCTGTTGCTGAGGCGGGAAGGAGGAGGCCGAAGCATAGCAAAAGCGGCTATGAGGGCTGTGCTGACGTGGAGAGATAAAGTGGAGCAGTGGTGAGGAAAGGGGCGGCCCGGGAGGAGAGTGGGGAGTGGGAGGCCGAACCCGGGTAGGGATGGCGGGAGTTCTTTCGGTTGCCAGTGGCAACGGGCCTGCGGCCTAGGCTAAAGGCCCCGCATCCCCAGCTGGAACTTTCGGAGGGAGACTGAGGCTGGGAGCGGAACAAGGGGATGTGCGGAGTTGTAATCACGCGTAATCACTACCCAGTTTGGCTTGCTCTTGCCAGGAATCCATCTGGGCACCTTTCTCCGCTCCACTGTTTCTGCTTGACTGTGTTTGCTCTCCCCATCCAAGTGTCAATCTTACTATTGTTTACTCAGCGTTTTCCTTTACGTTATTGTACTTATTTTCGTTTGAATAAATGACTTCATATTTTGTATCGAAAGTTAACTACTACAAGTGTGAAACGTCAATATCGTTTGCTGTAAGTGTAAAGCTTCAAGCAGAGAGAAGGAAAAGGGTGACACTAAGTTGTAGCTGGATACTGTTGCTAGGAAGTCTTTACATCTCCAAAACTAGAGATTCCCAAATGAGCAGAGAGATGCTTATGGTAGACATTAACCCAATTATTATGGTAGACAAATGAGCAGAGAGATGCTTATGGTAGACATTAACCCATTTATTATGATTCAATGTTATTTAATGTCCTGTTCCATTTTTATCACCCAAGTCTATCATGCAGTGGTGCATTTGAGTAAATGCTGACTTACTAAATTGTTCTCACTTTCAGCTTCATTGTGAAGTCTGCTTTGGCCACAGGGCAAGATACTTGTCTTTCACCCTCTTGTCTTTTGTGATGCTTTGCATAAAGCCTGCCTTTTCCCCTGGTCTCACATTGAGATCTTGAACATCCTTTAAGGCTCCCTCTGCACACAGTTGCTGACTCTGGTGCTCTGCCTGGGAGTAGCTAATGCTGTGTGCTCAGCCCTGGGCTAGAAGGCCAACCCCTTTATCTCACTGTCCCTCCTAGCAGCCCTTTAAGGCAGGTGCTGCAGTTACTTCTATTTTACAGAAGAGGGAGCTGAGGCACAGAGAGGGTGCATAGTTTTGTCCAGATCACACAGTAAGTGATAGAGCCAGACTTCAAACTGAAGTCTTCCTCATCCCAGTACTGTCAGCCACTATGTTAAATCCTTCCCTACCCCTGTGTCACACAGGTGACACACAAATGGCAGTAGGAGTGGGGCAGGTTAGTGAGACCCTGTTTCAAAAATTTAAAAAAGAGGGCTAGGGAATTAGCTCAGTGGCGTAAGCACCTGCCCTGCAAGCACAAGGTCATGAGTTTGATCCCTGCCACCAAAAACAAAAAAAACAAAAACAAAAACAAACAAAAAAACTAAGGTCTTGAAAAATAAAAAAAGACTGGGAGGTGTCTCAGTGCCAAGACCCAGGGTTCCGACCACAGTACTTTTGGTGGGGGATTTACTTCCACAGGGAATTCTCTTTTCCCTTGGAATATTCTTTTGTACCCATTTTGAAACATGTAGCCTTACAAGTATATCCTTAATTTCTACTTAAATTTCTTAAAAGTAAAAAAATATTTTTGCAGTGCTAGCTCCAGGACCTTATACCATCTCCCAGCCCCCAGCTCTGGTGATAGAATCTGAGCAGTTCTTTTCCGTGAAAGCGCTTTTCCTTTTCACTCTGTAGTGGACATGTCCAGAGCGCAAACTGGTGATACACGGTTTCAGAGAGCAGTAGGAATGGCAGAGATGGAGCTCAACAAACTGGAGTGCTTCTGCTCTGCCGGAAGGGCAGCTGCTGCTCCTTCCTGCCAAGCACCACCACACAGGAATTTGGCCTCATGTGCTGAGATCTTCCTGTTTCTACCAGAAGCTAGAAATCTGGATTTTCAGTGTGAAATGTCCTAATTTTTAAATATTAGCACTCAATTGGAAGAAATAAAGTAAAACACCACGTGGGCCAAACAAAACATTTGCTGGCCAAATGCAGCCTGATTTGCTTTGTTTTCAACCCCTGACACAGAATTTTGTTCACTCCTCTCTGTGGTACTTAAAGTCTGTCAAGTATAAAAGTTACTTTTTAATGTTTATCCCAGAAATCTGTAAAACTTTTAAAATAGTGGCCATGTCTTATTTCCAAATGCTTCTAGAGCTTTGTCAAGCCAGTGGTTGTTACTGTTTAGTGCGTGATACATTCATTAGAGATGAATGAATGAGAAGTGAAGGTTGGTTATCTGGTACAATAGAAAGCGGGAGATTCCATAAACTAGCAGTTCTCATGATGATAGGCCTGCTAGGGATTCAGGATGAAACAGAGTGAGATTTTTAAAAGCCATAAAAAATAATAAGCTAAAAAATCCCAGATGTTACCCCTAACCCGATCACTGTCTCCTGGTCTCTACTTTGACTTCCAGGCTAATGTCACAAGGGAGCAGAACTCTCTTTCTTAGGACCTGCTGCTGAAATCTTATTACTCTACTTCTCACAAACTCCTAGGGACTCCCAGTTACCCTCACATCACATTGCACATCCTGCTAGGTGGTCTGCCTGTCCCTCTCCCCTCTACACTTGCTAACATTTCAATTTATGCTTTGGAATCCAGCCAGAGGCTCCATTTTCCTTCCCAAAGATCCTCCCTAAGCACTCTCCACTCTTTTCTGAATCCCCTGCTCCATATTCATTTACTCTGTACAACAGTGCTTGAAGTTGGAATTGTTATCCCATTTACAAACGAAAAATTTGAGATTTGATGAAGCGAATAAAAGGTAATGAATTGGGTGGGAGAGTGTATGCTTGATATCCCTTCACTCTAGGAGGCTGAGGCAATTGAATCATAAGTTTGAGCCCAGCTGGGCAACTTAGTGACCTCGTGACTTAGTGAGACCCTGTCTCAGAGAAAGCAAGCAAGCAAGCAAGCAAACAAACTCTGAAGATGCAGCTCACTGTGAAGACTTTGGACTCACTACTTGTCCTTTCCTCCCAAAAGAACATTAAAGGCAATGGCTGGGGATGTATTTGATGGCAGCATGCTTACCTAGGATGTGTGAGCCCCTGGGTTCTATGCCTAGCTCTTCTCCCTCCAAGAGAAGATTATAAAGCAAGTGAATAGGTAGGACAGGCCACGTAGAGCTCTCACAGAGAGTCACTTGGGCCTTCAGTTTATGGGCAAGAGCGTGACTGAGGCTCTGTCTTCATGCTGGACTCTGATGATTGCCCTCGTGACAATGTTTTTCATAAAAGGGAATGGGAGGAGAAAGCCGACTGCCTGCCTACTTAGCCATCTGGAGGGAATTCTTGTCCAGATGGGGGCGTGAGACTACATGACAAAGTTCTTTTCAGTTTTGGGCTTCTGTGATAGAATGTACAAACGTATATTCTGTGACAGAATGTAATAAAGCCCGAGGACTTCAAGATACAATCTCAGTTGCTTGCAGTTGTGTCCTTTGTGTTTCTGGGTACCTGCCTCGCTCTGGCACTCAGACATACCACGGGAAGCATGGTCATGGCCCTGGAACTGCAGATGTGCATCATCAAGGAGACGTGGTTGAGTCTAAGGTGGGGCGGAGAGAAGGTTGTGTAACCGGAAGTGACTAGATCAGGAAGATTCTGAGAACAGTAAGAGTTTTGGTTGGGGCAAAACAGACATATGTGTTGTATTTTGAGAAGGCAAACCTTAAGAAATTCTTCTGAGAGGAGGAAAGTCAGGCTTTGCCCCGATGAGGCACACAGAAATGCTCTGGTCACCCACACAGATGACCTGGGGGGAAGAGGCCACACAGGGATCCTGCTCATGACCTCAGATGTGTCCAGGTAGACAGGGAGCTATGTACCCCATGCACCTCAGGCTCTGAGGCTGCATAGAGACTGGGGGCTCTGTGAACTATTGGGGGGTATCACTCTGCTGGTGAGGGGTCACTCTCAGGGACCCTAGTCCCCTCTACCTGTCACTCTGCTACCCTGATGTTCCTCAAGATATGAACTGTAATGAAGATGCATTTCCTCCAGATCCAGAGAAAGGAAGCATGGGATCCAGGGGCTTTGGGTCATTACCACCTGAGGGTGGTGAGGAATGCCCAGGGCCAGAGAATGCCCTGCTCTGGAGGGTATGACTGTCACCTTTCTTTCAGGCCCTCTCTGCCTCAATCTCTTTACCCATTTTTGATGTTTTTCTGAGTTAGGGTCTCAGTACAGTTCAGGATACCCTCAAACTTGCAATGATCCTCTTGCCTCAGCCTCCTAAGTGCTGGGATTGCATCTGCACACCATCACTCCCAGGCCTCTCAGTTTCCTCATCTGTAAGGATGGGTGGATGCCACCTGCCTGTTAGTCCAGTGTGAAGTCACAGAGGTTCTGTGACATCATGCAGCTTACTCTCCAGCAGCTCCTAATTGGAGTCTTTGGAGAGTTTATGTTCAGGGGAGCGGCTGTAGCCAAGGAGCCTGTGCTGTGTAGTCTCACTCAGGCAGGCTCAAAGAGTAGTGTTCAGGGATTCAGAGAAGAAAGGTGGCAAAGGCTTAGGTACGGGAAAGAGTATGTTTCAGTTATGCTAGAAAACCAAGTTTCAATGACCTTTTGCACACATGGCCACCACAGCTAATGTATTACATGTTTTTTTTTTTTTAATCTTTTTTGAGGCAGGGTTTCATTATATGGTTCAGGCTGGCCTTGAACTCACTATGTAACCCAAGCTGGCTTTGAACTTACAGTGATTCTCCTGCTTCAGCCTCCCGAGTGCTGGAATTACAAGTACATATTTCAGAATTGCTAAAAGAATAGATTAACATTCTCACTACAATACATAAGTTGCTGCTATCCAAAATAGCACATGCCTGTGATTCCAGTACTCAGAAGGCTGAGGAAGGAAGATCACCACAAGTTAAAGGCTACCATGGGTTACATAAACAAATAACCCAAAAGACAAACGAGGTAGTAGATGTATTTATTTGATTTCCATAAAATACATGTGGATCAAAATATCACATTTACCTCATAAATATATACAGTTATGATTTGTGAATTACAACTTTATATTTTTAAAAATTCTTGAGTAGGTGATGTGATGTCTTGAGTTGGTGTTAGTACTTTTCGTTTTTGTTTTTGGTATGATGTGAAAGCCTTTGCTATTACTTCGTCGCCCATAGAATATGCTAACTGCACTAGTGAAGTCACACAAAGTGTGACTTATTGTGAGGGCTTCAGAGCCTGGCTGTCTGGGTATCAATCCTGGCCCCATCTCCACTTTGTGTTCTGGCAAGTTGTTTAATTTTTCAGCCCCTTGGTTTTTCATCTGCAGAGTAGGTATAGGGCTGTTGTGAGGTTAAGTCAGTTAAAATAGCAAAGCATTTAAGCTGTACACAGCAATGAATGTGCTCAGTAAATGCTGGATGCTGTTGTCATTGAGCCTCATACATAACAGACACCATAATTCAGAGTGTAGGAGGCAGTATGGAGTTGTGGCTGATGAAGCTGAAATAAACTCTTGATCTTTTGCTTGCTGGCTGTGTGACATTGACTGAGGCACTTAACCTCTTTGTCCCGTGGATCCCTGACCTACACAACTAAGTACAAGCTAGGCATGGGGACACATGCCTGTAATCCCAGCACTCCAGGAGGCTAAAGCAGGGAGATGGCACGCCCAATTTAGGCAATTCAGCAACTTAGCAAGACCCTATTTCAAAATAAAAAATACAAAGGGCATGGAGGATAGCTCAGTGTGAAGACCCTGGATTTGATATCCAGTATTGCAAAACAACAGCACCAACAAAGCAGCTGAGTGCCTTTGTCTCCCCTGTACCCAGGGGTTTTGTCCCAGGACTCCCCATGGATGCCAGCACCCAAGATACCAAGATCCCTCACGTAACACGATATAGTGCTTGAGTAGATGATGTGAACCTGTCCTGCACATGTGGATCACGAGATGACTTCTTCTGCCTGACATGGTGTCAGAGACAGTTGTCATGCTGGACTGTCCAGGGAGCAGGGACAGTGTTTGCATGTTCACTATAGGTACAAGCTCCCCCCAGTGTGTCCAGCCCATAGTTGGTTGGGTACATAGATGCAGAGCCTGTACTCTGAACTCAGAGGGCAACTGGAGTCTCTCGTGGAATCACTGTGAGGACAAGACACTGCCGTGTGCCAAGACTTTCACGTGGCCATTGCCAGGTGGGCTCTGAGGACTGTGTGTGAATGGACCTTTAGTTGCTGATAAGCGCTGGGCTGTTTGTCTCATGTTAAGCGTACTACAGACTGTCCGGGTCATGCCACTTAACACAGCTTCCTGGTCACCTGTCAGTGACACTATGCCTGGTGGCCAAGCTTCTTTGTGATGTGACTGAGGCCCATTTCTCTAGCTGATCTCTCCCTCTGCCTGATGTGTCAGTCACATTTAGTTCTCTGTATTCCTTGCCGTCCCCATGTCCACACTTTGTGTGTTCTGTTTTCTGTGCCTGAAAAACTGCGCCTCCTGTCTCTGAGGCTACCCTCCTCACGCACTGTCTACATTGAGACGCTGTTTCTCACACTGTTCCCACCTCTGAGTATACTGCCTTGAACCTGGTAATACCGTGCACGTTTCAGGGCAGCTCCAATTATATTCTCACATTGTTTGTGTTTCACCCAAGCTGAGGTGCTTGATAAAAAAAATGCTGTTGTGTATTTAAATAAGAACGTCAACAAAGCTAAGCTGACCTGCCACCAGGTACAAGACACATTCCAAACCCAAAGACACAAATAAACATGTGCCTTAGACTCAGGATTATGTCTGGGGAAGGCAACCAGATCACACCTTCCCTGACCCTCTGGCATCTGTTGGAGCCTGACCCTGGGAGGTGTTTGGCAGTACCCATGTGGATATGCTTAGCCTGTCTAGTTCCTCTGGGGCATCCCATCTTCACCATTTTCCTGGAAGAGTTAGTTCCCTCAACTGTTGACCTTGGAACCACTTCAGGTGTCTGGCTCCTGGACAAGAAGAAAACAGGACAGAGCCGAGCCCCCCACGGGTCCTGATGGAGTAGGCTGCCGGGTGTGGTGGGTGAATGGAATCTGCCACCAGATGCAGTTTTCAGCCCAGTGCACATGTGGTGTTTCCTAATGGAAATGCAGTTTGCTTTCCTGGCCATTAGCAGACCTCATCGTGTGGGCTTCTAATTGTCTTTTTGTCTTGTCTCCTGTTTAGTATCTATGACCTTGCGTTTAAGCCCGATGGAACTCAACTGATTGTGGCTGCAGGAAACAGATTACTGGTAGGATTTTGTCTGAGTTTCCTTTTTAAGTGCTTTTTTCTCCTCCCTCCTGTAAGTACTCTGAAATTTGAGGCCCCCTCCCCTTTTTTTGAGATAAAAAAAGGCAAGGGCGGAAAAACCAGTCATTACTTTTTAATAGGGAAGGAAATAGGCTATTTAAAACAGGTAAGTAAACTGTCTGTCATCTGGGAACTTGTGAACAATGCCTTCTTTGGAGTCATTCATCTTTCCCTTTTTGCTTTTGCTCACACCCATGAAAGAGTTGAAGATAATTAATCAAAATGTCTTTGAAACAGGGCTGGTGTCAATTTGTATTTTGTCCTTCTGAAAAATGCAAGCAACAGGACTGAAGTCACCCATCCTAGAGAAGCCCCATAGCCCGACCCCAGCCTTTCAGCCCTGGCCCACCTAAGCAATCCCATATGGATGCTGGCCTATTTTTCATATTTTCAAAGGACATGAGTTCCCTCTGAACCAGTCCCAGTGTGCAGAAGTGATCTCCAGAGAACTCTTTCTGTTTGACCTAAAAACCTCTGTGATCGCCTTTCTCCACTCTGTGCCCTTCCTGCTCTCTGCTGTCTCCAGAAAGGCCTACTGCCGGATTTTGAAGGGAGGGGGGCTACATGGTCTTCACACTGCAGTTAAACTGTTCTACAGATTCTTTCCCTCCAAAGGAGTAGCCTGGACTCCCGCTGTCCTCCACAGGTCATCGTCTCCGACATTCTAATGGCTGTGGAGACTTTTGCCTGGATTTCTCAGATGGTGTGGTTTTCACATCTCTACATATTTAGGCATGTTGCACAGCTACAAAATACCCTAAATCTACTTTGCAGCTGGGTTTATACCACTTCTTCCTACTTGTGAGGACCATGGTTCAGGACTAAGACTTTCAAACCCTTAGTTGCAAATCTGAAACATCTCTATGACTTTGATGCTACGATACAGCACTAGCTCTAAAATTTAACTGTGTGGTAAACTGGCCCATTTATGTATGTGGTACTGAGTCTTGAGACCCCTGGCATGCTGGGCAAGTACTTTCTCATTGAACTACACCTCTAGCCCTTATAAAAATTTTATTTTGAAACAGATTTTCCCTAAATTGTCCAGGCTGACCTTGGGCTTATGATCCTCCTGCCACAGCCTGTTGAGTATCTGGATTATAGGTGTGTGTCATAGCTGCCAATATCTTTTTGTATGTGCTGATTTTATTTATGGCAGCCTGCCATGACTGGGCATTTATCCAAATTCATTTATCCATGGAGTGAGTAAGCAAGTCTTTCTTCTCGAGGTTTGGTGGTGTGTTCTTGGTCACACAGCACAGGATCAGGGCTTCCACGTCTTGGTTACCAACATTTAGTCTTAGTCCTTCTAGTTTTGCAGTGTGGTTTTTGATGCAGATTCAGCATGTTAACAAACATTTTGTCATAAAAATAGAAGTCATGGTAACCACCTGCAGGGATTGTATGTGACAAATACCATGGAGATGACGTGTGCTGCTGTTGCTTTATGGCAGGTTTATGAAACCTCTGATGGCACCTTGATTCAACCCCTCAAGGGACATAAAGACACAGTGTACTGCGTGGCCTATGCAAAGGATGGTAAGCAGCTGCTCTTGGTGCCAGGCTCTGCCGTGGCTTCATGACTATACTCTTTTCTCTTTAGCCAGTTCTTGATGATTGTAAAATCCAGCTTGCAGATTGGGTGGTAGCCAGTTTAGATATCAGCTCTGGCAAGTGAGTGATGCCATAGCCCTGATATATAATTCAGGATGGCCTTGAGCTCACTGTGTAGGTTAGGCTGACCTTGAACTTGCAGTGATCCTCCTAACTCAGTCTCCCAAGTACTGGGATTACAGCTGTGTGCTACCTCACATGTCTAAAAATAAAATTTTAAATAAAAAACTAAGGTCCCCCCATCTGTCCTAGGGCCCAAGTCTTTCAAAAATTGACTTTGTGTTGGGTTAATTTAATTCCTGCTTCTTCCACTTGACTCCATGAAAGCAAGGGTAGTGTATCTCACTTTATTTTTTTACTTGTTTATTTTTATGAGTCCATGTTTGCAGTGCATATTGTTTCTATTTCTTGTGTGGAGCTGGGACATGTGCATAACACATCTTAAAACATTTCTTGACCCCTTTCCTTTCCTCCTAACCCCTCCATCTCTTGGTCCCTATTGCTTTTGCAAAAGATCTATCTCCCTACTTCCTGTCATCTGTCTTTTATTTTGTTATTTATATTTTGTGTTTCTCATGTAAGAGAAACCATGAGACATTTAAGCTCGTGTGTCTGATTTATTTCACTTAACATTAAGGTCAAGGTGCATCCATTTTCCTAAAAATGATTCAAGTTCATCCTTCTTTATGGCAATATGGTACTCCACTGTGTGTGGCTACCACATTTTCTTTATCTGTCCATCAGTTGATGGACATGTAGGTCACTTCCAAGGTGTAGCTGTTGTGAGTTGGTATATCTTCATCACTACTCAGCCCTGGCATAGAACAGCACCAGACTGGTCTGGAACCCAATGTCCTGAATCTGGGGCAGGGCACATGTGCCAGTTGGAGGGAACAGAGGGTGGATGCAGCTTGGTGTGAGCTCGAGCTCAGTTTCTACCCAGGCTCATTATGCCTTACAGAACCAGTTTCCTAAGAAATACTCTTGGGAGATGCTAGCTTAAAATAAATGTGAGACTTTTTTTTTTTTAACATTTTCAGGTAAACGCTTTGCTTCTGGATCAGCCGACAAAAGTGTCATCATCTGGACATCAAAACTGGAAGGCATCCTGAAATATTCGTGAGTTTCCACTTAAGGCTTGCCCATCTGGCCCCCACTAAGTGTCATGAGAACCCCAAGTGAGGAAGCATGGAAGAGTTTTCTCTCCAGCATGGACTCAGAATTCAGTGACAGGAGTTGAGGTGGGGCAAGTCCTCTCTATCTGTGGGTTGCCAAGCTCTGGACCTTGGCCAGCAGCATCCAGTGCCCCTCCACTCTGGGTCTTAGTCACTTTCTTCTCATGGAAACATAGCACCCAGCATGTGTAATGTACAGGAAGAAGGGTTTCTTTCTTTTGCTCATGTTTTAGTCCATGGTCAGTGGCTCCCAAGCAGTGGGGCGGCAGGGTGGAGGAGAGCTACTTGTGGCAGGGCAGACCAAAAGCAGAGGGAGGAGGGGGGAGCCCAGAAGGAAGAGCCACCCTTTCAGGCCACTCCAGTGACCCCTTTTCCAGGCAGCCCTACCTCTGAACAGCCAGTCAGATACTGAACTTCTCAGTGATGATCACAGCACCCCACAATGCAGTCTCCTTCCCACATGTGACATTTGAGGGACATTTCGGATCAAACCATCACAGTGGGTCTCTGGGTGCTCCCACCACTCATGACCCTGGCATAGTGTACTTGCTCTGTGTGTCCAGCCCCTCAGCCCATGGGCAGGGAAGGATCTCCAGCACAAGGGCCTGGAACAAGTGGCATCTAAACTGGCGAGAGAAGGATACTGGTGCCTGGGCCTTCACTGGTTCTTCACAGAGGTACTCTCAGTGTATCCCAGGCTTCAGTTCACCAGGCGCCTTCACTGCAGCCTCTGTGACCCCAGTGCCTGCTTGTGGTGACCTGCATCTGTTTTCTCCCAGGCACAATGACTCCATACAGTGTGTCTCCTACAATCCTATCACCCACCAGCTGGCTTCCTGCTCCTCCAGTGACTTTGGTAGGTTCTGGTTCCTGTCCTGAAATAGCTGAGATGCTGCTGCAGATGTGGTGGCTTTGTCCTGAGCTGGATGCTGCCTCTCCTCTCCACTCAGTGGCAAAGGGATAGCTGGACCTTCAGTTTGGTAGGACATCAGGGATGACAGAAAGGGCCCAGGAAGGAAGGGGCAGGAGAGCGGGAGGTTGCAGGCTCATCTACAGAAACAAGCAGCTGTCCTTACCCTTGTGTCCACCATACCCAGTGAATGTCAGGGTCACTTTGTGCAGCATTGTCCTAGCTGTGTGGTGGCAACAGCTGTACTCCAGGGACATTTGGACCCAGAGGCAGTGTCCATTCATCTATTAGGTGTCTATCAGGTGTTAGAGATGAGTAGAAAGCTCTGAGTTTTTGCCATTCACTCCAGGTCGGTGCTGGTGACTGTGTAGAGAGACTGTGGGCCAATGGGACAGCACCTATTAGAGTTTCCATGTCATCCAGCCTCCTGGCTCCCTAGTGCAGATTGGGCAGTATACTGACAGCTGTTAGATACCTTTGATGAGCCAGGCATGTGCTCTGGGTGATGGTGACGACCCTTGTGTTCAATGTTCTGGTGAGGCGTCTAGGCATCTATGGTCCCCTGGGAAGGCTGGGGTCACTCAGCATGGCCAAGCAAGGCTAAGATACTGGGGTCCATGATGGGGAACAGTGCTAAGCATGGGTGGACATACTGGGGAGACCAGTGCTGGACTGGGGAAAAGAACCTTGTCTTGACACTATACCTGGCTGTGCAAAACCTGTGCACTGGGCACCGGTGCCACTCATGCTTCCCTGCTGGGTTGAGCAGATTTGCATGTGTCATGGACATGTGCCTGTCACTGTGGGGTGCTGGGCCAGGGAGTCAGGGTATTCCCTGGAGGGGGCCACAGCAGGTGACCAGTGTGCCACGGAAAGGCCACAGCCAGACAGATCATGTGCTGCAGTGCTAGAGAAGGGAACTGGATCCTTAGCATCATTCATCACTAAGTGCCAGGGGAACTCTGGCTGTGGTATCCTGGTTATGACAGCAAAGTTGTCATGTGTTTGAGACTCAAATCCCAGACAAGTTGGCTGCAGCTTTACCAACCTTTTTTTCCCTTGGAATAATTATAGATTCTCAGGCAGTTGCAAAGATAGTACAGGAAGTCTGTTGTACTCCTCACCTAGTTTCCCCAAGTGGGTGCGTCTTTTTTTTTTTTTTTTTTTTTTTTTTTGGCAGTGCTAGGGATTGTTCAATCCTAGGTTCCTAGGGCTTCTACACTGAGCTACAACCCCAGATCTCCTGCCTCAACCTCCCAGAGTGCTGGGATCACAGGTGTGCTCCACCCTGCCCTCTGGGTTCCATCTGCTATCCTGTTGTACGTATTGGAGACTGGCACGTGTGTGTATGTGATGTCTTGTTATCATGCGTGAAAATCACACCACAGCACCTCAGAGCTGTTCTACCACCACACAGAGTCCTGTGTCCTTCCTCCTATGGTCCCAACCCCTGGTAACCAGGAATCTGTCCCCTTCACCAGTTGGGGGGTTACCTGAATGGAATCATCATATGTCCCTTTAAGGATGGCTTCTCACTCACCCCGAGCTCCTGGAGAGCCCCAAGTCACTGTGTGCTCCCTTGGCTTCTTTCTTTTCGTTGCTGGTAGTATCTACCCCATCTTTCACTGCAGGGCTGTGGTCCCCGGAGCAGAAGTCAGTCAACAAGCACAAGGCCAGCAGTAAGGTTACCTGCTGCAGGTGAGTAGAGGGCTGAGCTTCTCCTGGCTTCACCTTCCTGTCCCCTCTAGACAGACTTGAGCACGGTGCTCCCGCAGTGAGGAGCCCTGGGTGAGCGCCCAGCCACGGCCCTCTCTTTTCTTTTCGGTGGAAAAGACCCAAAAGTACCTTGTTCCTCCAGCAGAGACCCACAGGTCTTACCTTCTTGGGTGATCCACAGCCTTCCCTGCAGTGGTCAGGCTGATCCGGTGCTGGGAAGGGAGCGCTGGCTTTGCCTGGGGAGAAAGTGCAGGCTTTGCTGCCAGACCAGGGTCCAGGCACTGTTGCTGGTGAAGTTTGTGATCTCAGGAAGGTGACTAGATCTTTGACCAGAGCTTGGAGTCCTGATAGCAGCACAGGGCAGGCAACAATGTGCAGGCATGCAGCAGGCACTCTGTAAACAGCAGCTGCTTTTGCTGCTCAGCACTGAGAAAGCTCATAAGTGGCATCTGGGAGCGTTTGCCATGTCTGTTGGCCTGTTGCTGGTAGGGGTGCTCTTGGATTGGGGCCCAGGCAGCAGTGCAGAGCTATGCAGAGAGTAGGGTGGGGTTCAGGAGGGGGGCCCCTGCGCCCTGAGCTCCCTGGGAACCCAGGCACCAGTGGAATGGTAAACCTGTCCTTCTGACTGTGTGTCAGGATTAAGCAGGAAGGATGAAACCTTGGCTGGCTGCTGCTGCCTCCAAACTGGTCTGACTCTGCTTTCCCTCCCCTGCCCTGATCAACACAGCTGGACCAACGATGGGCAGTACCTGGCTGTAGGGATGATGAACGGGGTCATCAGCATCCACAACAAGAATGGTGAGGAGAAGGTGAAGATTGAGCGGCCAGGGGGCTCTTTGTCCCCGATATGGTCCATCTGCTGGAACCCCTCCAGGTACTAGACAGATACCAGGAAGAAGCAGAGTCTTTTCCTTCTTTCCAGGGGCTCCAGAGGTTGAAAGCCTTCTTGCCCTCTTACTGGTCTTTTTGGAACCAGTTTTCCTTTTTTCAATATTGGGTTCAAATGTAAGGCCTTCACGATGAGCTGCATCCCCAGCCCTTTTTAAATTTTTTAGACGGTGTTTCACTAAGTCACCAAGACTGAGCTTGAATTTGCAATCCTTTTGTCTCAGCTTCTGAGAGTGCTGGGATTATAGGGAATGTTACCATGCCTGGCTGTTGTATTTAAGTGGAATTTTTCAAAAAGCCTGTCTTGAATTTTGGAACAAATGTCAACGTTTTAGCTAAGCAGATGAACTATGTGGGCCAAGCCCAAGGTGTGTGTGTGCGTGCCATCATGAGTATCAGTGCATGTGGTGTGCACACAAGAAGCCTGATTCTGTGTGAACTGAGGGCTGAGATCTTTTTTTTTTTTTTTGTCTTTTTCCTTTTTATCGGTACCGGGGATCGAACTCACGACTGCCTGCTTCCAAAGCAGGCGCTTATGCCGCTGAGCTAAACCTCCAGCCCAAGGGCTGAGATCTTTGCTGGGGTCTGTTTTTTGTCTTTTTCCCTTTTCAGGTGTTCCTCCCAAGTCTGGGCAGAGAATGTGCTCAGCTGTTCATATATAGCTTCTTCATGTGCCTTTTTTGTTGCCGTTGCCCAAAAGTTAAATTTAAGTCTACAAATGTCCTCCCAGCCTAGACCCCCACAGTGATTGGCATCTCCTTCTCTGACCTCACATGCATGCTCCTACCTCTACCTGTATGATTATGAGATAGATAAAAGTGCGAAAGGCTCTTTGTGTGATTCCATAACATCACTGAGCCTCAGTATCCCCACCGAGAGTCCTCAGAAGGTCAGTTAAAGGGCTTAGTCCTTTACCAGCCCAGTGTCACTGAGAAGGTGGGTGCTGTCTTATATAGGAGCTTGATGATTCTGCTGCCTTCCCACACCGGGCTATTAAACTTCTTCCTGACACATTTTGTCCAGCTCAGGCTGTACCATGCGTAGCTAATGCTGTCGAAGGCCATTAGCCCAGCCCTGAGTTCCTGCTGTTTGATTTTGTGGCCACAGATGACTCTGTGGCTACAGGCTGCTATTTCTAATTCATGAGAGACAGGATGCCCGCTGCACCTGGTGGTCGCTCTCTTCCAGGCAGGTCCTGGCTCCTTGACAGTTTTGAAGTGAGACCGTTAGTGCAGCTGTGGGGAATGTGACTGTACCCTCCCTTACTATCTGCAACCAATGGGAGAATCCCTGGATGAGCAGAGAGAGCGAGGATGCTGAGGACAGCACCGACAGCAGATATTTTCAGGAACTCTCTTCCACTCTGAAGGCAGCAGTGTATGGTATTCAGGGTAGGGAGGCAGAGGAGGAGGAGCCCACCAACAAGGATGACAACCTGTGAGTGTTCCTAGGAGCCAGACCCCGCCCTGGGAGGGCACACGCTGCTGTTGGGTCCTTGGCCGAGCCCAGCTAAATTGCATCCTGTTCTTCTTGCTTCAGTCAGCATCATAGAGTTAACCTCTTTCCAGTGACATTAGGAATCCTTAGAAAATGTGACTTTTTATGCTGGATGTGGTGGCACATGCCTATAATCTCAGCATTCTGGGAGGCTGAGGCAGGGGAATCACTGGGAGTTTGAGGCTTGCCTGGGTCACATCGTGAGTTCAAGACCAGCCTGGACTGTGTAGTAAGATGCTGTCTCAAAAGAAAAACTTGGTTTTTAATGCCTGTTTGGTATCCATCCATACTTGATTGACTACTCTTCCTTGGTGGACATCTTTCTGGGCCTGTCACCCCACAACATTTGGGACCCTGTTGGGGAGGAAGCTCTTTCCAGCTCCCCTTTTCTCCTCCCTTGCTGAGATGACAGGTGCCATCTCGCTGGGACTACCTGCCCTGTTCTGGAGTCCTGAGGTTTCTTGGAGGGCTGATGGGGTGGGAAAAAAGGTACCTCAATTGGTGCAGCCCTTTTGTTGTTGAACATGAGCTTTGGTTTTGAGAAAGTCCCCTGGCTAGGGTGGAGCAGCCAGCAGCACACATGGCTTGGGCCTGGGCTCAGTACAGTTGCACCATGGTCACCACAGGCCCCTTGCTCACAGCTGCATAATATCCTCTTCTGCGTCAGTGCCAGTGACATTGTCCAGTGCCACTGAGGGCTGCACTTTACAGCTCCTCTGCCTGGGTGTCCATGTGCCTAGAGCCACCATTAGTCACCCTGGCCGCTCTGAAGGCTGCACTTCACAGAGCTGGGCTGGCATGGTGGGTTCAGGCTGGGCATCATTGCTAGGGCCCAACTCCTAGGTGCTGCTCCCCAAAGTGCTCTATCTCAGACCATTGTTGGTTCTCAGAGAGCCCACAAGCCTCTCAAAAATCAGATGCAGCTAGTGACTCCTATAAGACCAGCCTCTTGGGAGGCTGAGGCAGGAGCCCATAGTGAGACTGGCCCAGGCAACTTAGCAAACCCCCACCTCAGAAAAATAAAAGGAAAACAATAGTGCCACTCAAAAGTCATTTCCCACTGTGCCAGGACCCAAACTGTAGGAGAATCTGGTCGTGGATGTCAGTTTTTCACTTTGGGAAAAACACAGTATGTGCCAGCTCCTCCAAGACAGGTGTCCAGGCAGTCACCCACATGTTACAGGACTATGGGGAATACACTCCTAGGCCTGCAGTTTGCTTTTCCTGTGTGTAGTGAGGGGTGCAGTCCCAGCCCCACAAACTCATGATCTGGGAGCCAGGAGACTGCAGGTCCTGAGGGCTGGACTGACTGTGTGTGTGTGGTGGGGGATGGGGGTTGGAGCTGCAGCACTTGGGACCCTGACATTCCAGTCAGGGCTTTCTCTTCCTGTTTGGAAAACCTTTGGGCTGCCCTTATCAGCCTGCAGCCTTGGCCTCTCCTGACCCCTTTTGTCTTCTGTTGATTAGAGAGGAGCACAATGACATCCTGGCTGTAGCTGACTGGGGACAGAAACTTTCCTTCTACCAGCTAAGTGGGAAGCAGGTATGTAGCTCTGCACAAACCCAGTTGCAGTCAAGTCTGTTCTGGGCTGGTTTCCTGCCTGAGATCCATTACTGATTATGCATGGTCACTGTTAGCATGCGCTTATTGAACCTCAACTGTGAGAACAGGTGCTGTGCCAAGTGCTTCCCACAGCTTGTCTCATTTAATTCTTAACAAGTCCTGTGGGGCTGAGGCTTTCATTATCTGTTTTTTATTTTAGTTTTTATTAGTGCATGTTTACATGATGATCACATTCATTGTGGAATACCTACCTTTTAGAAAAGAAGAGACAACATGATATTGGAACAGAAATAGACATGTGGATCAATGGAACAGCATTGAGGATACAGAAGCCTCCACAGATATATTCAGCCATTTGATCTTGAACAAAGGGTCCAAGAGCATAAGGAGGAGGAAAGATAGTGTTGGGGAAACTAGTTTATCTGTTTGTAGAGGGATGAAAGTGGATCCTTATCTCTCACTGTATTCTACATTAAAATCAAAGGATCCAAGATCTAAACATTAAAACATATATTAAACCTTTGGGAAGACAAACTAGGTAAAACATTTGAAGTCATAGGAGTAGGAAAGGATTTTCTAAATGGAACCTCAGTCACACAAGAAATAGCAGCAACAATCAATCAATGGAATTACATGAGACTAAAAAGCTGTATAGCAAAGCATTCAGTCAGCAGAGTGAAGAGAAAGCCCACAGAATAGGAAGAAATTTTTGCTAGCTACTTCTCAGGGGACTAATACCTAGAATATACAAAGAACTCAGAAGAATTAAACCACCTGAAATTAAAGACCCACTCAAGAAATGGGCTAAAATATGAACAGATACTCCACAGAGGAAGAAATACAAATGGCCAACAAGAATATGAAAATATGTTCAGCATTCAGTCATTAGAGAAATGCAAATTGAAACAACACTAAGATTCCATCTTACCCCAGAAAGAATGGCAATCATTAGGAAATCAATAAATGCTGGCAAGGCTGTGGTGAAAAAAGAACCTTCCTGTATTGTTGGTGAGAGTGTAAACTAGTACAACTGTTATGGAAATCAGTATGGAGATTTTTCAAATTAGAAATTCCATAAGGCCTAGATAGCCTTCAGCTAGATATCTTCCCAAAGACACTTGCATACTAATGTTTATAGCAGTACAATTTGTAATAGCCAAATCCTGGAAGCAACCTGCGTAGTTGTCAGCCTGTGACCCTATATAAGCAGAATGTGTTATCTGTATGCAATGGAATACTACTCAGCTATAAAGTATGACAGATTTGAGGTATTTGTCAAAAATAGATGTACCTGGAAAACATAATGTTGAGTGAAATAAATCAGACATTCAAGCTTAAATACCATATGGTATCCCTCATTCGAGTGAGACAGTACAAAGAAGATGATAAAATATGGCTAGAAAGGGACAAGGGGATAGATGTCACCCAGTAGGGAAATGGTCCAAGGGAGGAAGGGGAAATGAGAACTGTGCCATGTTCAGGAGCCTAATAACCCAAATCAGTGCCACGGCATGTGCTAAGACAAATACCAACATCAATAGGTATGAAAAAGGTGATTGGGGAACTAGAGGAAGAGGGAAGGGAAAGGGATAAAAATAGACTGATATATGTACCTGTAAGTACTCTCCAAGATGATTATAAACTGTGTGAATTACAAGCACATCTAATAAAATATAAAAAAAGAAATCTAGAAATAAGGAGAACAAGACCAGAGCAGGGAGAAATTGTGCCCACACAGTGGGAGCATAGAGGATACTGGGCTAAAGTCTAGCTATGACAGGGGTGGGTGCATGCCTGTAATCCCACTTGGCAGGCTGAGGCAAGAGCATCTCTGTGAGTTTGAGTCCAGCCTGAGTTACATAGTGAGTTCAAGGCCAGCCTTGACTACATAGCAAGACCCTGCCTCAAAAAAACCTAAAAAAATAATAAAGTCTAGCTGTGGGCACTGTATACCACTTGGTAGCAGAGCACTGGGCTGACATGTGAAAGGCCCTGGGTTCCATCTGGGCAACGATGCCATCAACAGTCACACACTCCAATAGTGACTTTACCTTCAGGAATTTGCTTCCACTCGTCCTCATGACACTTCTGCCACCTCAGCGTGAAAGAGCTATGGGTGCTCACAGCCTGAGGGTATGCTCTATGGCATGTGGCCTGGTGTGTTGGGGATACTGCTGCATGGGATCCCTGCGAGATCTGGTAGAGGTGACCTTGCAGTAGGGTAGCAGAAGATAGCGAGGTAATGTCTGGGCAGAGGTGACCCATGTCCAGCACAGAGGAAGGAGAGCATGTGATGTGTCATCGAATGCAATGAGGTCCCAGCACCTGTGGTGAAGGACACGGGGAGGAGCAGAGTGGGGTGAAGAGGAGCTGGTGACCCTGCAGGAGCCATGGATGGCAGGAGTGCCACCGTCAGGCCTGTTGCAGGTTCCTAGCTTCCAGGGACATAAATTGTGCTGCAAAGAGTGTGGGAGGTGGGCGTGTGGAGCAGGGAGATGCACCTGCTCTGTGGTGTCCTTTCCCTTACTGCATCTTCATTCCAAAGTCACCACACTGGGTGGAAGGTTTCTGGGACCTGGCCTCACTTTGAGGCCACTTCCTCTACAAATGCTGAGCTACTGCTCATCATTTCTTTGACCACTTTTTATTTGTTTGTGGTACTCAGGATTAAACCCAGGGCCTTTGTGCTGAGCTGTGTCTCCTTTGCACACCCCCATTTAAAATTTATTTTGGGGCAGGGTCTCACTGATGCTGAATTGCTCCGCCTGGGCCTGAACTTGCATTGTTTTGCCTCAGCCTCCCAGAGTGCTGGGATTACAGATGTACACTCATTTCCTTTCTAGCTGAAAGAAGAGAAGACACAGGTGGGTGTGGAGGGTTTACTGAGACCCTTGTTTGAATAATCTGCTATTAAGTTCCCATGGTGTCTGTGGTCATCCGCTTAGTGTGTATGCCTCATCCAGTGATAATTATTGGCATACTTATAAGCAGTGCAGGTGTTGGGTATGAGGCACAGTGTGGACAAATTGCCCGAAAGACTTCTGAGAACAAATAAGTGCACCGCACTGAGGGGCAAGGTCTCATCGCAGTAGTGGGGTTGCCAGGGAAGAGCTCTTTGTGGTGGTATGGACTATGGAAATACTTGCATGCATGTAGGCTGGAGCTTTTGAGCCTCGGTCTGTTGAGATTTAGATCCAGCTTCCCTGGGGTTAGGATGGTGTCCTGTGGCTGAATGTCATCAACTCTGGGAGGGCTTAGAATTGATTATAGGGTGGTATTTGCTAAGATGTGCTTGTGATAGTTTAAATATTGGTAGTATGTAAGAGGATCTAGTGTAGCAACGATTATGAGTGTTTATTGAGGTCCAGGTGTGGTCTTTGGTCCACTTCTCATGGTCACTCTTTAACCCTATGACAAACCCATGGGTAGTGCTGCTGTCATCACCATTCTGTGTGTAAGAAGGACGAGGGAGAGATCTCAGTCACTTGCTTCTGAACACACAGGTCAGCATGTGGCCATGCCTGGTGGGATCTCCAGCAGCTGGGGGCTAGAATCTTGTGTTAGAGTTTCTACCAGATCGGTCTTGTAATGACCACTTCAAACCTGTCATTGAGTAATTAATTTTATATTTCTGATTTTATGTGGAAAGACAGGAAATACTTATGAAGTTGCTTGGTGATGTTGGAATGTGTATGAGAGTCATTACGTTTTCATACTCAAGAGTTCAGAGGGTTTTTGAATCTATATATTTATGTCTTTCACTGAACATGGACAAATTTTTACCTCAGTTCTTCAAATGTTTTTTTCTTCTTCATCCTCTCCCTCCTTTCTGGGATGTCACATACAATGGGGACTCCTTCACGATGGCTCCTTTGTGACAGTTGTGTCCCTTCCCATGTTCTGCCAAGGCCCCCGGGAGACAGGGCTTCAGTGCAGTCTTACAGCTGGAGTTTCCTGAGTCTTTCTCCTGACTGTGCCCATCACAAGCCTGCTGTCATTGTTCCCCCCACGGTGACCACAGCTTGTGGAGACCTCCCCTAGTGCTGCCAGCAGTTGAGCCCTCTCATGTTGTTTTTTTGTTTGTTTCGTCTTGAACATGGCTGGCATCACCGTGCTTCTTGAAGCTCTGGGATTCCACACAGACTCTTCCCATCCTGTCTCCCAAAGTTACATGCAAGCAGTGTGCTTCTGCTGGGAGCTTACATTGCTCAGCTCAAAGCCCAAATTGTGTTTTTGGAGTGGGCAGCAGCTGTCACCTCTGGGAAAGGTTGTAGCTTGGCCAAGCTGTCTGATGTCTGTCACCAGAGGGAAGCTGGCAGGTCCCCAGGGATTCAGCAGAGTTTGCCAGCCTCTCTGTCCAGGGCCTCTCACCACCCTCTGCTGCTGCCTTTGTGCCCATATCCTCTGCCTGCCCAGCATGGTGCCAGTGAACCTCAGTCCTCAGGCCCAGGGCTCTCAGAGAAGACAGGATGCTGCTCCTGTGCTCATGCTCGCCACAGTGGTCACTCACAGGTGCCAGGGTTTGTGGTTGTCACTGTGGGAAAGCCGGGAGCGTGGGAATGCTGAGCTCTGGTCTTCCGTGTCATTGCTCATGAGATTTTTGGTTTCTCTGTTAGATTTCCTAGCATTGCATCAGTGCTAAGGCAACTTGGTTGTCAAGCATTTGAAATTCCTAAAAAGGAAAGGAAGATTGAATATTTAAGGGAATTAACTAAGTTGTAATGGCAGCTGATTATTTAAAGGCTTTATTAATCTGTTCAAAATTGCATTCATTAAAGTCAAAATCAATTAGTTATTCTCTTTTATTTTAGGAAAATATTTGTAAATTGAATTTTAAAACTGAAGAAACTGGGCTCCTAGAGTTTTCTTTAATAGGTTGAATATTGGTTTAATAATATGAATCATAAAGAGCCTTTTATTCTCCCATGAAAGACCCCAGAGGCAACAACAGGAGTTTGGGCTTGGGTGTGGTGTGGATGTGTGGTTGAGACCTGTACACCTAGCAAGGGAGGCATCAAGATGTTTCCTGAAGGAGGGGAGGGGACATATATAGGCCCTGGGTCTGGGACCATATAAAGAACAGACCTGGGAGTCAGGCACTTGTCATTTGCACTGGAGAGGCTGAGACAGGAGGATCACCATGAATTCAAGGGCAGCTTGGCTGCATAGAGAGTTCACAGCCAACTTGGACTAAAAGCAACACTGGAGAGAGAGAGAGAGAGAGACAGCCAGAGACAGAGAGAGAGGGGGAGAAAGAGAGAGAGAGAGAGAGAGAGAGAGAGAGAGAGAGAGAGAGAGAAATGAACCTGTGAGATCATGAGGCAGAAAGAGCACAATACCCCAGGACAGTGTGGGTTCACTGTGGCTGAGCACTAGATGGTGCAGGCAGAGCCCAGGCATGTGACTTTCCTGGTCCAAAATGGAGAAACAGAGACAGCTTGTGGCAAGGACACGTTCATAGCCACACATCTGATAAGAGTTTACATCCAGGTTAAATAAGGAACTGTCCAAATTTAGTCCTAGAACTGGGCATGGTGACACACACCTGTAATCCCAGCACTCAGAAGGCTGAGACTGGAGAATCACTGCAAATTCAAAACCAACCTGGGCTACAAAGTGAGCTCAAGGCCAGCCTGAACTACATAGGGAGACCCTGTCTTCAAAAAGACAAAAAAAAAATTTTAGTCCCAGAAGACAGACAGCCTACTTGATGAATGGGCAAAAGGATCTGTGGCCATAAACAGGAAATGATGCCCAACACCATCAGCCTAGGGAGAAATGAGCCACAGCAAGTTAGTGCTTCCCTCCACAGTGGAGAAAGTAATGTCCCCAGGAAGCTATGTGTGCATACACAGCAGTATACTCACTGAGCAAGTGTGTGGCCCCTTAGAAGTTTAAACAGGAAGTCACCACTCAGCCAGCAGCTCCTAAGGGAAGGGAATAAAGTGCTGATCTAGCTACAATATGGTAAACCACACGTGATAAGTCACATCTAGCATGGCTCTACTGCATGAGATGCCTAGAACAGGCGATCTGCAGACACAGGAAGTAGGCCAGTGGCCACCAGGAATGGTGTTAAAAAGGAATCAGGGCTGTTTGTCCATGGCTGGGATTTCTCGTGGGGCATTTTCAGTGTTCTTTGTGGTAATGATGGTTGCACAGTTATGTGACTATATTGAAAGCTATTTAACTGTCCACTGTATATGGGTGTATTATATATTATATGGCATACATCTCCAAAAAGTTATTATAAGCCAGGTCTGGTGGTGCATAAATGTAGCCACAGATGTCTGGGAAGCTGAGGCAGGAGGATTATTTGTGTGCAGGCCTTTCAGACTACCTGGGCAACACAGTGATACCCTGTCTCAAAAAGAAAAAAAAAAAAAAAGAAAGAAAGAAAGAAACTTTAAAGTTGTTGTAAAGAGAAATAGAATAGGCATGTTTTAAGAATAAAAGATAGTATTTTGGACTAAACTCAGTTTTGTTGGGAGCCGTTGAGTCATAGCCAGGACCACATGGAGAAAGACTCTCGGTCACCAGGTAGCCAAGGAGCGGAGCCCCTCCTGGGCATGGAGATGGCCAAGGGTGGCTGTGGTGTGTGTCAGTTTCAGGTGATCCAGCTGGTGCTCGGTTCCTGTCTCCAGCAGAGCGAGCCCTTGGTAGCTGGTATGTGTGATCAGGGATTCAGAGCCGTCTTCTGCCTGTCTGTTCTCTCTCTCCAGGTTGGGAAGGATCGGCTGCTGAACTTTGACCCCTGTTGCATTAGCTACTTCTCTAAAGGGGAGTATATTTTGCTGGGTGGGTCAGATCGGCAGGTGTCCCTCTTTACCAAGGATGGTGTGCGGCTTGGGACTATTGGTGAGCAGAACTCTTGGGTGTGGACCTGCAGAGAGAAGCCTGATTCCAACTATGTGGTAAGAGGATGCCCAGCTCAATTTCAGGCCACCTGTGTTCCAGACAGCAGGAGGTAGCTGATGGCCCTCTGCCTTACAGGTGACCGGTTGCCAGGATGGCACCATCGCTTTCTACCACCTGATATTCAGCACAGTCCATGGGCTCTATAAGGACCGATATGCCTACAGGGACAGCATGACTGACGTCATTGTGCAGCACCTCATCACTGAGCAGAAAGGTGAGGGATGGAGATGACACACAAGTGATAGGAAACTGTTGGGCCATCTTCTAAGTGGGAAAGGAAATGTCAGTTTCTTTGAGGATATAGTGAAACCAGTGAGGAAGATCCCAACACTATATTTTATAAATAATTTCAAGGAGTGTCTAGACTTCCTTGAGAAAGGGAGACTGACAATGGTGAGGCAGGGCAGGATGGCTGGCTCACATGGACCCTGATGCTCTTGGGTGCAGCCTTTGGAGAGATACCTGGGCCAAGGTGAGCCAGGCTGGTTGGAGGATCTGGGTTCCAAGCCTGGGTTCGAAGGGAGACAACAGTCTCCCTGTGTCACCAGAGAACCATGCTGGCTGGCAAGGAGAGCCCTTGCTTAGGCTATGAGTGCGGCGTGTAGGGGCCAGGCTGGGGTCCATTCTCATAGACTCATCCAGCTGCCTTTGGCCCCTCCTGGGAGCTCCTGTGCTGTAGATTCTGGCTGTGGCAGTGTGGCTTCTGGGATTGCTCAGCAACATCCTTGTGGGACATCTTTCCTACCTGGTCTGCAGGAAGCAGAGTCCCTGTCATTAAGCAAACAGTAGGCTGTGGTCAGAGATGACTAGGCACCCATGTGAGCTTCTGGTTACCAGTGTGCTTTCTTTGCAGAGATTTGAAATTCAGGTTCAGCAAGGGGTTGCTACACTGTTTTCTTTTCCATCCTCAGTCGTGAGCTTTGGACCATAAAGATTGTGTTGTATACAGAGAGTGTGTCGTGTACGAGACTGTGTAATGTGTAGAGATCTTATCATGGACAGAGATCCTGTTGTGTATGGAGACCCTACTGTAAACAGAGGCCCCACTGTGTACCGAATGTGTGTCATGTATAGAGTGTGTGTTGTATGGCTTTGGGCCCCCTACCCAGCCAACTTGCTTGCATATGTTAGGCACTTCATGAAGATGTTTAATGAGTGTCTCACTTTAATTGCCACAGCATTAAGCAAATGATGGCTTTTAATTTCTCCCCCTTCCACCTCACTTAACAACCTTTAGCTAGAGTCAGATTCTTTTCCTCTGACAGTTCGGATTAAATGCAAAGAGCTTGTCAAGAAAATTGCCATTTATAAGAATCGATTAGCTATCCAGCTGCCAGAGAAGATTCTCATCTATGAGCTATATTCTGATGACTTATCGGACATGCGGTACCGGCTGAAGGAGAAGATCCTCAAGAAGTTTGAGTGCAACCTGCTGGTGGTGTGTACCAACCACATCGTCCTCTGCCAGGTGGGTAGTGGTCGAAGGTCCCAGCTTAACCCATCACCTGGGAGCATACCCTTTCAACCAGACCCAGTGACTTTGGGCGGCTTTCATTTTACTGCTGTCTGGCAGAATCAGGCTCTACCAGAAAGATGTGGGCAAGAAGGAAAATGCTTTTTGTGTTGTTACCATTTTGTCCTCTTGGGATTAGATATATTTTAGTGACTAAAGCCCCACAAAATGAAGGTCGATTTTTTGAGAAGTATGTACACATAAACTATTACATCAACTCAGTAAGTAATAGAGCTTTATCTCCTGAGAGGTTTTTTTTTTTGCCCCACAGCAGGTAATGTTCTCACTGTAGAGTCCTAGGAAATTTCTAGGTCAATGTCAAGAGATGTTTGAAAAGACTGAGAAGAGGCTGGTGGAGGTAACCTGGCATCACCTAGGGCTGGTGGAAGTGACAAAATGGAATAGCTGCAGCCATGTAAAATGCTCTAAGATCTGAGAACTTGAGGGGTTGGGGGCACCACAGGTGACAGATGATGTGTGGCATGGGGTGCTAGCTGTAGCCCATGGTGTGTGGAGAGGACACAGTCATAGGAGAGCAGGCAGGTGCTTTCAGCCTCCACAGAGGAGGCCTGGGCACTCACCCTGGGGATTGCTGTCCAGGAGAAGCGGCTGCAGTGCCTGTCCTTCAGTGGTGGGAAGGAGCGTGAGTGGCAGATGGAGTCCCTCATCCGGTACATCAAGGTGATTGGTGGCCCACCAGGCAGAGAAGGGCTCCTGGTGGGCCTGAAGAACGGCCAGGTGAGTGCTTCCCTATCCCCTCACGCTCACCTGGTGATGGAGGACTGGGCTTAGGGGAGGAGGATCTAATTGCTGGAGGGCAGCCTGGTGTGTGCTTCCTTGGAGGCAGTCAGGGCAGAGGCCAGTGGCTCTTGGACCTAGGTCGTGCCCTTGTCCAGGCAGGGCTGGTGCTGCCCAGCTGCAGGGCAGTGAATTAGTGGGCTTCAGGTCCACTGAAGGTGGGAAGTTGGCTGGTGAAGCAGCTTGGATGGCTGGTGGAGATGGTGGCAGCAATCAGGACCCTGTTGGGGCAGGGAATAAGTTTAAACAACACACCTAGCATGCAACCAGTAGTGCCAGTCCTTGGGATGGCACAGATGCTTTCAGAACAGGGGCCCTAGGGCCAGGGATTTAGCTCTAGCATAAGCATCTGCCTGGCAAGCGTGAAGACATGAGTTCAATCCCCGGTAATAGGGGAAAAAAAAAAAAAAAGAACAGGGGCCCTTTGGGGATGCAGGGAATCTAGGCCACACAGCTAAATAGATTTCTGTGTACGTGGGTACATGGATGTATGTTCTTTGCTCAAAATAAGAAAAGTTGTATGTGGGCTACAGAGAAACTTAAAAGTGAAAATAGAGCTGCTTTAGCTGAGAGCCAAGCTGTGTGGCAGATGGCTCGTGGCCACAGCCATCAGGTCTTCACTGGAAAAGGAAGTTGCAGAGCCTGAGATCAGCAGGCGCCATTAGGCTACAGTGGCAGTGACAAAGTGGGGTGGGGTAGCATCTTCTTCCATGTTGCATAGAGGCTAAGATCATGGGCTTTGGGTTAAGGTCACTTAGCAGCTCATTATCTGTGTGACCCAGGCAGGCATATCACCTCTCTGAGGCTCACCAACGTCTTGACAGTGTTTGCCATCCCTCCTCCTGTGTTGTTTGTGACCCCGGTCTTTGTCAGAGGCTCTCATGACTCTACTGTGTGAACAGCATCATTAACAGGTCTACAGTTCAGAGATTGACAGGTCCCAGCACCCCGTCACTTCAGTGACCCAATGGCCATGCTCTGGTGTCTGAGGACAGCACCCACCCCTCCTCACTGCCTTCACATCCCAGTTCTCTCACTGGGCACAGCCCCTGGTGTCGGCGTCGGGGGCGTCGGTGGGAGTTGATTCTGTGGAACACACGGGGCTCCAGCAGCTTGGCGGGGCTCCAGCAGCCATTGCCATGGCAACTCTCCTTCTCTCTCTCTGACATTTCTGCAGATCCTGAAGATCTTTGTGGACAGCCTGTTTGCCATCGTCCTGCTGAAACAGGCCACGGCTGTGCGCTGCTTGGACATAAGTGCCTACCGCAACAAGCTGGCAGTGGTAGACGAGAACGACACATGCCTGGTGTACGACATCCACACCAAGGAGCTGCTGTTCCAGGTGAGGTCACATTGTGACCTCTGGCTTCTCAGGCTGCACTCTGCAAGGAATAGGGACAAGTGAGCTTGAGCTGTGTAGGCACAGCCTGCTGCACATACCCACCACTCCCACTGAGAGTCTGGACAACTTGTTGCCAGGGAGGGGCAGGTGACGCTGTCTGTGTGTTCATGAGAGCAGTAAGCAAGAACACTGTAGAGATCTGATAAATGGGCAGTGGGAAGACGCCCATTCTGCTGCCCTCCTCTTGTGAGTGATCTAGGCACAATGAGAACTCAGGAATTGGCTCAGACTTGAGGATGCTGCAGGAGTCACAAACAGGGCCCCCTTTGGGTCTGGCCCCCTCCAGATTTGTGGGGGCAGCACTGTTTCTTCTACTGGGCAAGAAGAAGTTTGTCCTGGGGCAAAGGCCCAAATTATGTGGCTAGCTCTGTCGCCTGTGGGTGTCCTGCCTGGAGTGGCTTCCCCAGAACTGAATGCTTCCTCCAGTAGTGACCCTAGTGTCATAGGCCAATTAAGCTTCTTCTCAGTCCTCCTTATCCTTGGCAGCAGAACCAGGGCCAGAGCTGTCTGGAGTGAGGAGCTCCCTCAGGCACAGGGACCACAAGCCAGAGGGGATTCATCCTGACCAGCAGATCAGAACGGTTTAAGAGAAACAGAAAGCTCAGCATCTGTCTCCCCAACCTGCCCTCATTTCTGCCATCCCCCTCTTGCTGTATGATCTCAGACTGGTATAGCTCCTTGGCTTTAGGTTATCCTTCTCACTGAAGTAGGATCAGCACGGCCCCGCACAGAACTGCTGAGACCCTGCCGCACTCAGCTCAGTGCTGGGTACAAAGTAGGGCCCTAAACATTACTTCTCTTCTGCCTCAGTGGCCCCCTAGCTATGACCTGGGCCTAAGCCTGGGTGTGAGCAGGCAGGCTGTGTCCCCTGATCCCTTCTTTGGGCCCCTTCCTTTGAAGGTTCAGACTCAAAAGTTGCTGGTCCCTCCTGTCTATACCTCTTTTCTTTTTTGTATGGCCCTTGCCCCTAAAAATGAAAGCAGCTTTTTCTTTTTAGTTATAATTCCTGCCCATTGTAGAGGATGCTGGACAGAAAGGGACATGCCCTTGCTACCCTTAAGGGCTGCAGAACCCAGGAGGAGAGCTCCTGGCAGGCCACGGTGCCTGCCACGGTATAGTAAGAATGCAAACATGACATATGAGACTCTCATTTTTATAAAGAAATCACTGTTCTTTTCTCACACACACACACACAAAAAAATAGTAGTCACGACAAAAGAAAATTCAGGCAAACAAAAATAAAGAAAATAAGAAGCTTCCACTATTCCACCCTCCCAGAGACAGCCTCTGTTAGTCCTTTGGAGTATAAGCCTTTCCCACAAGGACTTGTGTTGGTTCTTCAGTAGAAATGGATCCTTCTTTGCCGATTTCACTTTATATGGAGTGATTGCTCTGTGGTGGTCCATTTTCCAGAAGTCCCTATACCCCATCCATGTTGCCCAGGGCAGCTGGCCTCCTCTCCTCCTCTGCCTCTCTGCCTCCTACCTTCGTTGATTCTGTGACCCAGGCTTTGAGGCACACTTGGCTGACATGAAGATGGGGCCAAGGCTGAATGTGGCTCAGAACCCTGACTCTGTGTCCCACAGGAACCTAATGCCAACAGTGTGGCCTGGAACACACAATGTGAGGACATGCTCTGCTTCTCAGGCGGTGGCTACCTCAACATCAAGGCCAGCAACTTCCCTGTGCACCAGCGGAAACTTCAGGGTTTTGTGGTTGGCTACAATGGCTCCAAGATCTTCTGCCTCCATGCCTTCGCCATGTCTGCCGTGGAGGTGCCACAGGTAGCTGCATGCAGCAGGGAGACAGGGCAGATGCCAGGATGGTAAGAATGGAGGTGCTGTAGGCCTTGAGCCTGAAGATCTGCCTTGTACACACAGGCTTGTGTGTCTCTGGGCAGACAGCTCAACCCCTGAGCTTCCTGCCCCTCGACCCCTTCTGGTCAGGGCAGGGAGGGCCATGTGCTATGCCTGCAGACCCAGCAAGTGGCCACCCAGCAGGAGCCAGTGTACATAAAGAAGAGGGGGAACAGGTGTGGGTAGGGGGACATGGACCCTCTGCATCAGTCCCTGAACTTGGAGGAGGCCACATGGAGATGGGGCTGTACCCTGATTCTCCTGAGCTAGGCAGCTTGGTCCTGGCCATGGGGCCTCTGAGCTCATCACAGAGCAGGCCCCGAGTTCAGATCTGAGGAAACAGAAGGAGAAAAGGGAGGAGAGAAAGGCGGAGAAGCAGTGGGAGGAGGTGTAGGCTTCCTGTGTCCTCGTCCTCAGCTGCTCCTGGGCAGCCATCCCAAACCCCAAACCCCAAACCCAGGCTCCACATCCGCCAGAAACCCACTCTGCCTCAGTTGTGCCAATTGGGTTCTGCTTATTAGAAGTCTTTCTCCCAAGATTGCAATCTTGCCCTCAGAAAAAGTACAGTGTGCTACTCCCTGTCTTGGGCCAGCCACAAGGAGCCAGAGGGGCTAGAGGAGCCCTGGAATTCCCTTCCAGGACCTTTGAGCCAGAGTGGGAGAGCCTCTCCTGACTGCAGGGAACCCTGTTGATAGGGATGGCTGGGCCAGGGTGGGAGAGATGCTTGCTTTGTAGACACAGGCTATTTATCTGTCACCCTGCCCCCCACAGCCCTGCAGCTGGGCCTCCACTCAAGGAGTGAGCCTGACCCCGCTCTGGGGAGTCTTAATTCTCTTTCGACATCTGCCTTGTCTTGTGCAAGAGCTGGTTTGCTCACCCTGCCAAGTAGGGCAGCAGCCCTGGTTGGGGGTGCCACAGTGAAGAGGAGGAAAGCTCCCAGGGTTTCATCCATAAAACCCCTGAGTTGGCCCCTGTTGTCTGCTCCTGTGCTGCTGTCTTGTCCCCTTGCCTATCCTATCATCATGTGTGGCACAAGGTCTGTATCCTTGGTTCACTATTTGAAATCTCATTTTCTTCTCTGTAAAATGGGGTTAATTTAGTTTCATTTTTTGTGGTGGCTTCTCGCCAAGTTGCCCTGGTTGATCTTTAAGTTGTGGACTAAGGCGATCCTCCTGCCTCACTCTCCAGAGTAGCTGGGACCCTCTGCGTAAGTCCCTGAACTTGGAGAGAGCACAGGGGGTTGGACCTTGTTTCTGAGCTGGGGGGCCCAGGCTGCCATGCCGGGCTTGAAATAGGGTTAATTATACCCAGGTTTTGTCTGGCCCAATTCTTATTACGTCCTTATGACAGTCACAGAATAGCAAGAACAGGACTCATTTTAGCTCAGGAAGCTTCTGGGGAGGTGGAGCTGAGCCCAGTGAGGCCAACAAAGGCAGCAGAACAAGAAGGCTTCCTGTCAGGACCAGGATCAGTGTTGAAAAAGGCGAGGTGACGACGCTTGTGCTCCCCTTTGCCCATGCTCATCCCTCCCAAAGCTTTGCCCTCCTTCAGCTTTGCCTGTGGCTGGGCCAGACAGCTTCTGGACAGGTGACCCACTAGGAGTGGCTGAGCCAGACCTCCCCTGGGGATGGAGAGTAGGGTGGCCCTTACTAGAAGGTTTCGTTCAACACAAGCTAAAAAGGAGCTGGGAAAAGTAAAAAATCAAGATCCTAAACAGAGGAAGCAGTGTTCTAGCTCCACATTTGGGAACAGGTCGTATAAAGGTACTGACCATGTGGTCTCCGGTGGGCCCAGGACCCACTGGCTTAAGACGTGGAGGACAGGGCCCTCACCATGAGAAGGCCCATCCCTGGGTACGATCCAGGGTAAGACCTCTGCTCTGGCTGTAGGCCTTCTATCCATGAGGCCTGCATCCGCTCATCAAGAGTCAGCACCTCTGCTACATGGAGACCTCCTCATCTGGGGCCACTCCCAAGTCTCCTCTTCGGGGAGAGCTGGTGCCTGGGGCTAGAGGGCCAGGGAACCCAGAGCCAGCCCCTTGTCTCTCATCACTCAATCCCACAGATGGCCAGCGCCCCCATAGAGGGCCCCTTCCTGTGGTGTGAGAGTGTGAGGATCGGGATTTTCCAGCACTGGCGCCCTTCCGCAGTCCACAGTCTTGTAAAGGTGCTGTGTGGTCCTAAGGCAGGCCTGGGGTGCTGAGCCTGTGAGATGGGCTCTGTCCCAAAGCCCCCCACACACAGGTAGGCAAGTACAGACTCTGCCTCTGCACTGCTCAGAGCCTCATCTCTCCTCCCTGTCATGACTCCATGCTGCAGTCTGCCCCGATGTACCAGTACCTGGACAGGAAGATGTTCCGAGAAGCCCACCAGATCGCCTGCTTGGGAGTGACTGAAGCAGACTGGCGTGAACTGGCCATGGAGGCACTGGAAGGATTAGAGTTTGAGACAGCAAAGAAGGTAAGTGCCAGCTCAGCAGGAGCCGGACTCACTTTCTGGCAGTGTGGAGGAGTAGGTAGGAGCAAGAGCTAGGCCATAGGCCCTCAGTGGGCCTGGTGGGAACAGCCTTGGGAGTTATCAGATCTAAGCAGACAATACTTACAGGCCCAGGTCCTAGAGAAGCAACAGGCCGGTTCTGCTGCCACTTCTTAGCTATTATTTATGAATAGCATGTAGCTGAGACCCTGGCCTGTAACAGGCACTCCATTCCCCTCAGCTCTCACTGTGCTCAGGGGAGCTAGTCATGCTCAGGCTCTGAGGCGCTGTGGTCTTTCCCACATACCTGTGGTCCAATGCATGGGCTTGATTCATTGTATCATTTCCTGGTTTAAGCAGGCGAAGCCAGAGTGGTGGCTGGAACACTCAGCCCCATCTGGATCTGAGAGAGCTGGGTAGGTTTCTGAGTCGGTTTCTAACCAGGACTGAGGCAGGGAGAAAGGGCTTCCACCCTTCTTCATATTAAGCATGGAACCTTTGTCCACTGTGTCCAAGGCCCTGGGTTCCACCTCTAGCACCAAAGCAAACTAACCTCCTGTAAGGCTTCTTGGCACCTCAGTGTGGGGAGAGTAGAGGCAGCTCAAGGAATTTAGGGTGTGGGGATGTCTTCTTTGGAGATAGCTTCCTCCTCCTGCCCCACCCAGAAATGCCAGAAGGGATGAGAACAAAGGATTCCTAATGTGTTTTGTTTGTTTTAGCTCAGAAGGAAGTTAAAGATTCATCCGTAGATTGTCACCCCACCACCACCAAAGGCCACTTTGTGTTGTATCACAGCACTGCCCAGCCCAGTGCTGTGGCTGTGTAGGTGCTCAGCAAAGGTTGGAATGGATAAAGGGAATGGGACTCTGATCCTCACTTCTTCTTGTCCTGTATCAAAATACACTCCCTGAGGGCCAGGGGCTTAGCTTAGTGGGGCGTAAATACCTGCTTGGCAAATGTGAGGTTGTGAGTTCAATCCCTGGTACCAAAAACAAAACAAAAAAACTCGGAGAATACAAATAATTGCAGTAACTACATGGAATTTATTTAGTTGTTTTAACAGACAAATACAAATTGCATATATGGGCCACATGATGTCTAGCAAAGCTGCAGGATTTTTGACCTCCATAGGGACTCCCTGTCTCAGGCACATCCAGGTCCCTGCTTGTCCTCTAAGCCCATCACCAGTACAGCTGTACACACCCACTAGGTGGCGGAGGAGAGCCACCCAGTGCCTACCCACTGCAGCTGGCACACCACCACCACCCGCCTCCACTTCCCCCACCCCTATCACACTTGGAACTCGTGACTCTGAGCACTCTGTAGCACCCTGACTCTGCAGAACTTGAGGACTGCTTCTCCCTGAGGTTCTCAACCCAACAATCTTGATGGAGAACCCAGAAGCCTAGGGGAACCGTGATTGAAGGCTGGGAGTAGATGCAGGCACTGAGACCTGGGTCCCTCCTTCCCCTATGCCCTAAGCTGGGTCTGGACAATGGCTGGGCCTCAGCCTGGGTAGGAAGGCAGCCCGGTGACCTTCAGGGCTCCCTCTGGCACTCGGCTTCTGCGGGCCTGCCTTGCCTGGGAGCAAGGAGGCGACAATCTAGGGAAGAGGAATTAACAGCCAGGGCATAGTCTTGGCTGGTCATAGTCCAGCGTAGCTGTGGTCCTAGCCACTTGCAAAGCTGAGGCAGGAATTCAATGGATGGCAGAGTGAGAGCCTGTTTCAAATAAAACAAACAAACAAAAATCTCCACTTACCAGCTGCCTGATTGTACCAGTCTGTGATGCTTTCCTTAGTTTGCTGCCCGTCACCACCATGTGCGGACAGAGTGCCATCCAGTTCTTACAGACAGCTCTTAGCTCAGAGAGGTGTTATGTCTATTTTCTGATGTGGCCCCCAGGCTGGGGAGAGTTCAGAGACCAAGCTATATTCATGTCTAGGTTTGAGCCTCTGACAGGGCACTGGGCCATGTCGAACAAAAGACACTACTCCACCACAGTTGTCTAAGGTGGCAGAGGCCAGATGACCTGGTCGTTTACCTGTCTTTCAGGCTTTCTAGGAGAGGACACACACTAAGCAGAGGGCTGGTTTGCCAGGTTACCCTGTGCCTTAGATCCTTAGATTATAACCCTGTTTCTGGGCGAGCAGAGCTATCTCCTGCTCACGTCTGTACCACCTGACTCCTGCACAGATGCTGCTGCCAAGATCATCACCCATCCTCTGTGGATAGGGTCTCCCAGGGGGGCTCTGGCCCATCCTGCATTGTCACAGCTTTGTCTTCCTAATCCCGAAATTGTGGATGCAGCCAATGTTACTTTGCTTTCCTATGCAGACTAATCCAGGATACCGCCTGATTGGCCAAGGCAGATCAGTGTTCCCTCTCCCGTCCTGCAGCTTGCCTTCTATCCCCCATCTGTTCTTTTTTTTTTTTTTTTTGTCTTCTTCCTTTTTATCGGTACCAGGGATTGAACTCACGACTGCCTGCTTGCAAGGCAGGCGCTTATGCCGCTGAGCTAAATCTCCAGCTCCCTGTCCTCCATCTGTTCTGAGATTGAGAGGTGGCTGAACTCACTGTTCCTTCCCCACAGGCCTTTGCCAGAGTACAGGACCTGCGCTACCTGGAGCTCATCAGCAGCATCGAGGTAAAGACCAAGCTTCTGCCTTCTCCAAAAGCCAAGGCCTGGAGGACAGGAATGGCCTGGCATGTGGCCTTGTGGGCTCAGCATTGCAGGTGATAGTGCCCTGGATGGGGATGTTGAAGGATTACCTCCTGCACAGAACTGCTAGGAGGACAAAAAAGCCCCTGGCACCTGGCTGTGTCTCTGTGGCCACACCCTTTCAGGCTCCATGTTCCACAGCACATGCTCTATGTCCCATGCCTGCAAGGGGAACCATGGAGAGGCCTGTAGAGCCCCAGCTTGTGCTCCTGGCCTTGTTAGCTACCCAGCCAGCCTTGGGCAGCTGAGACGCTGGTGCTAAGTATGCCATTTGCTAGGTGACAGGAGCACTATTCTTAATTTCTGTGTATCTCAGTGCTGTCTGACTCTCTGTAAAAAGGCATACATATTTTTTCCCCTGAACAGATTTATTGTGAGGCTAACGGAATGTGAGATACATTTGAATTCCCAGATGGAAGCAGGGAGGAAATCAGCACATGTCTTGCCCTCCCTTATGCAGCTTAGGGTAACAAACACCTGTCTTAGGCCAGGCCTTGTGCCGAGCCTAGTGGGCAGAGAGCCAGGGTGGGGAGGGGCCCAGCATTGGGGACCAGGGAGGAACAGGGCAGCCTTGAGTGTGGAATCCACCCCATTCCCCTACATGGCCAATGAGGGCTCCACCCATGTCCCCACAGCTCAAAGCATGTGCCCAGTGGCTGTGTTCAGTGTCCCAGGGGTCCACAGCCTGAGATGTGCATGCTGTGGAAACCTATTCTGCCTGCTTCCCAGCCTCCTGCTGCCTTTACCCCAGCCATCTACTGCCCCGGGGTGCCACAGGGACACAGTGTCTTGTGCGGCTTTCCTAACTGCGTGGCTAAGGGTACTGTCTCCCTGCATTGCCCAGTGCCACTGCTCCAGGTCCTCACTTACACCATGGGACACAAGGTCTTTCTCTACAGCTCTTGTCATGAGACTGTCTGTTTCTGCTTATGGGTGATGAGCTAAAGGTTGGGGCACAGTCAGACTGTGGCTCTGGGTCCTCCTCATGGCTGGAGGCCTGGGCATTGCTGGGCTTGGCCTGGCTTCAGATAGCTGAATGGGCTCCAGAGGTGCCTCCCAGACTGCTGTAGAATCATTGTCCTGATGGCCACAAGGGATGCATCCCATAGGGCAGCCTGCTGTGTCCTTGGGGCACTGTGGCCAAAAACCCATGCCTAGAAAGCCTCCTTCATTGCATCTATTCATAGCCTTGAGTTGGATTAGTTGGAAGATTTGCTCAAACTATGTGAAGGATTTATTATTATTATTACTATCATTGTCATAAACATAGCTTGTTGCTTCCAGCTGTTGAAATCTTCACTAGCCTGTCTGGGAATTTGAACTAAGTCTTCTCTCCTCCAGCCTGGCACGCTTGCTAGCAAATGAGTAGAGTTGCTGCGGGGATACAGGCTGGGTGCTTTCCCATTTTTCCAAATACTCACATGCAGGTGGCTCTGCTCCATCTCACTCTGAGGTGCTGCTAATCACCTCAGAGTGCAGTTGGGCATCATTGGGCACTGTCACATGCTTCAGAGGATGGGTTCATAGGACACAGGGTAGGCCTCAGTTTGCCAGAACTGAGCCTGAGGCTCTGTCTGACCTTGACCTCATCCTCTTGAATCTGAGCCTCCTTCATGATGTCATTGTTACACAGGGCTCCCCGAGAGCAGTGAGGAGCTTGCTTGTGTACCTGGCGTGTATCTCGTGGGTAGCACATGGCACCCCTTTCATCTCTTCAGAACCAGGCGCACGGGGAGACTTATGTTTTCTGTGGCCTGCCCTGGGCAGAAACCTCAAATTTTCTCCTTGTCTGTCATTACTGGACCACCACTCCTGGCCAGGCTGGGGACTTAGGAGGTCCTGATGGCTGGGGCCGTCAGCAATTTGCAGTGCACTGTCCAAACAGTCCCCCTGCTGCCTGGAAGAACGCACAGGAAAGCGGCCTGAGGAATTTCCTTTAAGCAAACAAAGGTTTCCATCTCTTTTTATCTTCACGGGTCTGGAAAAATCTCTGCTTTTGTTGTCAGGCGTTCCCACCATAGCCGTAGGTGGGAGAAGCAACAGCCCAGGAGCCACAGTGGTTCCGTTGGAAAGCCCAGGGCCCCGCCAGAAATAGTAGCTCCAGCTCTTGGTACAGGCTGTTTCCTGCCAGGCTGAGGGGCCATTTCCTCTGCTTCTAATTTTTCCAGGAGAGGAAGAAGCGGGGAGAGACCAACAGTGACCTATTCCTGGCAGATGTGTTCTCCTACCAGGGGAAGTTTCACGAGGCTGCCAAGCTGTACAAAAGGTGCGGGCGTGAGGACCTTGCACTCGCTATGTACACTGACCTGCGCATGTTTGAGTATGCCAAGGTAATGGTGTGCCCCGGCCAACTGAATGCCACACCCAGCCTGTGCCCAGAGAGGTGATATGGATTCAACACTCTGACCTTGGGGGGCTGGCTTTTTCAGTGACAGAGGCCTGGCTATATTGCTGGTTGAGCCTGACCCAAGGCTGACCTTGAAGGCTGACTTCAGAGAGACAGAATGTGACAGTTCAGACCTTGGTCAGCAACCGGTATGGGGCCTTCTGCAAGTATCGGGGCTCCAGGATGTCTCCCACAAATTCTCCCAAGCTTTGCCAGAGACTATCAGGGGCCAGTGTCCTTGGACACGAGCGGACCCTCCAGCGCTTGGTCTTAGCATATCCAGATTCAGAGGAGGAGCCATCATTAGCACAGGGCCCATTGGGCTCCATGAGATGGACTGGTGAGGTCTCCTCTAGGGGTTGTCTGACATACATAATTAGAGGAACCTTTGTTAACCTGCCTTTGCCTGGTGGCTCAAAGTAAGTCTTTAGCCACAACCAGCTCGTGGCCATGAATGACCACTTCCTCACTCATAAGTCCAAGGTAGAAAACCTCCCCAGTTTGTTCTGCCATCTGTCCCCAACCATGGCTCTCTTTCTTTTTCTCCCCTACTTAGCTGGTGCTGGACTGCGATCCATTTCCCCTGCCCCCTTGCAGGTACCTCCGTCACATGCCTCAGGGCCTTCTGCCTGTCCCTTATTATTACCCCTTTCCTCTGCTGTGTCCCCATCACACACCTGCAAGGCTCCGTGAAGCATTTACACTTAGATCACCACACCAAGGAGCATGCCCCAAGTGGGCAGTGGTGGTATGGTCAGAAACATTTTGCGGTATCTGGAGCGCAGTGTGGCCTTGCAAGGCAGGTAAGACTGTGCACTGTGCCCTGCTGCCCCTAGACATGAGGGCTGCAGCTTGGGTCAAGTCTGAGAGGCACTGCAAGTGCAGGAAGCTGCAGGAAGAGCAAGGAGAGGTGGGGCGCACCACCACAGTGCAGGTTCCTGTGAGTCCCAGGCCCCACATCCACATCTCTTGTCCGACTCTGGGTTCACATGCTCCATCGGGTCTGTCTCTCCAAGGTAAACACACTGGGCTTGTTTGGAGTTTTAGTTTTATATCACAATTCCAAGTAGGTCAGTTCCATTTCAAACTGTCACTGCCGTAGCTGGAATGGGAGAAACTGCACACATGCCCATTATGCCAAGTAGGAGACAGTGCTTATTAACGTGCGGTGTTTTTGTTTACTTGAAAATTGCTTCCCAAGATTCAATCTGGTTTTCGGAAAATTTTTAAATTACATTCCCACGTACAAATAAATTGTATGCTTTCCGGATAAGTGACATGTTTGTATACTGATAAAGGGAGTTACAATGCTCTTAACCCCCATGTAGTGCATTCTTATCAGAATTACCCACTTGAGAACCTGGTCTGCCTCATTCATCACTCAGCACGGCCTTGTTCTGTCCACTTCAGGACAGTCTTTACCATGGCCCCAGATAGTGTGTAAATTAGCTTTGTGAAACCAGAAGGCCTTTGAAAACCCAGTTTGCAAGCTTTGAGGAGCCAGTTAGACTCAGCATCCATTAAGTCACAGCCCCCAGCTGAACTGCTGGTGGGGATCAGGTATGTGCTGGATGTGGTCCCCTGAGGAGACCACCCAAATATACACCCCCAGTCCCTGACCTTCTGCCTGCTGAACTGCCCAATGAGGGACATCTCTGATCTCAGATGAGACTGTTCCTACCACGCTGGGTCTATAGTTCACCCACAGGTAAGCAGTTACCAGCCTTGTGTGGGCACAGGGAGTACAGGCATAGTACCAGGACTGGAGTGTGTCTGAGGTAGCTCTCTGAGCCCTCTGTGCAGGCTGGAGGGAATCACAGCCAGTGAGGTGGCCCTTTCTCATACCAGGTCCTCAGCATCCGGGGAAACTGCCCTTCCTTCCCTCCCTAAAAAAATGGGTTCTCAGGCTGCCTTAACCAGTGATTTTTAGGGGCTACATAATTACTCTGGAAGCAAATGAAAAAAGAAGTATACTAATTGTTGGAGTGGGTTTTTAGCATACATTGACCATACTTTCATGCCAAATGCATGTTAATCATGCAAAGGAGTACTTTTCTATACTTGGTGAGATTGGTGTGCAGCTCTCTCTGCAGGGTCCATTGTTTCTCAGGCAAACTGTCTTCTAATACTGTGACGAGCTGTAAGCTTTTGACTCCTTTAAAAGCCCCTTCTTGCCACTGTCAATGCCCAGGCTACCTTAACCATGGTGTCCACCTCCCACAAACACCTGGTTTTGGGGGCTGCTTCTCCCATACTCAAGTGCCAATGACCCAGAGAGCCAGGCAAGCACCTGCAGCCAGCACCAACCTAGGACCTCAGGCTCCTGTCCTTCACTCCTGTCTCAAGGGACCTGTCCACAGCCTCAGTGCCCATGCTTCGGTCCTGCTCTAGGCCAGCCCTGCACACCCTACAGACCTGACCTCAGAACAGGGCACTTGCACACATTAGTCAGATCAGGTGCTGCCCAGCTGTTCCTAACTAACTTCCACCTCCAGGGTGATAATAAAGGGGAGACACCCAGGTTCAGGCCACAGAGCACTTGAGAAGTGAGACACTGCCGGGGTAGAGTGGCTGAGGGAGGGCACCAAGGCTGATCCTAGAGCCCTGTGCAGTGTAGCACTTTAAATTTAGGGTAGCAGCTGTTCAGTTTGTCTGCAGCATGTGGTCTCATCCACATTCTATGAATGACAGAGGACTGACTGTTTGAGGAAGTCACATCCACAGCAGAGGGGTGAACACCTGGTCAGAGCACCACTCTGCAGAGGAAGGAAGGAAGCACCAAGGGCCATGGTTTCCCCAGAAGCACCTGTGGGTAGCCTGAAGCTTGGTGTCCCCAGGGACTCTAGGGACTGCCCCAAGGTCCATCATGCTCTGGGCCCCACCTGCTTCCTGGCCACCACGCCTGATGTTGGCACGGGAAGTCCTGACCAGAGCACTTCTGTTTGCTTTGCTTCCACAGGATTTCCTTGGATCTGGAGACCCTAAAGAAACCAAGATGCTGATCACCAAGCAAGCGGACTGGGCCCGAAACATCAATGAGCCCAAAGCTGCGGTGGAGATGTACCTTTCTGCTGGAGAGCACATCAAAGCAGTGGAGATCAGTGGTGACCTCGGCTGGGTAGATATGTAGGTCTCACCCCTGCCCAGGAGCGCAGGGTGGTGTGTCACATCATGCCATCTCATATCATGTTATGTCAGCATGTTTTGGTAAATATTGCCTTGCCTCATTAGCCAAAACATTCAAACCAAACATACAGATGATGGATTCTCTGGGAAACGAAGTTAAACAGGTGGTTGCTGCCTTTGAGGAGCTCCAGAGTCCTGGGGAGGTTTGGTAGGGACCAGGGAGAGAACACCGGACCTCAGGCTGCCTTCTGCTGTGTGTGTTAGTCTTGGCTCTGTGCTGACCTAGCAGCGTTTGATGCCCACCCCATGGTTGGTGTTTCCACACTGATCTTGCAACTGGGGAAATTGAGGCTCACAGAACACGGATTGAAAAGGGCCACATAACTGAAAGGTGCAAGTGATTGCCAACTCCAGTCTCAGGCTTCAGCACCGGGAGTGCACACCGTGGGAACAAAGGGTAGGTGTCCTTGAGGGTCACAGGAGGAAACCTGCAGGACGTCTCTGCAGGGTCCCTGGCTGGAATGGGAGTGGGGGCCACAGTGGGCCTCCATATCATGCCCAAGCCTCTAGATTTAGTTCCTTAGCAGGCAGTGAGAACTGAGCTTTACCTTCAGGCCAAGCTAGGGAGGCAGGTTGCAGGCAGCCAGAGCAAGAGGGAATCAGGAACCAGTGCTGAGGGGGTGAGGGAGAGAAGGAGCTGGAGCCAGGCAGTGGGGAGGCAGGTGGGCAGAGGCCAGGTCTGAGCTTTATTAGGCAGATGCCACACCCCAGCCCTCCAAGTAACCTCCCTGTCTAGACAGACGGCTGCACGCAGGGCACCTGTAAGTGCATGCACACACACACACACACACACACGCACAGTGTGCCCTACACGGCAGGCAGGAGGGAAGGAGAACAGGAGCTGCTGAGGCAGGCCAAGTCTGGCCTTGGAGATGGAATTTACTCTAGAAGTAGTGCCAGGGTCCAGCAGCCACGCCAGGACCAGGCAATGGTGTGGCCCTTCACAACCTGCCACCCCTCTCCTCCTATCTGGGAATCAGGTGTTTCAGGGACCAAGACAGAAGGCACAGTGAGAGCCAGGCAGGTCTCATGCCACTCTTTCCTCTGGCTTTTCCTGTCACTTTCATTCTCAAGTGCTGTATCAGGTGACCTGGGGACACTAAACCAGTTCAGGAAGGAGACCTTCATCTGTTGTCCTTTTCCCAGGCATGCTGTGAAAGGGCCACTCCTCCAGGGACATGAGTTTAATGGGTAGGGGCTCTGCAGCTCTCAGGGTGCCTGTGCCACCTTCCCTAAAATGTGGTCTCTCTCTTTGGAACAGGATTATTTTTAGATGCCATTATTATTCCACACACAGACTGACAGGACTTTCGTGCCTGCCTGCCTCTGGGAGGATCTATCTTGGCCTCTTTCCCCTCCTCCTTCTCCCCTTCCACCACCCCACCAAACACAAGCTGGGGCTCATGCCTTGCGAGTGCTGGTTTCACTTCAAACCCCAGTTGGCCGTAGCCAATACACACATCCCCTGTGGCCCTTCCACACAAGCTTGGGAGGACCAGGCCCCCTTGGGAAGATGTAGCAGGCGGCTGGTGCCTGAGGCCACTCTGGGCCTGCACACGCCCTTTCCTCCAGGGCCCATGAGAGGGACTTGATGCCAACCTCTGCTCCTGAGTAGGTGCCTCACCTTCCACCCACTACCAGAGTATGGGATGGAAGCAGTTGCATGTACTCTTAGAGTTCCAAAGGCTCACTGGGACCTGAGAGAGCCCATGGACCCTCATCTCCATTCCTATTTCTTGCCATGTAGATTGGAGACCCCTATGACAGGTGCTGGAGGTACAGGTGCCATGGAACCTGCAGGCTTCCTTTCCTCAGGTCTTTGAGGCTCCTCTCTCTGGCCCAGGTTGATTGACATTGCCCGGAAGCTGGACAAGGCTGAGCGAGAGCCATTGCTGCTGTGTGCACGCTACTTTAAGGAGCTGGACAGCCCCGGCTATGCTGCTGAGACTTACCTGAAGCTTGGGGACCTCAAAGCCCTGGTACAGCTGCATGTGGAGACCCAGCGCTGGGATGAGGTAAGGGATTACGAGTGGCCCTGAGGCTGGTGTGGTGCAGGGCTGCCCACACACAGAGGCCGTGTTGGCCTAGCAGCCAAGGGTTCTGCCTGCATCCTGAATCCATGATGGAAGCCTTCTTTTAAAGACTATTCCTTGTTCACTCCACTATCCACAAGATCCTCATCAAGCTTCCAGCACTGGTCCAGTCTGCAACAGGCGTGGGGCTGGGAGTCTTGGCCTGAGTTCGCCTCCAAACAGCACCACAGGCTCAAAGCACCGTTATTGTAGAGACACCTGTGTGACATTTAAAACCTGCCAAGGTGCATTCTGGCAGAAAATGGCACCATAGTCTCCCGTTACTGGCATCCCAAACATGCGTGGTTCTGGGGCTGTTCTACCCGCCCTCCTCACCACAGCCTTGACTCTTGGGGGGCAGGCAAGGGAGCTGGCCACAGAGGTAACTGGGCGTGGCTGCCTGTGCCATGCAGGGTTGCACTATTTGCCTGGCCCAGGAAGTCTGTTTACAGCTCTAGCAGCTGATCTAGGTACCCACATCCTACCTTTTGTCTGCCTTCTAGGCTTCACTAGACAGTGATGAGGTCACTGACAAGAGGCAGTAGTGGCTTCTAGGATAGACATAGCAGGAACTATGTCAAGCAGCAGGAGCCAGTGCTCTGAGGACACCTAGGCCTGGCTGCAGGTCACAAGCCCTTTGTGCCTGGTTGCCCAGCTCCCACCTAACAGGTAGCCCAGGGGTTAGAAACAGCCCCAGTCCCCACATGGCACCACAGTACTGTCATCCAGCAGCTAACAAGCAGCAATGACAGTAACGTCAGCCCTGTTTCCTTAGGTGTCGCCTGCAATTAAAAGAAATCTGTTTGCAGCGCAGTGGGAGCCCACGCAGAGCCTCAAAATAAAATGTTTCCGATTCTGCACCGCCTCTGTGGTCCAGAGACAGACTGTGTTGTTATTGAATTCAGTCACTTGCATATTGCTGTTAATTGCCTTTTGTTTTCAAAGAGCAGTTTGTTTTTGTGTTGCTGGGGGGTTGGGAGGCTGTCCCTTGAGCTGTCAGGCTGGCAGTGTGACATCCCTCCTTCACAGATTCAGCCAAGTGCCATGTTTCCTGGGCTGCAGGCTCCCAGGCCATATCACTGAGAGTGAATGCTTGTGCTCCTCCAGGCCTTCGCTTTGGGCGAGAAGCACCCCGAGTTTAAGGATGACATCTACGTGCCTTATGCCCAGTGGCTGGCAGAGAATGACCGCTTTGAGGAAGCCCAGAAAGGTAGGTGCAGGGTGGTCTTGCACATCTGTGAGTCCTGGAGGGGACAACGAGACACAGTCTTGGAGCCTGAAGGCCATTCCCTTGCTTACCCGCTGCAGGCCCAGGTGGCTCTGGTTTCTACTCCCAGCCCTGTAGATGCCGAATGAAGCACTGCATCTTCTTCTGTTCCCATGACCTCTAAGGTATAGGCACTGTGCAACCATTCTCGGTGCAAACTGAGTGTGTAGCCAGGCGTGGTGGCTCATACCTGTAATCTCAGCAGTGGGTAGGCTGAAGCAGGAGGACTGTTGCAAGTTTGAGACCAGCCTGGGCTACAAAGTGAGCTCAAGGCCAGCCTGAACTACATAGCAAGACCCTGCCTAAAAAAAAAGGGGGAGAGGGGCAGAAGAATTTGCCTGAAATCTCACAGCTTGGAGGAGGCAGAGAGATCACAGAGCCAGGGTGCAGCGAACTCAAACAGTGCCTGGCACCATCCCCACCAGGGATAGGACTTGAGCATTGCCCCAGCAAGGCGGCACAGCAGCATCTCAAGTAGAAGCCAGGGCAGCTGTAGAGCTGTGACTGGTCACATGCGTCGTAATCAAAAACCCAACTCCCCTCCCTGTGGTGGGCACCTGCTGGCTGGGCATTAACCTACACAACCTTGAGTCTTGCCAGCAGCCCTGCGGGGACCTGGAGGCTAAATGTGCTGTGCGAATTTGCAGAGCTGGCAGGTACTGGGGCCAGCAGCAGGCTGACCTATCTGCCGAGGGCCCTAGTTCTTTTGGGCTGCCTGCTGCTGGGCAAGGCACACCTGCCCCACCCCACCCAATGTCTCATCTATGCTTTTGTGTGGTGTCATTGCCCCCTCAGACATAGTATGGACCACTGTTCCCTGCTAGGCCCCTCCATGAGAAGCCATGAAGGACGGCTTGTTCTCAAGCACTTCAGAGTTCGCAGCATGCCCAGCTGCTGAAGTATCTGCTTGTTTGGGCAAAACACATCAACCTCTCCGTCTGTCTATACCGCCCTTCCAAGAATCCATTGCCATAGTAACTTGGTGCTCAGACAGGAGCCTGGAGAGGGGAGTGGGACAAAGGCCAGGCTTCTTCCTCTCCGTGGCAGAGGATGTGGTTACCTGCATGTCCACTTGTGGGCAGGTGTTACAGCTGGCAGCCCCAGCAACCCAAGGAATTGGCACAGAGCAGGAAATGTCTGTAAGATGAAAGTAGCAATGATTGAGACATCTACTTACCTGTTTGTGCAGTCATCTGATCTTGAGAGTGGAGCCAACTCTCTCTGGGTTGACATCTGACAGCACTGTGGGAGGGGCACCAAGGCCTGAGCTGGCTCCTTGACCTTGGGCAAACACTGCCTGCCCGGCCACACCCAGCTCATCACATTACTACAGGGCTGGTTTTCCCTCATCCAGTCTGTCATGAGAATCCGGTGTTAGCTATGAAGTGCTGTGGAAACCACAAACTCAGTCGGGCAGATCCTGTCAGCTCGCTCAGGTCATAATGATTTGCACCTCCTGGGGTGTGGTGGCATATCCTTGTTTTTCTAGCACTTAGGAGTCTGAGGTAGGAGGATTGCAGTGAGTCTGAGGCCAGCCTAGACTACATAGTAAGACCCTAGCTAAAAATAAAAATAAACAATAAATAATTGAAGCTTTGCCCAAGGATGAGTTCTCCAAGGGAAGGGCCGGGTCCCTAGCTTCTGCTCAGCCTTTCTATAGCAAGTGACTGTTTCCCAGCCAAGAGCTGCATGCTTTATTCAGAACTCACTTTCCTCTGCTGTCTGTGCCTGGCAAGTGGCGTCCCAGCCATGTGCCACAGGTGCCCTGTGTGCGGCCTCTCTGTGGCTCCCCAGGCTGACCTATGCCTGGTGCCCTGCAGCGTTCCATAAGGCTGGGCGGCAGGGCGAGGCAGTCCAGGTGCTGGAGCAACTCACACACAATGCAGTGGTGGAGAACAGGTTCAGCGACGCTGCCTACTACTACTGGATGCTGTCCATGCAGTGCCTGGAGATCGCGCAGGGTGAGTGACACTGCCTGCGGCCGCTCTGAGATAATCGGAACAGCCTGTGCAGGGCAGGCTGGGCATATTTTCTGTTACACACACGGAGGCCTAATCTGTGTGCCATCTTTTCTGGGTCCAGAGGTGTAGTTGGGAGGATGCTGATGCCGAAGAGCCTGCTCCTACCACCCAGGCCGTAATGTGGCAAGTGATTATAGACAAAGTTAATTAACTCAAAAGGCAAAGAGGAGCTCTAGGCTCCTGTTCATCCCAGGCAGGAAAATAGGGTCTCTGATGCTTTCTCCTACCAGACTTCATGAGGTTCTGGGGTAGAGGAACAGAAGGTGGGCATAGGCTGAGGATACCTAGAGCAGAGGCAGGTTACTTGTCAGGAATCACTGTTTCCTCTTGATGTCCCTGAGTCTGTCCTGGGCATGGCCCTGCTCTCTTCTTGTAAAGTCAAGATCCCTGTGTGGCCAAAATTCTGGGGGGAGGGACACAGGAACAAGATTGACCCATAAGCTTGGCACATGCCACCCTTGGCTCAGCCCCTCCACATGGCCTTGGCCTCTTGCAAGGCTCAGGCAGCAGCCACAAGCCATGGGAGACACATCTCCTGCTCTGCCCTCCTGTGCCCAGCAGACCCCACCCAGAAGGACGCCATGCTGGACAAGTTCCATCACTTCCAGCACCTGGCCGAGCTATACCATGGCTACCACGCCATCCACAGGTTTACGGTGAGTGTGGGCAGCAGGTGTGCTGTGCATGGGGCCTGCTTGGGAGAAATGTGATCTTCCCTGGTCAGTCATTGGTTTGACATGTGGCAGACTGCAGGCCAGAGCTGGCTGGAATGTTCTGGCCTTCACAGCTTGGGCAAACTCTGGGCAAGTGATGAGGGTTTCCCTGCAGTTCTGGGAGGGTACATGGTGTACTGGGGCCTTGCCCTGTGTGTGGGCAGGCCACCCATCCTCTCCAGGCCACCTGGGGACAGCGCCCTCTTTGGGCCACACCCTGACTTGCTGCCTGCTCAGCAGTTGACTCCCCCGTTTGGCCCTCAGTTCTCTTCTCTGTAAAGCAAAACAGTCAGCTTGATCTCAGTCCACATCATTCTTTCTGGCCTCTCCCTGATGCTCTGGACAAAGACTGAATTTTATCTTCTAGTGGTGGGGACCTTGGTGGGTCATCAGCAGCTCCCCATCCTGGGTGTCTCCTCTCCTCAGGTGATGTCAATATCCTGCCACTTGTAATACCTGTCTTGGGGTCAGTACACCATGGCTGTACCATGTCTGCTCCTTCACCCGTGCCCTACTCTATAAAATGTCACATTCCCCACACTGCAGATGAAAGCTTACACTGACACTGAGTGTCACAAAACATGCCCTCTGGCTTAGCGATAGCAGACACAGGAGGTGACCTTTACGACCTCATTGCCTTAGCTGTTATGGCAGTGGGGTCACTTCCCTGGCCACTCCCTTATTGAGCATGCACTTGTGAGTGAGGTTGGGGATACAGTCCCTGTCCCACAGAGCCCACACCTTGTGTGACCTCATGGAAGAGGTCATTCCTACACCTCAAGGAGGAGAAAAATGTGGTAGCTTAGGGAATGGCCCAGAACAGCTCCGATGATTCATACACATAGGGTTGTGTGGTTGTACCAGCACAATGCTGCCTTCCCAGAGGCCAGGTGGCATCCACTCTTCCTTCTCCGAGAGACATCATGTCCTCGAGGATCCATGACCACCGAATAGGCTCCTTGTACCTGCGCGCAGAGCACCTGCGCCAAGAGCAGGATGTAGCTCAGGTGTCCTTGGCCCTTGGGGTGACAAGGACACCTGAGCTGATGTCCATGGGAATGGAGGAAAACAATCAAGTCCTCGTGGGTCCAGACAGGTAGGGTGAGCCCAGTGGCTCAGGAGGCTTTGCTGTTCACCATGCTCTGCCTGAGAGGGTGTACATGTGGTGGGCAGGCTTCTCCAGACAGCAGCCCCATCCTGTGTAGACCTAAGGACCTGCCCAGTCACTCCTGTGTGCCACTCTGGGGCCTGGCTGCTGGGCCAGGGGCTCCAGAGGTGCCTTCTGTGCATAGTCATGTCAAGTGACTTTGGGTTTCTTGCTGGACAGCCTGCTGCTGCATACACTCCAGAGCAGTGGCTGAGTCTAGGCTGCATGAAAGGATTCTCTTTGGGCTAATTAGAGAAAAACTGAGCTCAGAGAAATGGAATCATGACCGCCTGGGGCAGTGCAGCTGGGAAGAGGAATCCTGAGTTTGCCCTGGCCTGGGCATCACATTCCTGGCAGGCACAGGGAGAATGCCTACAGGACTCGGGGCAGAGGGTACAGGGTTATGAGGCCTGGGAAGATGGCAGTATGGAGGCGGCATCCTGCCCAGAACTCCAGCCCTTTGCTGTCCTCTTGCTGCAGGAGGAACCATTCAGTTCCCACCTTCCCGAGACGCTGTTCAACATCTCCAGGTTCCTGCTGAACAGCCTGACCAAAGACACGCCCCCGGGCATCTCTAAAGTGTATCCTTTCCTGCCCACCAATGTCCTAAGAAGGCCCCAGAGCACTTTCCTGGCAGTGCTGTCCACTGTCTTCCTGCGCCCCTGCTCCTAGGAAGCCCCTTGGGAGGTTGGGCCAGACCTGGTAGATGGGCATCCAGGCTCTCTGGGCCCAGTGAAGCCTGATGCTTGGCCAGGCGGCTGTGAGTAACAAGATGCACCAGGCCTTGGCTGAAAGCTGCAGCACCTGGGGGGTGTGGCCCATTAGCCCAGCCAGGCACTTGGGAGGATCTGGGCCCCAGCCTCAGGGGTAGGCCATGAGCAGCTGTAGTGTGAACTGAGCTCTGTGACCCACCAGAAGCTGCCAGAAAATGACCAAAATCTTTGCAGTCCCAAGAATTCTAAAAGTCATAATTGTCCCCCAGTACCCTTAGCCCCATCCAGTGTCACCAGCTCCTCTGTAAGAAGCCCCTGGGAGAGTCCTGAGGGGCTATGTGATCACTGGCTTCCCTAAAGGACTCTAGTCCCAAAGCTTCCTTTCAGGGCCCCCCAAATCCAGGGTGCCCCCAATGTCTGAACACATGCCTGGCAGGGTACCTTGGCCTTAGGAGCAGCTGTGACCAGCCCTGGGCTGGCCTTTCCATCACCAGTATTAGCTGGGACCTCTGCCCTGCACTCCAACCTGGCTGTCTCTGGGTTTTCAGAAATGACCCCTGACAAGTCTGACTTAGAGGGGAGAAAAATAGCAGACAGATATCCTGGGGAGCACAGTGGGGAATGCAATGTGCCCCCAGACCAGGCACAACAGGACACTGGCCAAGACCAAAGCTAGCCTGAGCCTCATACGGGGACAGCAGCGTCTTGGTCTCTGGAATAGCCCCAGGCCTGGGTCTGGGAAACACAGCTCCCACCCGTGCCTGCCCTGCCTGTCCTTAACTTGCTACCACCATCAGGAACACACTGTACACACTGGCCAAGCAGAGCAAGGCCCTGGGTGCCTACAAGCTGGCCTGGTATGCCTATGACAAGCTGCAGGGCCTGCGGATTCCTGCCAAGTTCCAGAAGTCCATTGAGCTGGGCAGCTTGACCATCCGATCCAAGCCCTTCCATGACAGTGAGGTGAGGATGCAGTGGGGCACCCCACCCTGGCTGCCCCAGCCTGCCTCACCTCTCCTGGGACCCAGATGACTCCATCCCTGACACATAGCCCCTTCAGATGCAGATGCATCAGACAGTCTGGGGTTGGACGCCCAGCCTGTTTCTCACCCACCAGGTAGGGACTCATGGTGGTTTGAAGATAAAGGGGCAGGGTTGGGGATTTAGCTCAGCGGCATAAGCACCTGCCTTGCAAGCAGGCGATCGTGAGTTCGATCCCCGGTACCGATAAAAAGGAAAAAGACAAAAAAAAAAAAAAAAAAAAAGATAAAGGGGCAACACAGGGAGGGCCCAGCCTCTGTGTATGTGTCCTAACTACAGGTCCAGGGTGTGGCTATGGCTGTTCCTATGTCCATGGCCAAGATCTTGTTTGGCCATGGACATAGCCTAGGACCCAGGGTGCCTGCTGCCCAGCAGGGACTGTGGTAGGGAAGGGGGTTGTGCTGCTGTGCTGGGTGCCCTCAGCCCACACCATTTGCAGGAGCTGGTGCCCCTGTGCTACCGCTGCTCCACCAACAACCCGCTGCTCAACAGCCTGGGCAATGTGTGTGTCAACTGCCGCCAGCCCTTCATCTTCTCCGCCTCTTCCTATGGTGAGTCCCAAAGAGGCAGAGCTGGTGACAAGGCATGGGGACCAGGGGCCCCAGCAGGGTCTGGGCAGAGGCTGGGCATCTTCCCATCTCACCCCAGAGCGGGCCCTCTGCCCCAGGAGGCCCTGGCACCCTGCTCCCAGTGTCACTTGTCCCTGTGTCCAGAGGTGCTGCATCTGGTAGAGTTCCAGCTGGAGGAGGGCATCAGTGATGAAGAAGCCGTGGCCCTCATTGACCTGGAGGCACCGCGGCACCAGCGTGAGGACAGGTGGCAGGAGGTGGCCAGCGGTGGTATCCTTCACTGGGCCAGGCTAGGTGGGGTGGGAGCCAGGGCTGTGGCACAAATTCTACCTTAACCAGGCCCCAGATTCCCAGACTCTGAGGCTGGATGAGACCATGAACCCTTCTGGGGATGATCCATTCACAGCCAAGCTGAGCTTTGAAGTGAGCCCCCCCGCCCCCGGGAGCCTGGTGCTGGCCAAAGCAATCGTGGCCCTGTGCTATAGGGAGAGGAAGACCAGGGATCTGGTCACCACCAAGGCTGCCCCAGCAGTCATAGGCCCTGTCGTCTGTCTCCCTGCAGCAGGGTGGGTCGGAGTTCGTCCCCGTGGTGGTAGGTCGTGCAGTGCTACGCTCCATGAGCCGCCGGGATGTGCTTGTCAAACGCTGGCCCCCACCCCTGCGCTGGCAGTACTTCCGTTCACTGCTGCCCGATGCCGCCATCACCATGTGCCCCTCCTGCTTTCAGGTACCCACCTGCCTCAAGGGCCCTGGGGCCCCAGAGGGCTGTGGGGGAGACCCAGTGCCCAGCCTCAGGCTTCTTGCTGCCTGTCTCTGGGCAGATGTTCCACTCCGAGGACTACGAGCTGCTTGTGCTTCAGCACAGCTGCTGTCCCTACTGTCGCCGGCGCATTGATGACCGGGCCCGAGACAGGGCTGACAGTGACCCCACTGCCTCCTGGAGATTGCCAGGAGCCAGCAACGAAGGCTGTCCTGGCGTGGCCTGTGCTCCAGCCCCTGATTGCCACAATAATGACAAATAAAGGACTACTTATTTTCCTCGGTGTCTGCATTTTAGCAGATCTTCATATTGTCTGAAACTTGATTTCCTTATGCAAAAGTGCACCTGTTTCTAATTTGATCTGAGAGGAACATTGCATTTGTGTGCTCTTAAAATTTAATCTAATTGAAACAGCATCCTGGGAGGGGTAAGGAAGTAGGGAGTTTTTGTTGTTGTTTACTTTGGCTTGATGGGGCGCTGTCTGGACAAGACAATAAGATACCTGCTCCCAAGAACATAGCAGAGAGCCGAGCACGGTGGTGCACGCCTGTAATCCCAGCGCTCAGGATGCTGAGGCACAGGGTGACCATGAGTTTAAGACCACCCTGGGCTACATAAAGAACAAAAACCATCAGACAGACCCTTGGAGGTGCCACCTGCTGAGCCCACAAGAACAGGAGGGGCAGCTGATGGGGCACTGGGTACCTCACACCTGCGGGGCTTCGGCGTTGTCTTAGCTGTGCCTCACAGCCCTGAAGTGAGCCACTGCCCGTCACACCTGCCCAACCCCACTGAAGGGTCCCCTCTCAATGACAGGTGAAGTGGGGGGCACAGAGGCCCTGCCCCCAGCTGCCCCCCCTGCCATCTCCGTGGAGACAACAGGAAGATAGAGAAGGGAGCCAGACAGTTGTGCCAACAGAACTCCTCTGCTGAGTGCTTAATTACTGACGATCATGCCTGTTCTCTCCCACTAAACAGTTATTAATGTGTTAGGATTTCCATTAGCGCGTTTCTTGAACTGAAATCATTTGCATTTGGCAGGGAAAGAGGGGCATGGAGAAGACAGCTCAGCCTCCCAACAGGCATCAATCACAGCGACAGATTAGATGGTCCCCAGTCCCCAGTTCCCTTGGGGGTAGGCAGGAGCAGTGTCCTCCAGCCCAGGGTGGCAAAAGCGGAAGCTGAGTGCTGGGGCCGCCCTGGCTGAGGAGCAGGCCGCAATCTCACTGCAGTGTGGGCTCCACCAGCAGTGCTGGCTTGCCCTGTACTCACTCGGTTTCCCCACTGTACACAGGACGCCCTCCAGCTCTCCCGCGACAGGGAGGCCGTGAGGAGTGGAACCTGACCCCAGCCACTTGTCCCTTGTTCCCACGTGGAGTGGGAAAGAGAGACAAGGGCAGGCCCTCCGCTGGCCTTGTGTCCTCAGATCTGTTTTCCATCTCACCCAGCAAGGCTGCTGAAGGCAGGAGCCCTTGTGCTGTGGCACTGACAGGCAGGTGTCAGATCCCCGGTTTGGGGCTGAGCAGCAATAAGGGGCTAGCTGGGCAGGCAAGAGTACAGCCACCTGCCCAACCCTGAGGCCAGAGCCCAACCTCAAGCTGAGGACGAGGAGGGGGACAGGACAGAGGAGGGGCTGCTGACCCAGCAGCCTGGGTGCTCTGAGCTCCAGTGGCTCAGCCCTAATCCTCTGTGGTCACTTCTCCCCTAGTACCTGTCACCCTCACTGAGGGTCAGGACTCAGAAAGTCACTCCAGCCTAGGTGTGTGGTCATGCAGGTGGGAGCACAAGACTGTGCCCATGCCTGCTGTTGGAAAACATACCAGTCATGCCACAAGCAGCAATAAACTGGACAGATGAGCGGGACGCTGGAGTGGTACCCAGGTGGCAAGAGTCCCTCAGATGAGCATGCAGTCACTCACAAACCTGGTGACAGAGGGAAAGTAGGACTCCTGGGCATTGTGGTAAAGCAGAGCCCTCTCTTGGGCACTGGGCAGGAACAGAAAGGATGAAACCAAGCTCCTCTGCTTTCCTGGGCACTGCACTGGACTTGAGACCCTTCCTGAGTCAGCAGCCAGGCCCCAGGCAGCGCACACTGGCACTGTGAAGCACAAGGCCATGCTGAGGTGTGCTGCGGTGGCCCACTCTGTCAGTTGCAGGTCTGCGTCAGAGCCACACTCCACCTTGACCTCATTAACGCAGGGCCTAATCGCTGGGCCAAGCACCATAATGACCAGAGGCCGTTTCTGGCCCATGGTACCCTTGGCCTTCAGTGGCCAAGCCCTGTGAGACCCTAAAGCTGTGGGAAGGGCAGTGGCTAAGATAGGGAGCTTCAGAGCAGAAAGCTCACAGCCCCAGCTCCCAAGACCTCCCTGTCTGGGGCTTCTGTCCCCACCTCAGAACCTTTGCATGACCAGCCCTCCGGCTCAGTTCGTGGCTGCTCCAGGTCCCCAAGCTCATTCTCAGCTCATAACTACTGCCACCCACCTGCCCCTCATCTGGGATACTGTAGGTGCTTTGCACGCACTTTAACTGGACCATGGTCACTGGAACTCCCACAGCCTCTCCAGCTTCCCTCTTCGTCCCAGGTGTCATTGAGTGCCGTCACAGACTTCCTTGCCCATGCCAAGTGCCATGGGTGTAGCAGAGACTCAGAGATCATGCACATCCCCAGCCAGCACCTGCCACTTTTTTCAGGGCTGGCTTCCGTGCAGATGGAGCCCCCCAGCCAAGCACTGGGCTGCTTGGGAGCTGACACCTGGGGTCTCTGTCTCACCTGCTCATGTCACTTGCCACACAATGCCTCCCTCTTGGGGTACTTGAGCCTGAGCTGCTGCCCCTTGATGCAGCAGGTTCTGTGGCCATTCCCATCACCTCAGCCTTTCCTGCTGTGGCTCCGAGGACTCCAAGCCAGGCAGCTCTGTCCCCACAGCCACATCCACCGTCCTGGGCAGCGTCCTCTCCCTTCCCCATGTCAGAGCCCAGGGACAGCTCATCAGTGCTTAGTGACAGCCTGAAAGAGTGAATTCTTCATCATCACTGGGCTCCCAGACAGAGGCAAGGCCAGCTCATGCCAGCTGAGTACAGACGTGGGGTCCCAAGGTCCATGGCCTGAGCTACCAGTTGGAGACAGGCAGGAACTTAGGAGCCTGGGACAGACAGGTCAAGACAGCCTCTTCCCATCCCAGCAGGATCCTGTGGAGCACCCCCCCACATGGACATCCGTCCATCCCCACAGTGTCACCTTGTCCCCCCACAAGCCAATTAGGCCCTGTGGCAGTGTGGGATTAGTATGATTATGCGCCGATCTCCCGCAGGCTGAGTCAGCGCAGCTTAGGCCCAGAAGGTCACTTCATAAGGGCCTGGGGGGGCCAGGGCCATGAGTCGTCCCTGGAGCCCCGAGCTGCACAGGCTGCGCTGTCCTTCTTGGGTGGAGCCGCCGCGCCTGCGGGGCAGACCAGACCGCAGCCATGAATGGCACGGAGGGCGAAAACTTCTACATACCCTTCTCCAATGCCACAGGCGTGGTGCGCAGCCCCTTCGAGTACCCGCAGTACTACCTGGCTGAGCCCTGGCAGTTCTCCATTCTGGCCGCCTACATGTTCATGCTCATCGTGTTGGGCTTCCCCATCAACTTCCTCACGCTCTACGTCACTGTGCAGCACAAGAAGCTGCGCACACCGCTCAACTACATCCTGCTCAACCTGGCCGTGGCCAACCTCTTCATGGTCTTAGGTGGCTTCACCACCACCCTCTACACCTCCATGAATGGATACTTCGTCTTCGGGCCCACAGGCTGCAACTTGGAGGGCTTCTTTGCCACTCTGGGTGGTAGGTGTGGGTGTTGGATGGCCGGGGTGGGGGGGTCCAGGGAGTGTGGTGGGCATGAGACAGATACAGGGAGGCTTCCCTTCAAGCCTTCTCTCCTGTCATTAGCCAAAGTTCCCACTTATTCAAACAACAAACACTTTGTGATGCTGAGGCAGGCTGCTGTTTGTGGAAGGTGGGTACTCCTACTGGTAACTCCCATCAAGCGGGTTTCTATTCAGTTTTGGAGTTTGGTTTGAGTTTGATATTTACAGCCAGTGTCACTGTATGGCACAGTCTGACTTCAAATTTGTGATGATCTTCCTGCCTCAGCCTCTCAAGTGCTGGGATTACAGGTGTGTTCCACAACTGTTGAATTTCACACCAAGGAACCTGGGTTCCAGGGCAAACAAGGGTCCTCCTGGCCCATAGGGAGAATGATCATAGCTGAGTCTAAGTCCATGTTCTAGTTGGTTGCCTGGGGCCAGAGTGGGCAGGGACAGACCCTGTCCTCTATCAATATTCTTAACTGGGCCAGGAGTGTTGGCCTTCAGTCCTGGAGCATTGGGCCCCCTCGCCAGCCTCACTGCCACCTTTGAATGCTCCTTGTGTCAGGGACCTCACCCGCTTTACAATATCACCTATCCCTAGCATGCTAGACCTGGGTGCAGATCCATAGCTTCCAAAGTCCATCTGGAAAACAGATGGTGGTGCTCACTAAGCGGGTGAAGAAACTCAAGCAAGGAGGACCTGTCTGGACAGGGACCAGAGATGCCTGATGCAGATCTAAGCACCTCTCCCAGCCACAGGAACACAGAGGTGGCAGAGCAGGTGATGAGTGGGAGCCAGCAGGGATGCTGCTGCTGTAAGGTCACAGATCTCTCTGCCACACACCTGGATCCTGCAGGGCCAGCCCCAGCTGGGGTAGGTTGGCAGCATCCCCTCCAGGGTTAGCCGTGTGACTATTTGGATGATGTGCAGGCAGGTTTCTGAGGTTGTCACCTGGGTGGTGTCACCTAGTGCATGGGTCTCTTGCCAATCCCATGTCTGTAGAGCCTTCTGTAGCTACCCAATCCTGTGAGTGGGTAGAGGGCTGACAGCTGCCATTTGCTATAGGTGAAATTGCTCTGTGGTCTCTGGTGGTGCTGGCCATTGAGCGCTATGTTGTCGTGTGCAAGCCCATGAGCAACTTCCGCTTCGGTGAAAACCATGCCATCATGGGTGTTGTCTTCACCTGGATCATGGCGCTGGCCTGCGCTGCACCACCCCTTGTCGGCTGGTCCAGGTAATGCCATCCCCAAAGCCACCGGGACAGGCACTAAGGTGCTGGTCCTCCTCCCAAGTCCCATGTCAAGGAGACTCCCAGGTTCCCCAATTCTTCACCTTGGCCGAGCTCCTAATCCTCAGCTAAGCCAGGGCCACATCCAATCCTCTTTGTCCAACCTGCACTGACCTTGGGCCATAGCAGCTTCCCAGACAGGGTGACATCAACCCCAGGAATGGGATCTTCCAGCCTCCTGGCCACTGTTTCCAAAAGAGCTGAGATGGTATCCAGAGCCTGTGTTCCTCTGGTCTGGGAAACTCACGTTTCTGCTCACCTCCTTCCACGTCACCCCAGGGCCCCTTCTCATCCTTGCTCCTGTCTTCCTTATCCTGGCTCAGCATAGCCCTGATGGTGCCGCTCATGGCTGCTCTGGGTTAGCTGAGTGACCTCAGTCCTCATCCTCAGGAGTCACAGGAACACCCTTACCCTGTGTCCTGGGCCTTATGTTCCAGGAAGCTGCTCAAAGACCCCTTCTGAGTGCCCGTGTCCATCTTCGGCCTAGAAAACACTTATACCCTGTGACTGGGAAGACCCAGCAAGGCACACGTGCTTGTCCCCTGTCCTCTGTCCCCTAGGCCTTGGCTAATAGGTCAGGGTAGCAAGGACGGCTGAGGGCTCGCCCAGTGGCAGGGACCATGCAGAGTTGTCTGAACCTGGCCAGGCAGGCAGCTCCTGGTCCTGTGGGTCTGGGCACTCATGGACATGGTCCTCAGGTACATCCCCGAGGGTATGCAGTGCTCATGTGGGATCGACTACTACACACTCAAGCCTGAGGTCAACAATGAGTCCTTTGTCATCTACATGTTCGTGGTCCACTTCACCATCCCCATGATCATCATCTTCTTTTGCTATGGACAGCTGGTCTTCACCGTCAAGGAGGTATGGGCAGGGGGGCCTTGGGGTGGTGTCCAGGTGGGTGCTGGGCAATAGTACTAAGTGACTGTGCTGGGTGCCACCATCTGGACACAGGTCCCATGTCCCCACAGGCAGCTGCACAGCAGCAGGAGTCAGCCACCACCCAGAAAGCGGAGAAGGAGGTCACCCGCATGGTCATCATCATGGTGATCGCCTTCCTGATCTGCTGGGTGCCCTATGCCAGTGTGGCCGCATACATCTTCACCCACCAGGGCTCCAACTTTGGCCCCATCTTCATGACCGTCCCAGCTTTCTTTGCCAAGAGCTCTTCTATCTACAACCCTGTCATCTACATCATGATGAACAAACAGGTGCCTGGTGTGGGTCCCCAGGGCATGGGTCCCAAGGATGGTAGGGACACAGGCTTCAAGATCCACATCCTGGGCCCCATCCTGGGTTGCTGGATCCAAATCTCAGCTGGGCCCAAAACACTGTGTTTGTCACAAGCTCTCCAGGTGAACTTGGTGTTGGTCAAGTGTGTCAGGTACCAGCTTTGAGGGCTCTGGAAGCTGGCTTGAAAGCCATCCAGTGTGGAGTATGGGAAGGGGATGGCCCCAGCTATAAAACTGGGAGGGTGGAGCTGCCCTGACAAGGCCAGGAGTCTTCTGGGGCACAGTCTCTGCAGCCAGGCATGCTGGGTTAGGCCACTGGCTCTGCCATATTCTAGCTAGGCAACATTGGGCAAGTCAACTCTCAGCTCTGGGCCTGAGTTTCCTCTACCCTAGAAAGAATGAAACCCCAAACTCTGGAATTAAATGTGAAAATTAATTACATAGTAACACAGAGCACATCATCAGTAACCAAGGCCCCTCATGCTGGGTTCCTAGTATCTCCAGGTAGTGTCATCACAGGGTCAGTTGTCCCCACACTGACCCGGCCCCTTGCCTTCCAGTTCCGGAACTGCATGCTCACCACCATCTGCTGTGGCAAGAACCCTCTGGGCGATGATGAAGCCTCCACCACTGTCTCCAAAACTGAGACCAGCCAGGTGGCCCCAGCCTAAGGCCTGCTGGGGCCCCTGCAGCCGACTGTAGGACCCCCTCCACCCCCCACAGCCACCCCACCAAGAGCACACCTGCCACAATGTGGCCATGGGTGCCCCTGAGTTTGTTTCTATTTAAATAATCAGAGAAAAATGAGGTCCCCATTCTGCAGGGACAGCCTGAGAAGGGACACTCACACAGCCCCCAATCTGGAGTCCCCCAGCTCTCAGGGGCTGGGGGGCTGCACCCCTCCCCCAGCTTGTCTTGGGAACATAAGAACTCTTGCTTTCTGGAAAGGTGCCCCACTTAGGGCTAAGCATCTAGCACATAATGGGAACACAGTAGGTGCTTGATAAATGCTAGCTGGATGAAGGAAGGAATGGGTGAAGGAAGGAATGGAGGAATGCATGAAGGGCGAATGTGTAGAAAGACACATCCATCCTCTCAGACCTCATGGCACATGGTGATGAGTCAAGCAGTGGTTCCCTACCATAGCATGGAACTCCAAAGTTCGGCCCTGGCAGCACACGGCTGCTGCAAAGACCAAATAAGATGGTGTGCCTGTTCGTGTGGGTGTGTGGGTGTGTGTGCATGTGTATTTAAGCACTTTGTAAATAGTAAGGAGCTATACAGATTGCAGTCTACATTATGAACAATATCGACTAATAGAATTAGTGAATTATCATGGTCATCTCTTCCTGACAGTCACAACTGGAGATCAAACAGGTCCCAGCATTCAGACAAAGGGGCTTCATGCATACTCTTGCAGGTTTGCAAAATCAGCCTGAGCCTCAGAGGTGGGTGGCAGGGAAAGACAGCTCCAGGGACGCAGTATCAGCCAGTAGATCAGAAAAAGCAGCTCAGGCACTGTGAAAGTCAGGCCTGAGCCTGAGTTTCTGGAAGCCATCTACTGTTCCTTCTTGGCAGTTGGACCATAGCCACCCTGTCCAAACTTAATAGAGAGCTAAGTCCCTGATGTCACTAATGCTGGAGAGCTTAGAAACCAAAAGGCACCTGGTTGATGCACCCCCACCCAGGAGCCCCTGGGTCTTGGTTTCAGCCCGCTTGTGAGACAAGTTCAGCTTCAGCAGCCACAGCCTGCCCCTCCTGCAGTCTTCTCTGAAGCCTGAAACCTGGGCCAGGATCGAGCTGTCTCGGTTATTGCCAGAGCCTGGAGTCTGAGGCCCACGGGGCATTAAAAGCTCAGCTCGGTCCTGCTGTCCGTGTTAGTAGTTTTTGTTCTCAGCCTCCTCACCCACAGGATGGACTAGCACCAGCAGCTCCAACCTGAAAATCAGCCTCGGGGAGTGGGCTGTTCAGTGGGCAGAGCCAAGTAGCTCAGTGTTGTTGGGGAATGAGAGGACCCTGGATGAGGGGGACACCTGACCTGGGGTTGCAGAGATGCAGGGACTTAAGGAATAACAGCAAGCACTGCAACTTCTGCAGACTTCCCTGAATTTGATCTTGAGGGGTTAGCAAGGTTGGGACTTCACTCTGGTGCAGTCAGAGAGAGACTCTGGCATCTCCAGGCTCAAAACTGGTCTTACTGAACACCAGCGCCCCATGGGAAGGAATGGAGACACAGTGGCTGGGAGTGCCCTGTTCTCTTGGGTGATAGGAAGCACAAGTTGCCCACCAAGATCAAGGCCCTGCCTGGAGGCTGGCAGAGGTGGTGTTAGAGACCCCAATAACTGTCCTTTACCCTCTATCTGGGTGGTAGTGGGCAGAGCACCTCTGGTGGTAAACCATGGGAAATGCAGTTCAGATGGGTCAGAGGAAAAGGGTGGCATCATTCTCCCACAGAAAGGAAAAACCCAGGGCTTGCAGGCAAGCATGTGATATGATCAGGTCTATCTTTTCCCTTCTGGCTACACTTTTTCATGTTGGCTTCATTCACAAGTCAACACTTCACAAGAGGTGGCAAAAATGGCCACCCTAGGTCCAGGGCTCAGCAAGTGGGCATCTCTTTCCCCTTAGTATAGCCAAAGTTCCACATAGGGCTTCAATTGGCAAGGCCCAGATCATGTGATCACTCTTGAGTCTGTCACTAAACCTGGACTGGGATTCATCCTCTTATTGGCCAGGCCTGAGCCACCTGATCACCCTTGAACCTATCACCTTGCTTGAACTGGATGTAGTCTCTCCTGATTGGTGAGGCCTAGTCACCCAATCATCCCTGAGCCCAAAATAGAATCAAATTACATAAGCCAGGTGGTCTACAGTTCGGAGAGGCAGATCCCCACCATGAGCCCAGTGCTAATCTAAGCCTGTGAGGCCCAGAGCACAGCTAGATCCAGTACCACCCTGGGATGTGAGGAAGATGTGCTCTCACTGTCCATTCCACAGGTAGAGTTGGCCAGGTAGCAGTGGTGGGACAGTGGTATTTGGGCCTCAGTCCTGGGAGTCCAGCCCCAGTCCACTGCCTCTGAGGAGTAGTGTCTGCCTGGCCTCACATGTCCAGGAAAAGGGACCTTGGCACTCTTCTGGAATGGATGGTGACCTGACAGCCCCTATCATCACATACACAGAACTGCTGATGGCAGCACAGGGAGGGGCCCCTTGTCACCAAACTACAGGCAGACAAAAGATCCATGGGGCACCTGCTGTGTGCAATCCAGTGGGCCAAGCCTACGGAAGCCACGCCCAGGCCAATGTATGCTGGGAACTCCAGATGGGACAGAGGACATGGCGTCTGGGTTGTGGCCTGGGCAGCCCCCAGTGCATAGTTGTCTACTCTGTGGACAGTTCTGCCGCTCACCACCTGAGGTGCCCTGAGGAGAGATTGTAGGCCAAAAGCTCCCTGGACTTTTGCAGACTTCCAGCCCCCCCAGCTGGAAAGAGGGGATCAGCCCATTCAGGGAAACAAGGGACACTTCATGTAGAGGATCTGTATGCAGTAAGTGTTCAATAAATGTGAGTCCCTCACAGAGGCATAAATGGAGTACCCTGGCATGGAGATGGGCAGGTGGATGGGAACTGGGGGGACTCAGGAAGGAAAGCAAGGGCTGCTTGCCCCAGTGTCCTCTCCTTTCCAGCATCCTCCCAAGGTCCAGCGGCATCTAGCTGTCCAACACACAGCAGCACATCTTTCACAGCTTCCCTGGCACCTATGGCCCCTGACCTTAAGGTCTGGTCACCGGAGTATCCTCAAGGTAGACAGGGACAGCTGCTGGGGCGTGTGTTTCAGAGAACAGAGGCGCCCTGCATTTCCTGTCTTCTTTCCTGCCTGCAGGCTGGAATGCCAACATGAAGGCTGGAGTTGTGGCAAGTGCGTTAGATCCTGAGATAGAGTCTGAGGACAGAGAATGGCAAAGCCTAAGAGTCACCCTTGATCCCCTGCCTGCCTCACAACTTCCCGCAGTTTCCCAAGGTCATGGCCGCCTGGCTTCTTGTTTAAGCTGTTGCCATTTTGGAGTTGTGCCTTAACTGTCACCACCGGGTCCCAGGTTGTGGGCAGGGTAACTTCACATGCAGGGACGCAAACTGGCAGCCGGTACTGTTTCTGCCACCACACGTGTTCTGGTGTGACAGGGCTAGAGTTACACAGAGTAGAAGCCCGTGGTGGCCTCAGAGGCTCAGAAGTGTGACCTTTGCCTCAGGGGGGGCCTGAGACATCCCAAGGCAGTAGGAAAAGGAAGGTTTCCAGCCCCAGCTTCAGGGGAGAAGAGGGAAGGCCACGGCCGGGCCCGGTGCCCGCCATTAGCATTTCCCAGCAAAGTGGCAAACCCCGAGGAATTTTTAGATCATGAAGCACATTTTAGAACTGCTTCCCTCTGAATGCAAAACTCAATCCTGGCACAGGCCAGGAGTAGGGCTTCGACTGACGTTCGTGGGAATGTTTACATCACAGAGCGTTTCTGTGTTTCTCAGTTCTTGGAAATGCCCCACCAATGCGATCAAAATTGCTGCCCTGTATGCGCCAACTTCCATTTGCCTCTTTGCTTTGGCCATCTCCTGCTCCCTGAAATGCGAGTGGCAGTTTCCAGGCTCCCCTCCATTTACCCAAGCTAGGCTCATAGCTGCACAGCAATTGAGTACTTACTGTATGCCTGGCACTGGGGACGCTACCAGGAATAAGAGCTCTCTTGAGGGAGAGGGACAGGGAAGGAAGAGCAGTAATTTAGGGTGCTGGAGGCTCCTGAGGAGCCATCCAGGAGCTGTATTCCCCTTAGGAGGGACCCCTAATCTTGTGAGAATCAAGGAAGGCTTCTCTGAGGAAGCATCAGGGAAAGCCTAGAGGGTGTGGGTCAGAAAGAGCTAAGGATGGCGGGAACAGCTGTGATCACACGTGGGCCTGGATGTGGGCTGGGGTGCAAGACTGAGACTATTTTGGCATTGATTTAACACTCAGGGGAAATACAAAAGGCAGTGCCCGGCACCGGCACGCAGCCACCCGTGCTCAGCGTGGTTGCACTGTGGAGCTCCAGGGTGAAAGAAGACTCTGTAAGCCCAGCTGCAGAGCTCAAACTTATAACAGGAGCACAGGGCACCATGCAGGGTGCCAAGCTGGGAGGGAGGTCTGACTGCTTTCAGGACCCTGAAGACCACCGGAGCTGCAGGAATGGCGAGTCCTCAGGAATAATCCCAGCAATAAGGAGAGAAAGAAGGGCTTTTTAACCACCCCAAGTCTTCTCTCCAGAATGACCCTGCTGTTTCTGTGGCATGAACATTTTAGATCCTCTGTGGCTTCACACATATGTGCATACACACACGTGAGCTTTGTCCTCTCTGAGTGGGACATGCTTGACTGCTGCATTCTGGTGTGTCATCTTCACAGCTGTTTACTGTTCTGTTGCTTGACCAGGACACAGCCATCCTGTACTCTTCCATTTGACAAGTATTTGGATTGCAGGGCTCAGCCTCGCTGTCAGTGGGAGTTTCTGGTCTTCTCCAAGAATGGATGGAAGGGTGGGCAATCAGGAGTCGCTGGGCTTTGCCACATGTCTTCCAGTGGCACCTGCTAGCTCCCTCCTGGTTACTGTGTATTTTGTCTATAGCCCCGACAGGGCTAATAGACACTTGAATATTTGTCATTCTGTGAGTACTAAACACAGCCTCACCCTGCTTAACCCAACACGTTAACGCACCTTGCTTAACGCAACCTTGCAGCAGGCTCCTGTAACCTCCTAAAGCTCCTGCTCCACCCCCTGCCCCCCTGCCCCCTTTCGCCCTCTTCACTCCCTGCCCCAGGGCCTCCTCAGCTGCTCCTCCTTGAGGCTGCAGAGGTGCTTGGAGGCTGGGCCTGGAGGTGTCCGTGTCTGAATGTCTCCCAGGTTCTGCCAATTCCCTAGCAGCTGCCCCAGACTGTGGCGGGCAGGGTGTGGGAGGGACCAAGCGCTTCAGCATTCAGTGATTTACGGTGTGCGAGGCCCTGGGAAGGTCAGCAGCTCACCTGTGGTGGCTCAGAGCAAGTGGCTGTGCTGGGGCAGGGGCCAAAACCCTAACCTTCCTGCCATCATCAGCATTCAGGACATCTGCTGGATGCTAATCAGGGCTGATTGGAGGGCGGGGCTGGCATGGGTACAAAAACTGGGTGGATTCTGGGAGCCTCATATGTGAACAGCGGAGGTGGTCATTTATAAGTGTCCTTCAGATGGCTCCTGGGAGCGTCACCAATTCCTCTTCTTCCTCCTCTTCCTCTTCCTCCTCTTCCACAGCAGGGCCAGCAGAGCCCCCTGAGTATGGGAAGCCAGGTGAGCAGGGGGGCACCCCATCCTTGTGACCCCATCCTTGCACCTTACAGGACTTGGGTCCTGTAACCACATCTCCACACTCCTCTGTGCCACCTCCTCCCTGAGTTGTGCCCAGTGCTCTGCAGATGCCCTCTTGGTGGAAGGACCCAGCTGAAGGTGGCCTAGTGAGGCCTGGCTGCAGATGTTGGCCATCTCCATCTGTCAGCAGTGTCCTGGGGTCAGCCTGCCCAGGATGAGCACTAGGGACAGTCCTGCCGGAGGTAGGTGATAGGGCCAGGAAACAGCTGGCCAAGGCCCACAGGGAGAGGCTGCTGCAGCTCTCAGGACTACAGGCTTTCTTCTTGAAGAACAGAGCTTGCGGGGAGGACGGTTCTCTCTACTGAAGGCCAAAGGAGGCACAGAAGGCCCCACACAGGGGCAGGGAGTGGAAAGAGAGGGTAAGGACAAAAGCAGCTGGGTCTGGGGCAGAGAAAAATCTGGATGGAGCAGACACGGGGTGGCTAAGGGATGGTGCGGCCCAGAAGATAGAGCACCCCGTTCCTGGGAGAGATGGGCAAGTCCAGGTAAGCCCCAGACCTCTGGAACACTGGGGACTGGAAGGGCTTACTAGAGACAGGCACACAGTGGGGGGGGGGCAGGGTGCTGCCTGAGCTCTGGCACAGAAGTCCAGAGACCCCATAGCTGGGAGGCTCAGATGGAGGCCTAGAGAGGGGCGTAGCCTGCCCAGCTCTGGGTACAGAGCTGGGACGTGGGCCCCATGGCCACAGTCTCTCAAGGCCACGGCCTGGGTTCTCATAACCCTGAGTGTTCAATGTCAGATGCTGCCAGGCTTAGTTGGATGAAGTCTCTGAATGATTCTTTGCTAGGCAGAGTTTCACTTTCAGAGTTTAAAACAATTTAATATAGTGCAGCCAATTGATTCTTTTTTTCAAGACTTTTATTTATTTTTGAGACAGAGTCTGGATATGTAGTCCAGGTTGGCCTTGAACTCACTGTGTAAACTAAGCTGGCCTCAAACTTGCCGCGATTTTCCTACCTCAGCCTCCTGAGTGCTGGGATTACAAGTGTGCACCACCATACCTCTGACCCTAAATTTTAAAACAGACCAGATCTCAACATTCCCAGTCCTGTGTTTTCTGCTGCATTGTGTTTTTTCTGTCATAAGCCATGTGGCCCACGCCAGTCTCTCCCTGCCCCTCCATACCTGTTCCCTGCTCCCATATGAGCTACTTACTCAAAGTGTGATGGTCTTGGTAGACTGTTGTTTCCACTGTTGGATTCAGAACATTTCCATTTCTTCAGAAAGAGTCCCTTCATAGGCACTTCCTCCCGTCCTGGCAGCCACACACCTGCTATCTGTGTCCCTGGTTTCTGTGCCAGGTGCTTCCTGTGAGTGCAGACACGGAGCGGGCTCCCAGGGCTCTGCCTGATTCTCACCTGGTATGCGTCCAAGGTCCACCTTCTCATAGCATCTGCCTTGACTTCCTCCTCCTTTTGGCTGAGTAATGTTCCTTTGTGTGCTGTATCACACTGTGTTTATCTGTTTGTCTTTAGTTGATTGTGAACATTTGGGTTGCCTCTACTTTTTGGTTATTAGGAATGGGGCTGCTATATGCGTGTATGAAATGGGGGGTACTGGGGATCAAATCCAAGGCCTTGCCCATACCAAGCACAAACTTGACTCCTAAACTACACCCTATCCCAGCCCTACAGGTGCATATCTTCATGTGGGTTTGTGTTTCAAACTTTCAGACCTATGCCTAGGGGTACAGTCTTTGTCTGTGGTCCTGGAGGTTGAATCCAGGGTCTTCATGTTGTGCTATATCCCGAGGCCTATTTTCAACTTTCAATTTTTTTATTTGTTTTTAAAAACAAGATCTTACTAAGTCGTTTCCGAGGCTGGGAAACTTGGAATCCTCCTGCCTCAGCCTTACTGACAAGCCTCTAATCATGGTATGAGCATTCATGCCCTGGTGGAGCTCTTTACTATGAGAACTTTCAACCAGCTCTAAAAGCAGAGCAGGGAATGGGTGTGTGCCCACCAGCACATCGCAGCCTGGGGCTGTCCTTTCATCTGCTGTGTCATTTACAAGCAACTGCTGGCCCTTGTTTCATCTGTGTATATCTGTCCGGTGCTTACCCTTAACAGATAAGAGCCTTGAAAAGAAACCCAGGGCAGCAGGGCAGCTCAGGAGGGTGTGTGCCTGGCATGCGTGAGGTCCCCGGTTCCGTCCCCAGCACTCCCTAAGGACAATACCTGTCATAGGTCAGCGTGAGGTACAATTAACAGCAGGCCCCTTAGCATTCTTTGCTTCCTTCCGGGCTGGTTACCTGATTGATTGCCCATCCGCTCACACTTTTGTTTTTTGTATTTGTACCAATGTGACTTCCAGGCTGGTGGGCTCAAGCCGTCCCCTGTCTTCTCCTCCTGCCTCAGCTTACTGACCAGCCAAGACCACAGGCAGAAGCTACCACATCCAGGGATCTTTTCTTTTCTTTCTTTTTGGCCATTCTGTCCTCTAGCCACGTTTGACTGTGTCTTCTAAGATCTTTCACCCATGGGTGCCTGTCTGATGTCCTGCTCTGGGTGTTTGTGTGTAAAGGGACCCACTGTGTGTCCTGTGGAGTTGCCTGGTCTGGTCGCGTGGGTGTCACTGTACCTGTCTCTCAGCACTCCTGACATCCTAAACACCAGCAGTCAGGTCCAGATGACTGGCAGGTTTTCCTCTAAAAGAATACCAGGTATGATTGACTTGTTATATTTAAAGACCTTGGCCTCACACTCCGCCCTCTCACTTTGAACACGCGTATCCCGTCCTTTTCGCCATTTCTGCAGCAGCTCTAGAGTCCTTTCCTGTCTTTAGTTGCACTGTCTTGGCTGCCTCAATGACCTGATTTAAATCAAAATGTTTCTCTGTCCTGATCTTCTTGACTTTGGGGAAGAGCCAGAAGTTGTAGGTGCGAGATCTGGTGAACAAGGTGAGGACCCAGCTTCGTGTTTTGCATCCTGCCTTTCTCCTGGATGGCACAGGGTGGCAACATTCACTGCATAAATATCACAGCTTGTGAAGATACTCGGGAAAGAGAACTCCAGAGCTGCTGCAGAAAGTGCAAGAGTGATGGGCTTAGTGCACGTAAAGTGAGGGGAAGATTTTGAGGAAGATTCAGGGAAATGTGTCTTTTACTGTAATAAATTAAAAAATTTTTTTTTCTTTCTCTCTTCCATACTGAAAATTTTTAAAAATGTAAACACACTCATAAGAGAAAGTCTGGAGCCACCATCCCTTAGAGCATATTGTGCTCAGCCCATGGACTTGGGGTGATGCCTCATTGTTCCCTACAGGCCCGACCTCCAACACGGTCATGGTGACCCGTCGCCACCCCACAGTGCTGCGCATGGTGCTGGAGGCCCTCCAGGCAGGGGAGAAGCGCCGGGGCACCTCGGTGGCAGCCATCAAGCTCTACATCCTGCACAAGTACCCCACAGTCGATGTCACCCGCTTCAAGTACCTACTGAAGCAGGCCCTTGCCACAGGCATGCGCCGTGGCCTCCTTACCAGGCCCATCAACTCCAAGGCCAGGGGTGCCACTGGCAGCTTCAAGGTGAGCCTGGGGGAGGGCGGTGCCGCTTGGTCCTCCCTGAGCCTTGACAGGGCTCCTAGGAGGGCATCTGGCTCTGCCCGCCTGTCCCAGTCCCTGTGGTGTCTCGGCAGGCCTGGGGGTTTCTGTGCCATGCTGGTTCTGGGTCCTGGTGCTCACTACTGCAGGATTCTCCCTGGGCTCCAGATTCTGTGCCCAGGATGAAGGTTGTCCTCTCCCTGAGCCCTGTCCTCCTTGTCCAATTCTGGCAATAATGTTCCAGGCAGGAATCTGTTCAAGGTCACTCACATCTGATACTGTGGTGGGATGGAATCTTACCACAGTGTCCTGGCACCTTTAGCCACCAGGTCATGGCCACTGTGATTTCTGGGTGACCCAGGGCCCCCAGGTGAATATGGTGGGGTGAGGAGAGCAGTGGGTGCTGGCCATGCATGGGTTCCTGGTCTTAGTGGGTGATAGATGTCGAGACTTGAGAGGAGCAATTCTCAGGGTGGGGCTTAAAGAGCAGGGTACCCCCTGCTTCCAACTGACACCCATCGCTTCTGTGATGGTTCCTGGAACAGAGGGGGAGACTGAGGCTGGGATGCAGCAGGTAAGCTGTATTCTGTGGGGTGAGGGGGTACAGTCAAGGTGCCATTCCTGAAAAAGAGAAGGTGTCAAGTGTCAGGGTGGCCTCCTCTTGGGGTCCAGGGTCACCAGCACCCGGAACTCCCCCAGCCATTCCCCACACTGTCCTCTTCCAGCTTGTCCCCAAGCGTCAGAAGAAGCCGAAGTGCAGCAGGAAAAGTACTCGGACAGGGCCTGCTGGCTCCAGCAAGAAAAAGATTGCAGAACCATGCGAAGCAAGAGCTCCCCGCAAACAAGCCAAAGTCCTAGAGACAGCCCCTCAGGGAGGCTGCAAGGCGAAAGGCACTGGGCCACAACAGGTTGTAGCCAAGAAGGACCCCCCAAAGTCAGCTGGGGCTTCCTCAACTGTCCACAAGCTTGGCAAGAAGCCCAAGGTCCCAGGCAGCAGGAGCAGGCAAGGTGGGTGTGTATGGCTGGGCCCAGTTGTTTGGGAGAGCAGCTTGGGTCACTAGGAGATGCTTGTGGAACTGGTGGGAGGGGGGCAAGCAGAGGCCCCAGGAAGGTTTCTGGGGAGAACAGTGTCCATGGGTCCTGGAGCAGGGTCAGGGAGGACTTCCTGGAGGGGACAGCTGGGCTCTGGCCCCTCCACCTGTCGTCCACACGAGTCCTTTTTGCTTTCCAGAAGACACAGGAGCCCCTCGGAAAACTTCAACTGCAGCCTCCAAGGTAGGCTCCTCCCTTCTCACCCCAGTAGGCTGTGAGGGTACAGACAACCCCTCTGGCCAGACCACCTTTGGCCAGGGAACAGGAAGTAAAACTTTCCTTCTGCAGAGTACTGCTCTACTCAGCTTCTCTGGGGTGGGGCCCCATCACCCCACTCCACAGCTGAGAAACGGGCTGGATGCCTGCCTCCCCAGCTGGCTTTCTCTCTCCTAGGCTGGAAAATGTGCTGCCTCCCTGAAGGGTACAAAACCCACAGTGAAGGCCGCCCCAGGGCCTGGACCCAAAGCCACTGCTGCCCCCAAAGCCGCCACTGCTTCCAAGGCTGGGGCCCCCAGGACCAGGACTCTGTCTCCAGCCAGGAAGGCTGGGGGCCCCAAGAACCCCAGGCCACTGGTCAAGAGCTCATAGTTATTGTGCTCAGAGCTCAGTAGTTATAGGCTGTGGTGGGACTGTGGGTGGCTGGGCTGGAGTTTTTATTCCTCCAAATCGTTTGCACTACTTATTTAACCCTAACTTATTTCTCAAATCATGACCTAGTTATCAATAAAGACACTGATGTATCACATGTGGGTGTGAGTGGATGCTGAGACTGGGGTCTTGCCTGTTGCCCTCCCACCCCCATCTTCCTATGCCTCCCTGCTTCATCAGCCATGCTGGATACAACTGCCCTATGAGACAGCTGATGTCCTGCGGGGACTGTGCATGGGTAAGGGTCTTGGCTCAGGAGGGCATGAACCTGGGGCCATCTCCCCCAGGAGAGGGCAGGGCTATGGCGGGGTTGCTGGTGAGGTTGCAGAGGAGGTTTATGGTTGGGGATGTGGGCATGTGGTGAGCCAGGGAGAGTCACAGGCAGCAGGGGCGACCAGTACGTGTGTTTAGGAAGAGCCTCTGTAGGAGGAGAGATTTGAGGCTCTCATCTAGGAATGTGGGTGCCCCATGCAGTGGAGAGGGGACATATTATACCCACTGCTGGGTTCTCTAGCTCCCTGGCCACTCCTGTGAGCTATGCTAGTGGACCCCTCTGCTCCAGTCAATCCTGCCTTGCCTGGCCCTGTCCTAGCTGTGAGTCTGGGAGGAGAGTTGTGATGGCTGCTGTCCTTTCGCTCTGGGCATTGGGGCCAGGTACTAGGCCCTGGGGGACATCTGGGCCTGCAGTCTAGGTCATTGTTTAGTGGCTGTGGTGTTTTTTTGTTTTGTTTTTTGTCTTTTTTGAGACAGGGTCTGTTTGGTTTAGGCTTGCCTTGGGCTCTTTGTAGCCCAGGCTGGTCTCACACTTGCAGTGATCCACCTCCCTCAGCCTCTAGAGTGCTAGGATTACAGGAGTGCACCACCATGCCCGGCTTTCAGTGGCTGTTTTGAGCTAAGGTCACAACATAACCCAGGAGGCTGGAGGTGTCACTGGGAAACAGTCCTGATGCAGTGAGGAAGCACCCTCGGCTCCTGTGGCCTTGACAGAGGACCCGGCTCAGATGTGTGACCCGCAGTGGTGAAGAAAAAGGAGGTGGGCACTGCCAGGCTTGACGCCGTATATGCTGAGAGCCATTTCTGGGGTCCAGAGAACTGGTGTGGTGAGGGTTCTGAACTTTGGATTTGTACAGTGTCCTTCTGTCCTGATGGAGTTTCTCTTCATGTGAGAAACTCACAGAAGTTCTTCATTTAAGCCAGGCCTGGCCCAGGCAGGAGGGCCTTGAGCATCTCCTTCCCCAAAAACCATGGGCTGCAGGGTGTAGCAGCCAGGAGCACTGCATGCCTTGTTCTGGAGTTGGGTGACCAGGTGGCCTGATGTCAGAACTGGTGCCACATGTGACCTTAAGATGTCACTGTGCTCTCTGCAGTTGCTTGGGGTCCAAGACCTGACTTAGCTGGCTCAGTAGGTTCTATTGGGCCCCTCCCCATGGCCCCTTGGGCCCAGTAATATCCAACAGGAACTAACTGGTCAGGGCTTGGGACAGAGTAGGGGCAGGGAAACCAAGGAAGGCCATCTAATGTGGCCACCACAGGGCCCCCTTCCTGTGCAGCTTGGCTGCTCCTTCTTATATCTCACGAGAGACCATGGCTTTTCATATTCCTCTCTTGGGTCTCTGGGTGGCTGCTGGCATGGCCCTGGGGCACAAGCAGGTGGCAGTGCCTTCCTGCTGAGGGCCTCTTCCTCTGCACTGCCACTGGGCCTGGGCTGGGATTGGTGGCGATTGCCAGGCAGGCTGTGGGCCCTTCTCTGTGACAGGACCTGTTCTGCCTTTTGGAAGTTTTGCCTGAGGTGTCCCCGTATATCTGTTACCCTTAGTAGAGGGTAAGAGTGGTCCAGGGGCCCAGACAAAGACGATAGATGACTCCCAAAGGTGGCCACCTTCAAGGTGATCTAGGAACCAGAGGGTGCCTCTGCTAGGGTTGTCTCCTGAATGGTGAGGAGCTGCATGCTAATCAAATGTCATGCTAATCAGACAGGCTGTGAAACGGCTACTGACAAAGATGTTACCACATATTGGCAAGGGAGAGGTGGGTCGCAGTTGTGGTGTGGCTCCCTGCCCGCCACCTCCAGCCCCTCCAGCTCAGTCATCTCTGGCTCCATGCCCTCTGAGGTTGTAACCCTGTGAAAATGAGGAGCAACTTATATTTCCTTTGTGCTCTTTTGTGCTCTCTGCCTTTCTCTGGGAAACATGTAGTCATTCTAGAATCACACCCTCCCCCTCAAAAAAATCTTATCACATATGCCAATAACTTAAATTAGAAAATCTGCTGCTTAATAAGAAGGAATCAAGGCTCAGAATAGAACATTTGAAAGATGAAGTCGAGCTTTTTCCCATACTGGTTTCAGAGTGTTTTTTAAAGCAGGAGATTGTTTACTTTTCCCTTGACTTGTATGCTCTCCTTAGCTCAGGTTAGACTCTGGGGGGTTTTGTTTCTGTATTATGGGATTTTTGGCCCCAGCTCTTATTCTCAGTTTTGGTTTTCTGAGATGGGATTTCACTATATAGTTCAGGCTACTCTTACACTATGTAGCCCACCTTGAAAACATGGTGATCCATGACTCAGCCTCCTGAGTGCTGGGCTGATAGGTGGGCACCACCATTCCTGGCTACCAGCTTCTCTTCTTGATAAAGGGGACACTTTTATGGTCCTGCTGAGCACTGGGAGGGGAGGGCTCTGTTGACCTGCCCCTGGGTTGTGTGAGTACTAGACGCAGCAAGTGGCCTATAGCAGGTGGTAGCCTGTATATCTGACTCATCAGTCACTGCTCAGAGCCAGTGTGAGGGGCAGCTTGTCCTGCTGGGGTGCCACCTGTGTCCTTGTCAGAAACGTGTGGTTAATGACACTTTTAAAATGAGAAATTCAGGGCAAGCATACAACAGTCAGCTTCTACCCAGTATCTCCTCTGCCCTCTTCTTTACATTTTGGTGCAGGGGGAGAACTTGAACTAGAAGCTGGAGCCCAAAGGACCTGTCCCTCCCCGACTGTGGTCCCTTGGGAAGTTCCCCAGTTTTTCCATCTGGGCTTTTCATAAACAATTCGAGGACTGGGGTGTGGTTGAGTGTGAGCCTGGCCTAGTCCATGCACAGCTTTGGCTTCCAAGCCCAGTACATCGTACACACAGACTCAATAGGGCCCACTGGGGATGCACAGTGGTGACATCTTCCTGGGGGCCCTGAGGGACCAGAGCCAGGCCCCACGTCCACTCCACAGCAGACTGGGGGAGTTAATGGCCCCATGTCCCCCGCCCCCTAGGACAAAGGCTGAGCCCCAGTAGGTTTCCTGGCAGCTTTTATTACAAAGACAGTTCCAGCGACTCCCTGCAGCTGCCCCAGCTCTGCACCATCCCGGCTGTGGGAGACAGAACTGGGTGAATTCCCCAGGTGCAGAGGGCTTGGCCAGGCCTGTGTTGGGGACAGTCACTTCCAGTGTTGCATGGAGGCCCCTGCACAGGTGGCAGCTATTCACAGTCAGCGCTTAAGTTTTTTTTTTAACATATAAAAGCTTTAAAAAAAAACAAAAGCAAAGTGGCGCTATCCTTAGGAACATTTCAAAAAGGACCGAGTAGCCCAGCTACAGCCTTGCTATGTCCAGCCCTGCTCTCTTCTGGGGGAGCAGGGTCCCTGCCCGTCTCAGCCTCCCCAAATGGCACATATGGGTGCAGCCCACACTGGGCCCAGAGCTGCGAAGTCTGGCTCTGCTCTGTGTCCATGGCAGGTGCTGTCCAAGTAGCAGGAAGGAGACAGCGTTTGATGACTGAAGCAGAACCCATGAGGGCTCTTTGCATATGGCTGAGGTAGTGCTTCCATGCCCTGCCTATGTCCCTGTCCATGCTGGCCGCTTGTGGGCAGCATTGTAGCAGCTGCCAGGGCAGCAGGGTGCATGGGGAGCTCCCTGTGGTCTGGCGGTGCCATTTGAGGCCCCTACCCGAGTCGGGCCTGGAGAGGCAGAGGGGATGGAGCCCCTGCCCTAGTCACTGCACAGCTGGAAGTTCCTAAGGTGGCCCCACGGCACAGTGGGTGGACAGTGCTGGGCTCAGGCCTCACTGTAGCACTCATAGATGTTATCTTCCATCAGGGCCACCACCTGCTCAAATTTGTGCTGTAGCTGTGTCCTCCGGGCCATGGGATTGGCCTCCAGCGCTGCAACAATCTGTAGGGTGACCAGGGCAGCCAGGCCTTAGCTCTCATGAGAATGGGCTGCCCAGCACCCACCCAGGAGCCTTGGCCTCAAAGCATCCCCACCCCAGGAAGTCCTAGAGTGCTGACTGCAGGGTGCTCACCTGTGAGCGGTACCGCTTGGCATATTTATAGATTTCTGTCAGTGCCACGTTGGTGTTGAATTCATTCTGGTACTTCTATAGGAACACGGAGGAAGAGGGCATGGTCACAGTCACAAACAGACCCATGTCGCCCTGCTCAGCCTTCCAGTAAGCAGCCAGGCCCACGCCCACAAGAGGCCCCAGAATCTATCTCCTCTCCTCCCGGGAGCACTCCAGCCAGGCCCAAGTCCCCTCTGTGCCCACCCGTGACTCCTCGGCCAGGTGGGCGTTCATCTCCTGCTCACTGAGCGGTGCCATGTCCTGGATCTGCTTGTAGTAGTGCTGCACAACCTTGCGGTACTCGGGGATCTCCTTAGCGTACAGCAGCTTGTTGGTGGGCGAGTCCTGGCCGGAGCAGGAGGGTGAGGCTGCTGTGCATCACGAGCCCCAACCCTGCTGCCACTGATGTGGCCTCACTGGGCTGTCCCTCAGTGTCCCCACGGTGCTGTCTTCTGCCCAGGTCTCTCCTGTATCACTAGCTCAGGACTACAACTGGGGTCTACTGTGGGGGTCAATGTGTTGGAGTGCCATGCCAGCCGAGTGGGGTTATGGGTCCTCGTGGCTGGGACTGCTGCAGGCCCAGTTTCTGACTTGGCTGAATGTTTCCCACCATGTGTGTCTGATATCCGGAGGTGACCCAGTGAAGACTGCCCAGTTCTGCATCCCTCTGGGGACATTCTCAAAACAGATGGCAACTTCTGCCTTCCCGGTCTCTGGCTCTGCCATTGGGTGCCCCCTCCCTGCCCCAGGGTGCAGAGTCTCTCCCACCTCAGCCT